TAATAATAACTTATAAATTTCATTACAGTTCAATTACAATTTGAATACAGTTCAAACTTCACAGTTTGATACCCATACACAATGTGGGTGGCATAACCTTTTTACTTTTGCAAAATATTGCATGAGAACACAAGAAACAGAAGAAACAGTTCAAGGTTGAAAGGAGGCTTTTTTGCCCGTCTTGCTTCCCTGGATGTTTATTAGCTAAGAAAATAAAAAATAATCTTTTTATCCTCAAGCAGTAGCACATCTCAGCCACAAGCCCAAACCACAAGAAGGGTGTAGCAGACCGGATTCTCTAGTTGTGTACAATATTTCGGCTTATTTCTTTATTGATTTATTTTGACAAATACCATCTCTCACTTTAATTTATTTACTTTTATCTTTATTGGAACAAGGGCCCAACAGGCATGTTCTGAATGAAGTCCCCATGTATGTAAGAGGATGGCATATTTAGGGAGCTGTGCACACACGACTATACCACTGGAGCTACACAGGCAGAGGCTGCAGGCTGCAGAGACAACACAGCTGCAAAGCAAAACCACCTGAAACATCTTCAGGGTCAAAAGCCCATTATATCAGATTGAAATGCATATTTAATAGATGTATTGATGTGGACAAATAAGAACATGGTAAGCAGTTTGTATTCTAAGCATTCTAAAGTATGTGATGTATCTAAATAACAAATATTCCATGTTGATGTCTAGTCATTTTATTTTGCTGCCTTGTTATGTCAAGGCAAAGGCTTCTAATAACTTAATATATGTAACTGCAGCCATAACCACCCACCTTCCACACAACATCTGTTCAGGGCAATTACTGACGAGGATCTATGTACTACAGTACGCTACACTGCTTCTGCAGGTACCCCCGATTCAGAAAAGCTTGAATTTCTACACTTTATCAAGATCTAATAACAGTAATGGGATGAAAAGTTGGTTTTTACATAAATACTTATATACAGATTTGATATAATATTCTCCTGTAATTAATACTATTGAAGAGTTAACACACGTCAGCTAAAACCTGTGGGTGTATTCTGGAAGGAGACCTTATTATCTCCATTATGACTCAATGTTTCACAATTATTCACAAGCTGTGGTGGCAGAAGTGGTTCTGTAATTAATAAAACACTGATATCGAGAACATCCTGAGATAAAGTTATTTAAATTAAAAAATAAAATTCAGGTTTAAACAGATGGACAGAATAGCAATTCATTTTAGAATTTAGTACCAAATACTATTTTCTTCTTATTTATTTAACGCTGTTCTACATCTATCATCATGACTCATTGAAATGTCTACATATATTTGACCAGTGAGAGCAATTATTTTTGGAGTAAATCAATTGTATTAAATGTGTGATAATTAAATATTGCATTTGTTTTATCCAAATGAGCTGTTCCACAGGACACGCTGTGATGTAGTTCAGCGACACAACAAAGTAAGACAGGCTAAACCAGAGCTCACAGACAGCTCTGTAAATTAACTTACTTGTGCATTTCTTTATAGGCTCACCAAATGTTTGAAACTGTATATACCGCACGCTTCTGGTGTATGAAAGCACACAGAAGGTAGAAGACAGCACCTATAATTACAAAATGTTTCCATAAGTCTTTACATGCATAAAAGCATTTACTTGCTGTGAAAAGGTTATTATTAAGTTAGTGCACGCTCCATGAAGTTCATTATCAGACCATCCCCTTTGCAACTCAGTGCCTGAGTTGGAATGTACAGTTGGTGCTGAAAAACAGCCAGTCCCAGCAGCTGTAGCTAAATCTTGCACATGGATTGAATGTCTGTATTTATTTTATTTTTTTATTAAACAAGACTAGGATACAAAGCTTCAGGTGTGGATATCTCATGTTCTTTTCTTTATAGTTCTTCTTTTGGTAAACAGTTTTGGTGAATAAGATATTTTTACATGTTTTTTAGAAACAATTTGAGCGTGTGTGTTTAAGAACATGTGTATTTTTTTTGGAAAGTAAGTTGTTTTTCTTCGATCAGCCAGATGTTACGCTTACCCGAGATTTAGGTAACCCACACAAGATTAAAAACCTCTACATACACTCCTGTAAGTTTTTATTAGTGGAAACCCAGGAAACATCTGCCTTTCAGTTATGCTTATAGGAACTTCATGTGTCTGCACAAAAGCTTGTAGAGATCTGTAAACTATGAAGCTGTGTGTGTGTGTCTGGGAGTAGTTTTTGGCTCCAGTGGCTATTTTCCTGAATATTGTGCTCTGTCTGGAGCTGCAGGACCCCATGTTAGCCTGGTGCTAAATAATTGAGGCTAAAAGCTTCAATTAATAAAACAGAATGGAATTAGTGTTACCCAGGTGTGATTCATTCTGCAGGGTATTGAACAATTTCAGGATAGAACCTTTCAGAAGAAAATAAAATCAGGAGCCTGGATACTGTATATGGATTGAATAAATGATTGATGGAAGATTCATTGCTGAGGCATATGACAGCATTAAGTCTCAGGAGGCCATTTGAAAAGTTTAAAATTTATTTTGGGTGGCAGAAAGCAGGAAACATTGATTCCGGAAAAGACAGGAGCTACAGGATGTCCAAACTGATTGCACAGTGCCGGTGGCTGTTACTTGGTTATTCCAGAATGGTGAGAGCTTGAAGATCTTAAATCAGACACAGTCTTCCAGGCATAGAATAACTGCTGCTCTCCCTTACCATAGGTGGCCAACATGTGTCATACGGTAGCTAACCACCCAGAGCAATCTCAATCTCTGCGTCAGAGCAGAAGTGCTCTAGCAGACTGATCTTCCATAACTGTGAGCTCTGTAGCTACAGTATGTCTCCCAACATAAAGCGAGTGCATGAGATACGCACCCACAACAACCAAAACCACTTATTACATCTTTGAAACCATACATTTGCATTATTATAGAAATATTAGACTAATTGCTGTCAATAATCACCATCAACTCTCTTCCTGCAGTCAAGAAATGGTCTGTTTAAAACTTTCAAAAAACAGCTTTTATTGTGGTCTGGTATTATATCTGATTATCTGCAATACTGTGATATTGTTGAATATCCTTGAACGTATATAGGCAATTAGGCAATTACTGTGTTAGTGACAAATTCCTGTTACCACTCCCAGTTTACACATTAAAATGTAGAAGAGAAAATATTAAATTGTTCAGATGCTTGAAAACAGATGTAAATCATTTTGGATTTTGTTAAAAACATAGCTTGTTGTGCTGTGAGATAAGTCCTTTGAAGGAACTGAGTAAATAATAGCAGGTTTACTCTAATCATCAATAGTAATATTACAACTGATGTTGATTTGGCAGTAGTTCACTGTTGGTAATCCCATTATTTCTCACTGTTATGTGCATGTTTGTATCTCTCCTGTATCATTCTGGTCTAAGTTTTAAGATATATGAAACCGACATCCCTCATTCTTCACGTTTAAGAAGATGTTACATAACTTGTCCAGAAAGACTTAACACAGCCCTGATGGAGGGACATCAGTGGGTAGTGCACCAGAACATATACAGTAGATAAGGGCTGGTAGAGACTGGCTTTATGAAAAACATCTAGGATGGGGTGCACTGCCCACAACAATTTCAACAAGAGGACATCTTGTGGTTGCCTTAGTAACCTCCTTGTATGACCACCAGTTCCTGTGATGAAGATGAGGAAGACTAAGGAAGAAGAATTATAGATGGGGGGGTAAGTGGGATAGCTAAATGATAAGCGATTGTGCAGTGCCCATTTTTATTAACCAATTAGGGCTAGGAAGTTACAACTGGGGTAGGGAGTAGTTAGCCAGCCATCCCCACCTGAAAGTGTGTTTAATGCCAGACGCTTGCTCCTCTTCTTTGTAATTCCTGTTGCTTGCACACATTAAGAATCAGAAAATAAAGGATGAAATTCACCTCACTGCTGTCTCATTCTGGGGACGATCCTTACAACTTCACATGACAAAAGTTGACTAAGTTGCATAGAAATGTTCTTGCAATAAAATGAAAACGACGTGTCATCTTGTTTTATTCAAAGCCTTTTATTTGTAACATCAAAAAATCTTACATCGTGTAAAAGGGGTTTGTAAATGCAAATTTCAGGAAAATGAAATTTATTAAATATTCCCGGAGAGAAGTACCCACACAATACAAATGGAAAACAAATTAGAAAGAAAGCTCAGTAAAGAGAGCAATGTACGTATTCAAGTACACTGCACATTATATCAAGATAGTACAAAGGCTCTTAACTATGGACTTAGTTTTTAATGGAAACACAAACAAATAGATTTCAGAAGAACATCGCAGGCTGTGATACACATTGGCAATGTTCACCACAGGGGTAGCTACCCATATTATGCAGTAACTCCACAGCATCAGACAATCGAGCAAATTCACAAATTCAGAAGCATTGTCTAATCCCAATCAGGTGCTCGCACACTGCTAGAACATTGCACTTTCCAATGATTGCTCTGTTTTGCAGATGGCATGGCTCACCAATCTGGCTTGTTCTATGCTTTTTTTGTTGGGTTGTTTTTATTTTTTCTTGTACTCCCCAGCGCTGTCATGGCTCGATGACTCGTAGTGGCCGTGCGACTCATCGTATCTAGGATACTGGTCCTCGTACCCTTTCTGGGCCGCTTCGTACCTGGGGTCATGGTGATCTTGCCCTTCGTACCCGGCGTATGGATTGTAGGGATCTTCCTGCCTGTCCTGATAAGGGTCATATTGTTGCTGCTCATAGCTCGGCTGTGGCTCCTCTTCTTTGTGCTCATCAGCTGCTTGGCTCTCTTGGTGTGGTGCATCCTGGGCAGGCTTGGCCCCACTCCTGCGAAGGCGGCAGTTGTGGTCGTACTCGGGGTCGCAGTCAGGGTCAGGCTCAATCACCCCTTCTCTGTAACCAGCAGGATTGTGCTCAGGGTGGTAGGTCTCAGGGGCCCTGGGTTGTTGTGGGCTGGGCTTCCGGCAGGAGGGATCATAAGGATGGCACTCGGTGTTTGGGCTCTCATTCATCGACCGTCTGGGGTTGTTTGCACTGTAGTAGAGTGGGCAGCTGGGGTCATAGGGATCACAGTCTTGCATGGTGCTGGCAGCGCTTGCACGGGAGGAACTCGAGCTGTGCACTGGGTAGCACTCTTCATCATAGTACATGTAGCAGTCATAGCCCTCTTTCGTCTTGCCCTTGATCCTGGGGTAGTGCCGAGGGTCATGGTGTGCCTCAGTTTGCACAGCACTGGGGCTCTGGAGGCAGTAAGGATCGTATCGAGGGTCGCAGCCATTGCTGGGTGCTGGCTCATCCTTAGGCCTATACTCCTGCCTGCAGCTGGGGTCATAGTAGGGGTCACATTCTGGTTTGGGGGGCACAACCATCCTGGTAGCAGTCAGGGGGTTACAGTTTTCATCGAAGAGGGGATTGCAGCGATTTAGCTGGGAGGGCATCTGAAGCCCCTGGGCTCGTTCTGGGGTACAGTAGGGGTCATACTCTGGGTCACAGTTTGGGTACTGGTGATAGACTTCTGCCTTCTTTTTCTTTTGCATGCAGTAGGGGTCTTTCTCTGGGTCACATCCAAGATATGCATAGGATGGAGCAGACACAGTGGGCACCACAGTCTTGTACCCATAGGCAGCTCGCAGGTGATACTGCAAGCATTCGATATCAGAGGGGTTGCAGATCCGCAGCAGCTCAGCTTTTTGCTGGGCAGACAGGAGTGGCTGGGGGGCTGGAACATAGTAGTAGTAGCCCATAGGCGTGGACTTGTATGGTGCAGGGAACATTACAGGGGCTCGAGAGGCCTGGCAGTTGGGATCTCTGTATGGGTCACACCCCTTAGTTGGGGCGGGCTTTGGTACCTCGGGTTTGGGTTTGGGCTTGCTGGTGAGCTCAGAGATACACTCGGGGTCGTCAGAATTGGCACAGGCCTTGTACACCTCTGACAGGTGGCGGAGATAGAGGTCATAAGAACGGCGGCCCTCCGCCCGGTTCTTGTTCTGCAGGTACTGCAGGTAGACACGATCCAGCTCATTAATCTGAGAATGCAAAGCAAGCGTTAGGACTTCCATCGATGTCTACAACCCATAAAGGCATCAATTAACCCCTGTCCTTGCCTACCATGGAATGAAGTTCTGAATACTGAGCTTAGCAAAGACTTACAGTTATCAGTCTTCAATTTGGAGGATATTCAAAAACCTTGTGATTCCTTCTGTGTTATTGAGTTTTGAAGAGTATGTTTGTAGATAAATTACTTAAGGTACATATGAAGGTCCTCTTTTGCCTCTTTCCATTTTATTTGAATTTGAAATTCAGCTGCCTTCCAATGTTAAGTCAAATAAGGAACAACCCCCTTTTCATATGTTGTGCACATGAGGTCAAAGTAATAGTTCCTTGGCAGAGGGGAAAGGAGCAATAGACTGACATGGAAACTATACTCACTCCCTCCTGGTTTCCATTGTCCGTGAAGTATTTGTACCAGCCCCAGAAATCAGCGTGCTGTTTATACCAGCTGATATTTCGTCTGGAGCGAACCAGCTTTTTGAGAAAGCCAGATGTTTGAGCATTTTCCTCACCCGCTGTCTCTTTGTCCCCCGCTGTCACAAAAGAAGGGATTTTTAAAATAATTTACTTGATTAACTTTACCATTCTCTTCTATGTATTGAAAAGTATCTGGCTTTCTAAATCCATTTTTTCACATCTTTTAATATTGCTTGTCTGACTGAACAAAAGATGGAATAACATTTTATATAGAGTACATTTTAAAAAAGAATACTCTATTCAAAGTACTAAGCAAAAGGAGAGTATGAAAAGCCATCATTAAACTTTTTTTTTCTAAGCTCTTTCTCCCAAGAGTTTGGAATTTAGAATTTTTCCAGGTCTTGCTTTATATTTGTTCTCCTGAACTGCATTATGATGCAGGGTGTCCATTCCAAAACATGAAAAACACTTCAAAAGATAATACAAAATTAAATATGAATAAAATAATTGGAATGAATACAAACTAAATGGTATACGACAGCCAAAACAGCCTTTGAATTTGTACAGCTCTACATTTACTGAAGTGTTCAATGACCAAATTTTGGAGTTAAGAAATGATCAACATCCATAGACCAAAAACATTGCAAGGCTGTATGTTAAGACAACTTCTTGGTATCGGAGGAGTGTAAAATAAAAGGAGGTTCGTAAAACTATGTTCTAGATTAACCGAGTTGGGGGATTTTTGGCCTCAACAGCTTATGACACTGTGTGATAACAGCAACTGAAATATTTGTTTCAACTCTCACTGGCACTTGGAATGGCAGGAATTCCAGACGAGCTATATTTACCATCCCCCTTGAGGCGCTGTCCTACTGGACTGGCCACCAGCAAGTCTGCGAAGAGAGAAAGAAAATCACACTGTAAGAAACAAACAGATGGTGTGTGTGTTTCAAATGAGCAAAATGTTGGCCTGTTAATCACCCCTCCTAGCACACAGCAGGATTTTTCCGCACTGGAATAATACCAGTAGTGTCACGTGGATTAATCTTCAAACGATACGAACTACAGTGCTTTGAACATGACCAGCAGGGATTGCATATTACTGTGCCTAACTGGAGAAACACCTATAAAACTACAAACACAGGGCAATGTGCCCAAAGGCAGCTCCCATTAAGATTATCTTGTAAAAAGGTGGCAGGGGGTGTGCTTCTGCACACAGCACAGCATTTTCCATCATTTAGTCCCCCCAATGGCTGACTGCAGGGGTTTATGGCATAAGGAAAAGACTGCAAGCCAGCAGTTGAGCTTTAATGTTAGTTTTTACATTATTCTAAACCCATCTGTGAGAACAGATCCTTCCTTTCAAAAAAATTATTGGATGTTGAGTATATCCGTCATGCTACTTTTTACAAGTAGGAAAGGCATGTGGGTCCAATATTACAAAAAAACTAATAGGAAAGCAGACCCTTCTTGCTGGCAAGCAGTTCCTTTCATCTTTTTAATTAAAGACGACGAAGAAGCCCTGGTGGACAATAAAATGATACTAGATATTTTCTACTTTTTTGCACATAATTGGTTTATACTTTCTTTTTCTAGATTCTTGTGTGCTAGGAATAACATTTTTTCAGTTACATTGATAGTGGCGGCACTTCCCGTCCCCTCCTTCACACTTATCACACAAAAGGTTTCATAATTAACTGTAGTCACTATCACTTGGGTAATCAGTGGCACTGGATACCCCTGGAATGTGCTCTGAAATAAAGGCGGATTTCCTGAAGTTCTCACAACAGGGACAATGCAGCTATCCTGCTCTCCATCATTCTGCACTACAGCTCTTGTTCATGCCTGAAAGTACAATTATCTTTCATAGCTAAAACCAACTAACGAAATTAAGAACCAAATTCTATGATGATTAAGAAGATATTTTCCCTATTGTAATAAGTTCAGTCATAAATAGCATATTGGTTGTACATCTGTATTGTTAAGTGACATTTCCTTCTGAAAAGACACATATCAGAAGTGAGTGGCATCAAAGGAAAGAAGGGTGTTATGCTTACACTGCTCAGTCAATACATACACTGTGAGAGTAACAGAAAATGTAATCACCAATTACTGTCAAAGGCACACCAGAGTGGTGTATTTGAGCAACAAAATATGAATTTAGATGAACACGTTACTGTTTATGAAAGTTTTATTTTCATTTTATAAGATCTTTAGGTGAATATGTAAACTTTAAAATACGTGGAATTGAAATGTTAGAGTAACACTTTACATCTGTTTGTTTTTAAAAACTGTTCAGTGACATCTGTGGTTGTTTATTTTGGAGTTGTGTAGCATGAGTGAAAGGGATATAACCAGCAAGATTCACTTTATATTTAAACCACTTCAGTGACCTTTTTTCGTTTTCCTTGGAAGACTTTCCTCTGTTTACTCGGTTTCTAGTGAGAAACACATTCTTATCTTGCACAGTTCCGGTTCTGTACTGGGTGGCATGGTGCATAGAGATGCATGCAGGTAGATTGAGGGTCCTGGGTTCCACTGTACCGGGGTGGGGTTTCTTACTCCCCGTCTGTGTGACCCAAAGACAGGCTGTCCAGGCTGAATGGTGACTGAACTGTCCTCCCGTCTCCCACTCTGTGTGTGTGTGTGCACTCTGCACATAACCGACATCCCAACAGGGGTGAGGACCAACACAACACCCTTTGCCCGCCAGGCAAAGCTCTGTCTCGCAGTGAGCGGGTATTGTGGAGCTTTTTTTTTTATGGTTAACTTATCGGACTCACCAGGCAGTAACGCAGTTGCCAGCAGCACTCCAGCGAAGACGCAGGAAAAGGCTTTACTTCCTAAACACGCCATGATCTCCGCTCTTCCAAATTCTAAAGACAGCAACGTTTTGAAAAAAAAGTAGCAGTTTTGCCCCGATTGTAAAAATATAAATGCGAGTGAGTTAAATTCTTTGTAACATATGCAACAAAAGAACATTGGAGCCATCATGCTGAAACAACAGCCCCTTTTCGCATCAGTGAACCTATCAAATTATCAATTTTAATCATCTTAATGGTATACAACTAAGAAGAAGCGTTTAATAATGTATTACATTTAAATCTTCCGAGTACACTGGAAGGCGCTCTCCTTTCAGCACCTCATAGCTGGAACACAGCACAGAATGTCCTGAATCCTTAAACCTTTTCTGTAAAAACACTACCGTCGCTATTGAAAATAAATGGACTCTTCATAGAAAGTAGGCAAAAAATCTAAAAGTAATCTTATAAATGTTAAAATTAAAGGTTTGAGCATTATATTGGGTTTAAGATTTCTGGAGCTTTCTAGCATCCTGTTTAGGCACTTGAAAGGCATCTTATAACAGCCAAGCATGGATGTCTTTTTATGTTTGCTATATTTTATGGGAAGTGCTATAGAACAAAATCCTTATTTAATTATTTTAACATGAATCCCATGTAGGACATTTAAGAAACATGCCCTGTTTGGGATACAAGTTACAACCTCAGAAGACAGTTCTTTTGACTAGCTTCTGAGCACTAATGTACATCCCATGCCTACTGATCATGGCTGAAACTAGGAGACCCATGTTTAACATCGTTCTCTACACTCATTTATTTCTGTACCTGTAAAGCCAATGCAGTAGTAACTCAAAACAGAATGGAATATTTTACTGTGCAAAGGTGCTATATTTGCAGATGTTAAAAGAAACCAATCTACTAAACCTGTTTTTGGAAACCTGTTTGGTTTGAAACATCAGAGAAGAACTGAAAAAGTACTTGCCTTCAGTTCTTCACAACAGTTGGTCATACTTCAATCCCAGCATTACACTCATTAACAAAATAAGTACCAGTGGCAGTGCTTCCTTTCTGTTCAGATAGACAGATCTAACTAAAACTTGACAAAAGCACAACGTCTATTAATGGATTCATAAACTCTTAAACTGTCATAGTCACAGCAGTTGTAGTAAGAAGATTGTTCCTAGGTGAACAAAATGGAAAATGTCTATACCGGGTTGTGAACATTTTATCCATACCTTTCAAAGACATTTGCGTATTCAAAACAGAAATGTAAGGACAGGCTAAACATACACGCGATAGTAATTTGCACAATGCAATGGAGGTCAATAAAATATTGGCTTACCTGCGAAAAGGGAAAATGGATACTTGACTCCTTGCAGATGAAGGAAGAAAACCTTTGAAGAGCCAGTGGCCCTCAAGGTTCAGCTCTGAGGTGTTGCAAATTAAGCACTAGGCGCCAATGTGCTTCCCTCAGACCTTCTGTGTCAGAACCGAAGAGGGGAACATCTTAAATGGCACCTCGTTAATTAAAACCAAAAGGTGCATCACATGGCAAGCCCATGCTGCTAGCCCAAAGGAGATTGGCTCCTGCCATCACATTCATCTGACCAATGAGGTCCTGTAATTAGGCAACCAAGCTCGGGGGGGAGAAAGAAATCATAAAACCGTGGCTTTTGGGGATTAATAGGCTGTAATTTACAATTGCCACGTTCTATACGGAGCTGGAACAAGAGCTGCAAAAATGTGCCACATAAGCGGTTTTGATATTGGTCACCTTCCCTGCAAGGGATACTTAAAACTTAAATACACACTACCTCCTGCAAAAACAACTTTCCTTCAAAAACACAAGTTTCTGAAACAAGTTTTGACAAAGTAACACCTGCAGGTCTCACCGAAGGAATTTTGTTACTCCAGCAGAAAAGACACTTTCAGTGTGCGTTTACAGTCCATGATTGGGGAAAAAAACAAAACAATTCATCGTTAGTATCCTCTAAAGGGAAAAGATAATGTCCTCTCTGTGTATTTAACTGTAAAGCAGTGATTGCTATAATGAAATTTCACGTTTCTTGTTTAATATGGAATAAAACATTATTTCTTGGAATATGGGAGTACCAGATTATTTTTAAATGAAAGTTCCTTAATGTCAAAGCCCCTACTGTATATAAAAAACATTTCATTATAAACGCTATTGATAGATGTTTTAATGTGAGGCGTGAAACATGAGCTTTTTATCTCAGACCTTTAAAATATTTTTAAAACATTTTTTCATACACTTAAAATATTCTGGATCATTTTGTTTTACAATGTTAAATCTATTTTCCTTTAGCTGCTTTGTGAAATATGGCTGTCCGATTCCTCCTTAAAAGTTCAGTACAAAAAATAAATAATTGATTTCCAAATTGATACCAAAATAGCACATGTATATAGAGTATATGAAAAAAATAAAGGACTAACAATATTATCTTCCTCCTTTACAATATATATACCTTTATAAAAAATGTTAGATATGCAATTCATGTCAAAATGTACAGTATTAATCATCCACCATCTGTTATATCGAACTGTATGTCTCCTCTGAATACAGCATTCTGGAGCTACATGTATAATTAGAAACAAAGTTCAGCACCTTTACAGGTGTTCTGAAAGACACATACCCTGCAATCTGAGTTTGAAACAGTTTTAGACAAGAAAAAGATAGACTTATAATTTTAGCATAAAACTTTGGAATGCTAGAGATTTTTAGAATTTTCCAACACCTGGCAAAAATAAAATGGTCTTTTTTTCAATAGTTTATTGAAAGAAAATACAGAGGGAACACAAACACAATCCAGCTCTCCACTGAGCAGAACAGATAGTATCCTTAGCTCGGTCAGCAGGAGACCTTACACAAATTCAAACTCCACTCGCATAATTATAACAAACATGAACAACTGTTTAGTAGTATTTACAAATGTCTTCATCGTACAGAAACTTCATCACTGGATATCATCATCATCAAAGAGGTCTTCAAAATCTGTTAAAACAAAGAATGAAGGAACTTAAAACTACTAAATAAAAGAGTCTGGGATCATTTTTTTTTCTCCGATATGCAGAAACCTGGTCAAACAGAACGCTAACTGTACAAACTCGTGGCTTGCTGCAGTGAAATTTGACTGTCACAACAGTGCTGGGATTTCAGGACATGGACATACATATTTTACAAGATCTTCTGCACAGATCATATCCCAAACTATAAAATTAAAAGTATACTCTTTACACACATTTAAAATAATTAAGGCAAAAACTAAAATAGGTAGGAAGCTGAATCAGGATTCTATTAAACTCAGAGTTGGACCCCTCAGAGAAAGCCTGAGTATGGCTTGTGCAGGCCACGTTGTCAACTGCTTGGATTGAACCCCACAGTTAAGTCAAGACTCCTACAGCAGGACACATGTTCAGCTTTGCGAGCTACTTCAGAAGGATAAATTGGTGCAAAACTAGGAGACATGCTGAGCTCGTGTCTAATAAATGCTTGTTAAATGTTTTACAGCTGATTCTTTTCCTTAACACTTTCAGAATCAGTTTCCCTTCTAGGTCATCATCTCTTAAAAAACATAAGTTAACTCTGGAAACATTTTTTGCTTTCTTTTTGATTACGAAATGGTGAAATTCTAAAAAAACATCCTTGCTTTTAAACACTACATAATGTGTATTTACAGTATATACTGTCTTAATTATATAAGATATTCATTCATTTGCATTACATTATATATATGAAACTGAAAACTTGTCTTTTTAATCAGTCATAAACAGCAATACTGCAGTTGTTCAGAACAGGACTAAAGAGAAGTAAAAAGAGAAGAAAACATTAGACTGATGAGACCCCAAATTTAAACGCAGAATACAAAAATATATTTATAATGAAACAGAAGGAAATACCACAGTCTAACACACCATACCTAACCTAAATAATGAAAAACACACTTCTAGAAATTGTAACTGTGGTTAATACCGACAGTTCAAAACACTGCACAGAAGTCATCACAATGTAATGTGTGTGACACAGGGGAACTACATTTTCCCTAAATTAATCCCTTTTATGTTCTTTCGCTCCAGGACAGGGATCACACTACATTATAAAATTCTCCTCACTTTGTAAAAGAAGGAGAAAAAAACATCAGTGCCTCTAATGTTGCAGATGCCTGCTGATCCAAAGCTAGCAGCAACATGTAATTGTAAAGTTCCGGCTTTATCAGGGGAGGCCCAATAGTAGCACAGGTAACAGCTGCAAAATTAAACACTGGTAACTGATCTAATTTTATATTAGCACCTTGCTCTGGTGAAACCCTGTAATGAAACTGAGTAGTAGAAGGGCCAGTATCTGAGTGAAGAGGGACTCATTGTATGAGATATTAACCTGCCCCGACAAGAGTAACACTGCTAAAATGCAGATCCCAACATACTGTATTTGGGTTCGGAAGTGTACTACAGTTAGTGAGAATAAATGCCCTAAAATTTGTAGATTTCTCTGCAGCCAAACAAAGTTCACCAGGTTCATGAGTGCAGAGCCGTTACCCAGATTCCTGTGGTCAGCCGACAGGGGCAGCTTCAATACTGACTTTACTCCATGGGTTAAAACATACAGATCTAGCCTAAACAACAGTAACACCTGGAAGCTTGTGTTACTGTTTTGTAATTTTACTTCATGTAATTGTGTAGGCCTAGACATACAGATTTTTATAATCATGAGAACATGTGGTGTTGCTACATTTCCATACACAACATCTGCCAAGGGATAACACCATTATACTGAACCATAAAATCATTACTAAACCTCATTAACATATTTAAATAATGGAAAGCACCGCAAAAATTTACAAATTCTGAATTAAGCACAAAATCGTGCTTTTTTCCTTTGTGAAAATACTGGATACCCACTGTGTTCTCACAAACCCCTAGTCTCACCAAGGACGAGAGCGAGAGTTTGTGTGAAATGTTAGGTGACGTGGCCCTTCCTGCTCACTCACTAGTCACCATAATTTGGTGGAGTACAGGTTGTGCAGAAGATATTTCACTGCAGAAATGTTCCAACATGAAACAAGGAGAGATAACATGTAAAATGTATTGTGATGTAAATTTGAGGTTTTACACGTTACTGTGTACATTTTACTTTCATTGTGGTTTGAAATGCAGTCACCAATACCAATTCTACCACTGAAATATAATAGTAATATAATTGTAGCTTTGCTCTTCCCCTTTATGAAACGGTGGAACATGTTCTTGCAACCAAATAAAAAAAGGAACTCATTTTTTCCAAACACTAATTCTCATTTACTGTGTAGGATGTCTCCTCTTTACTATCACACCATGATACACCATATTGCCAAAATTATTTTAGTGTATATTTTCCCTGGAAATGTACTCTCTACATTTTGGTGCACTTGTCCCCAAACTTCAGAACTTCTCCACACTGAAATAGTAAATTGGGGTTGTTCTACTACTCTAAGGTATGTATACCATTCCAGCAGCAACTTTTATAAAAAAAATGTAAAATCATAATTTCACAAATAATCATTCAATAAATGAACACTAGATGAATGCTTACATGAATGGCAGCTACCTACAGCACCATTGCACTGCAGTAGATACTGTGGCATTGCTGTCTTGTAGTGCTGAGGCCCTGGGTTCTATTCCTGGTGCGCTACAGTATATACTTGGAGTGTGTTTGTGTGGATTTCCCCTGGGTGCTCCTGTTTCCTCTCACAGTCCAAAGATTTGCTGGTAAGTTAACTGGATTCTGGGAAAATTGGCCCTGGTGTGAATGTGTGAATGTTTGTGCCTGTGTGTGCCCTGTGATAGACTGGCATCCGGTCCACTGTGTCCAGCGTCAACCTCAGCCAACTTCTGGCTGGTGAGGATCAATCTGGAAAAGTAAACTGCTCTCTCAAAGCTTTTCGGGATTAGTTCTCAATCTTATGTCTTTGATACTTGTAAACCTGTTTGAGAAAATGATCTACATAAATGCATTTCTTTAAAATAAAAAAATAAAATATAGGTAATAGATCATGTAAAAAATGTTAAAAGTGTTACTCCCTGGCATAACAAGGAAGGGGAAGATTTAAAAAAAACATGTATTGCCAGTTATTTTCTTATATCCAATAATGTGTGTTAAAGTTATCAACAAAGGGTTATACAGGGATTGTTAAAAGACCATTGCAGGGCCTCACCGTTGAAGAAGTCAGCGTGAACAGCTTTCTCGTTGGCTGCCAGATCCATTAGAAGTCCTGTGCTTCCCCCTGCCTGTGGAAGTCGAAAGTATACAATTTCAATTTAATTGCTGTCGTGTACCATTTGTCTGTAAGCATGGAAATGAAATGAACTCAAATGATCTGTGAATCAAAGTCAATCAAAATATGAATTCATGTTGACATATAATAACTGATATACCTATTTTCTTATGCAAAAAAATAATAATAATTAAATAATTTAAAAAACCTGATACATTACTGTCTCGGTCATATCAACCCCTCGGTTATCTAGTTCCTAGCGTCAAGATTTCACAAATATAAGCACCCCGTCCTTAAGTTACGCGTAGGTTTTTTGAAATACAAATTTAAAAACAGTACTTTATGATACTAATACAAGACAGTAACAGCATGCCCGAATCCATCAAAGTATTTAATGCGCATTAATAAAATAATTCAAAAATAAACCTCGTCAAGATCGACATAGGGTCCAGCCCCTTCAGGGAACATCTCATCTACAGCAGGCTTCATTATGATCAATTATTTTCCCGGGGACGTTTTCTCTGGAAATAACACAAAATAAACACTCCCGGAACTTATCTTCTAAAGCTGTCCTTCCGTTTGTAACACCGAAATGTCTCCCTCTAGAAACAAATGGCAGTGGGCGACTAACAAGACTTCCTGTAGGTGATGCAAAACCGTTCCGTTATTTTATAATCTGACCAACTGTGAAGTTCGTCAGGATCCACAGGCTTCATTTCTGGGTATTATGGGGGAGGCGATTAAACTAGGATAACCTTCAACATATAAAAAACAATGTAAGAAAAAAATGTTCCGCAGTGTATGAAAGACACATTTGTATTTCGACATTTAAACAAACAGAAGAGATCCAACAAAGGTTGCTTAGCTATGAGCCGCATGACTATAAAGAAAAAAAAAACAGTGTTGTGTCAATAGTTGCACATACAGTGCAACCATTATAATTTAAAAATAAATATGACTTTACCCAAGGTTGGACGATTTCCTTTTCGGGGGGGAATGGTGTTATAGAATCAAGCAATATAATTGGGGTATGGCAAATCTGTTTTTAATTTAAAAAAAACATGGAAGAAACCAAACTAGTTCAAAGAGCTAGACTCTGCTGAGTCGTCGATATTTTTTCCCTCTTGCAGAGAGCAGAAAATGTGCTGAAAGAGATCAGCACACGAACGAGGCTACATAGCAGCAAGCATAAACTACATTGTATAATGTATGTGAACATAATTGTTTACGTTTTCTCACTTTACGAACGTGTGTAGACATGACGTGCGTGTAATGTGCTTCGTAGATCTGTAAATTGATTAACACCTTTCTAATCATGTTGTGTATTAAATATACAACAACGCACCTGCATTTTCTTTTAAAACTTTATTAGTACAGTATTGCATTCTTGTGTCAACACAATATTATTACATTGAATGGCATGCTTTTTACATTTTGTATCAAGCTAAGCGTATAACTGTAAAAATTGTTTTACATTCATTTGCTCTAACTCTACATTTTGTTTGAAATCCTGTACTAAAGCTTCTAATATTATAGCGCCATGAAGCCTATCATTAAACAAGTGGCAAACGTGGTATTAGGTTTTTAAGGTTCCTGCTGTGCCGCCTCGAACCCCAGGGTGTCTCCAAGCGATTGGTGAGCGAAAAATGTTCTGGCCATTTCATCGATGTGCTTGTAGGCCCCTATGGTGCGAAAATATTCCACATATCTCCAGAAGTCACTGGTGCTGTAGGGCCAGTAGGGCACTGCCGGTGGTTCATCATAAGGCACTGAGAGGGGGACAACACAGTCATTCATTCGTCTTAACTGCTTCAGAGTTTTGTACTTCAAATAACATCACTAGCCTTGTGAATACCATGCAATTGCATTGTAAGTAACACACAGCTAGTGATATCTAAGTTGTGCTGTACTTATTTTGCACTACCGTTCGATTGTCTAAGTGGATGTATATGAAAAGGCTAAATTGGCCGAAGTGTGTAAAAAGCATTAATCTTTTCTGCATCTGTCACTTTCACTTTTGTTTCATAGAGCTGTAGTTGTTTTAGTTGTGTCTGTAATAGCAACTGGTATCACTTTATTAATGCAATGTTTACTGTTTTGGTTTATATCAAGCTATATTTTGAAAAAAATGATATTATATACAATATTACTATATATCTCTCTCTCTCTCTCACATATCAGAATTTGTTAAATTAGCTAAAAAATATTTTTTTACCTCCTTCCGGAATATTCCTGGCATCTGAAAAAAGGGGGAAAATGTGTTTTAGATATTTAGAGCCCAGCACTCACAATGAGGTAATTCAAGTTCTTGAGGTTAGGGTCCACCCATGGGATTTCAAAAAATGTGTGGAATAATATCAATATTATTCAAACTGTGTTTGCCCTGTTCACTGGATTGAAGACCTGCACAAATAGCTTCTTCAGTGCTATTTCATTTACAAATTACAGACCTGCACTCTTTCCTCCCAATTTATAGATTAATTTGAGTTAGCATTAAGGTAAATTAATAAAAATTCGTAAAGTGCTCAGTGTGCCAATGTTTAAGAATACATTTAATTATTTCAAAGTTTCAGAAGATATTACAATAACTAAAACAAAAAGCTTCTGATGACTAATACATGATGTAAACATAACATTTTCCAAAGAAACAGTACAACAACATACAGTTAAATATTTTACCTATATTTATATATTTAGACACATTAATTGAATTGACAGTAAGAATAAGTTTGGAATTTATTATCCAAGTATACTTACAGGCTACATGGTTGGCCAAACAGATAAAGAAGATTCCCACACAGATGAACCACTTCATGCTTCCTAAATTGAAAAATCAGAAAACAGAGCTGGTGACATAGAACTGTTCGCTATCAAAAGACACCCTGTCTGAACATCAGTCAAGAAGAAAACATGCTTACTGTGCCAGTTGTTACAAGACAATTACTTAAACCAAAAGTTTCCTAAATAAACATGTCAGATAATGTGTACAGAATCTGGTAAAAAGATTGCCTTAGATTTTTACCTGTTTGCTGCTTTCTGTAAGGCAGAGGAAAATGGTAAGTCTATCTCTGTAGTGCTGAATGGATCCTTGTACTTGGTGCAGGAATGTTTAAACTGGACTGTAACGTCATATATGTCAAATAGCTGCTGTCCTCCTCCCCTTGATAGGACGTTTTCTGTATATGAAATAAAATAGTTTTGGTTTGTGGCTGATCTTAAATTAGTGTCTTTTTTGCAAGTTTCATTGATATTGTTATATATTGTGCATTGCACATATTAACATAGCAAATACAAGTTTATTTTAATTATTACTATCATGCTGTAAGGCATGTTCACAGATAGGAGTCAGTTTTCATGAGCGTTGCTGGTTTTGTTTGCTTCACAGAAATTACTATTTTTGTTAAAATCTGTAAATTGATCCAAAGCCATCTGTACATTTCTGCATATTGTTCTTTTAATAAAAACAAGTTGGAAATCCAAGAACATAGTCTCAATTGGAAATTATAGAATTTTATCATGGATCTTTTGAATGCACTTGCATTGAACACACAAAGTACAACAATTACAGTTTAATGATTTTTTAGGAACAATCTAAATATATTGTTAATTTTTTATAAAATATGCACTAACTAAAGAAAATGTAAAATCTATTGGATTTTCAAAAACATGTTAAAGCCATTTTAAATTCTCCTGTATTTACAGTACATCACCTCCATTTTTAATACAGCCAAATACGTTTTATCAGAAAAGAATCCTTCAGTTGAAGCTATGTGATTATAAAAGTTAGTGTGACCATTCAACGTCATTTATTTTTGTTATTTATTTGCTGAATGTTATTTTTACACAGCCAAAAATAACCAATAAACAGTAACTGGAAAAATGTGATACGAGCTGCATCTGATGTCCGCAAATCCCAAAAACAAACACAGCTAAGAATAAAGTCTGTCTTGTGTTAGTTTTAATCAAGTCCCTGAAAAAAGCTCCCGTCTCTATTGTAATTGCGAACATACTATACATCATTCTTTCATTTTTGTGTCTGATGTTTCAATTCAAAGTCGATATTTTATTGCCAGTTAATACACGCAGTACATACGGCTTGGGTATTTCCTTTTATTGTTCTATATGTATACATATATGCAGCTTATACAAAATGAAAGTAGTCGCAAAAACAGAAGAATTGAGTTCTGTACTAATAAAAGAAGACGGAGACTAGAACAGACTGATCAGATTCATCATACAATTCTTCTTGGCACCACAAGGTGTCAGATGATACTTCCACTGCGGAGCAGACTCGGCGTACGTCAGTTTTGCAACAGCGTGGTACGTAATTGTTCTTGAAAACATAAATACACTGGGAAACGTGTGGTGCTGTAACAGAAACAAAACCACGAAATGCATTTGGTGGCCCAGTAATATTCAGGGAGACTGTATTTAACCGGACACTGAGGACGACAAGAATAAATTGGCAGGAGCACAACGCGAATAAACACGTTGTCCTTCATATGTTCTTACTGTAGCCTTCATTAAAAGTCACAACTTTTTCCGTGATATGGAACGAGAGGCAGCGAACTACTTTGTTAATGTGAATACATTTACAACACATTCACATGGTTTTGAAATGTAGGCGCGTATGACACCTAAAGTGTACTCAGCATTCGTGATTTTGTGAGTTTCCTTTGTTCTAAAACATGTTGATCTATAAATGTTGATATAAGGAGGTACTTTAGTGAAATAAGTCAGTCTGACGTAATAGCATTGAGCCTGTTCACAATGTCTGAATGAAGACTATGATGAGCTGAATGAAGCCTTTGTCAGAAACATTTCAATGAGCTATGTGGACACATGTAATGAATGCTTTGTTAACTAAAAGTTTATTTTTCTATGACGCAGTGTAAACAGCAACTTCAGACTGAGGAAAGTACAGTTACATTACAGGTTATAATCTTTTGTCAACTGAATTGTCATCACACAAATTAGACATGGAAAATGTTACTCTGAAAAGCATCATATGGCATTCTGTTATGCATATAAATACAGATATAATGTTTCATGCATAGTTATAAAAGGATTTTCTGGATTTTCAGTTAAGGTCTCATTCACATCAAGAACCGACCAGTAATTTCAGCTAAACTGAGACCTTCCTTTCATCCGTTTCCAAACAAACGTGCACACATCCCTGTCTAGTAACCATTTAAGCTTGTCCACTAACATCCTGTTTTATTGGAGAACTAGATCAGGCATTTATTTACCTCTTCTATTATTTAACTCTTATTTGTACAGCCTTCTTGCACAGTTGCAGTCATTTTGCTAATGTCGATATTATGAGAAGTGAAGTGCGCTTTAGCCGCGGCGATCGTTTCTGCAGGCAGCGTTCGAGAGCGAGCAAGAATCCAGGCGAGGTCGAAGTGAAACAGGCTCTTGACACCAGAGCAGGAGTAGACAAGAGCGATGTTGTCATAGTCGGTAGACAGTACCCAGTATGGACTGTATGGCTGAACTGAAGAAAAAAAAAACAGACAGAGTTTCAAAGAGAGGTAAGCACCACAAATGCAACTATTAATATTTATCAGCGTTTTTTTTAATTGAATTAACAAATATTGACTGCAACATGATGGGAACCAGACAGGTAGTTTTCGGTGCCCGTTTGCTGTATGATAAAATTTGCTTCTAAATTTCTGAATTTTTGCTGAATAAATTAGATTTGTTGGTCCTTTGACGCAAAACAAGCCAAATTATTTAAAAGCACCTTTTTTACTAGAAACTATTTATGGAGAGTCCTTGTTTCCATGATTTTAGATTTGGCAACTGAAAACAATTTGTAGCAAAACAACTAATTTTGGATTATGTCTGTTGAGCGTTCTGCTGCTTCAGCTGATGTATTTATTACTGCTTTCTTCCTCTTATGAATTAGTCTACATTTGTGCACGAATCTTCACCTGTCAGACACCCACTTCGTATACTTACAAAAAAAGAAGCTAACTCCCAGTTTTGCCGGTTCGTTGGCATCTTTTACTACAGCACTCCCTTCAATTGAGTTTATCTTGCCATCTCTAAAACAAGTAAGGACAGGTTTGACTTACACAAACACATTATTGACAGTAGCTGAGCATATGTGCATATTTATGAGCAGTATTGGTCTTTTAGACTCTTTTAGTGTGTATTTTAAGCATTTCAAAGATAAAGCACTCAGAAATAATACATTCAGTTAGAAGACCAATATGAACAGTGCTGGTCTTTTAGACTCTTTTAGTGTATATTTAAAGCATTTCAGAAATAATACATTCAGGTCAGAACATACAGTAGAGTCCCAGTTCCAGTCCCGGAGGTACTAAAGAATTTTGTCATTCTTTCTAACTGAGTTCTTAACATCACAATTAAACTAATTATTGGCTTAATTTGTTTTTGTCTAAACTGGTGCGGTTTCCCAGCTCTTCTCTGATCTTGGTACTGCTGATTTTAAGTGGCCTATAAATCTTGACAGTGCAGCCCTGCAGGTCCGGAAATGGAAATGGGTACCCCCTGGATTATAAAACAGATACTTACATGAGTTCTTCATTCAAAACCTTTACTTTACCATCTGCTCTGAGGGAATAATTAGCTTGAATACAGATTCCCTTTTCAAAAGACGCTGGCAGTTTCTCAATTTCATACCATCTCCCAAGGTACTGTAAAAAGGATTACACAATGAATTGGGTGTATAACAGGATCCAGGCTGATAATTACAGGTAGATCAATTACTGTAGGTGCTTAGGAGCTCAGGTGGAAGAAAAACCTGAAGACACAACATACCCCTGAGGCTGGAGCTCTACACCCCTGTATTACAATATCCTACGACATGTTTTGTTCAGCTTATTGTACATTCATAATGCTGTTCAGACTCCGAAAAGAGAATTAGGAACAGCAGTGGCTATGTGGATAGCACAAAATTCCAGAAAAGGCCATTTAAATCTGCAGAGGTTAGTTAGTGCATCATTAAAGCAGGCCTTTGGACTATAACAGCAACAGAATGTATAAATTAAAGCAGACAAACAACTCCTTGATACATAATTTTATAAGGAACAAATAATTGGTTTATTCTATGCTGAAATGTATTCCTTCTTACACCTGAAGAAGGCTCCACAGCCGAAACGTTGTATTTCTTTCTTGTCTTTTCAGCATGGAATAAACCTATTACTTGTTCCTTTGCAGCCTACGCATGCTGACGCAGCTACCCACCTGATAATTTTATAAGGCATATATGGAAAGGAAAAATTTCCTGAAATGAATGTAGGACAGCAAATGGCAAATTTAGTGATTGGTAAAATCACAGCATTTAATACATTCCTAGTTATTCTTTCAAATATTGCTTGAAGAATGTACCATAATTTTCACAAAGATAATAGACCCCCTGTGATATTCGAAAAACAGCTGGAAGTAGTGTCATGACTCTATTTCTGTGTGATCATGAGCAGGGTACCTTTTGTAGATTGAAGTCCTTTTGAACAGGCGGATCTGGGCAGGATCCCCAGTGGAATGTCTGGCTTCTGGTCACAGAAACGGACACCAGGGTCAGGAACAGGACAAGGAGAGCCTTCATGTCCACAGGCAATAACACACTGCAAAAATACAGTGACATATTCTTTCAACAGTTTTCTGATTACAACACTGAAATATACTGATAGGTGAAGTGGGAATCTATTACTTATCCATCCATCTATTTTCTGACCACTTCATCCAATTCAGAGCTGCAGGGGAGCCCGATCCTATCCCAGCAAGCAACAGGCACAAGGCAGGGTACACCGAGGATGTGACGCCACACAAAGACACTCACACTCACACCATGATCAGTATACCCAGAACCAACCAGTTAACCAATCAGTATGTCATGTCACTGTGGGAGGAAACCAGAGCACCTGGAGGAAACCAACGCAAACGTGAGGACAACATGTAAACTCCACACAGACAGCACCCCAGGTCCCCTGGACACCCCAGGCCTAAGGGAATTGAACCCGGGGCCCCAGCGCTGCAATGCAGCAATGCTAACCCCTGCAGCCTATGTACCCCATCTGTTAATTATAATTATTATAATACAAAACAATTCATGATAAAACACTCACATATCAGAAAACAGAGCTATTAAAAATCATCCTGTTCTACTATACACAGTGAGTGATCCATTAGTTAAGTGAAAGTTGAATGATTGATTTTCCTGTGCTTATCATCACTGAAAGCTGCAATTAAATGAAGAACCTATTATGTTTAATGTTCACATGTTCCTACAGTGGACTGTTGAGGTTTCAGAGTAATACTTTTTTTTGCTCAGACAATACCCCTTGCTACAGTAAGTGCTTCTTGTAAACTGGGTTAATGCAATAAATGTACTGTGCCTATTTGCACAATTTCAGATCATGAATAAATAATAATCTATTACACTTTTACATTTTAGAAGCATGATCCCTACAAATCCTAACTAAGCTTTACATCAGCAGCCATATCACCCTGCTACTCACAACTGGCAGCCCACTCAAGCTAAGCAGGCGTGAGCCTGGTCAGTATCTGGATGGGAGACCTCCTGGGAAAAACTAAGGTTGCTGCTGGAAGACATGTTAGTGGGGCCAGCAGGGGGGCGCTCTTAATGCCCCAGTATAGTGACGGGGACGCTATACTGTAGAAAGACGTGGTCCTTCGGATGAGATGTAAAACCGAGGTCCTGACTCTCTGTGGTCATTAAAAATCCCAGGACTTTTCTCGAAAAGAGTAGGGTTACAACCCAGGTGTCCTGGCCAAAGTTTACATTGGCCCTTAATAATCCCTGTCTATGAATTGGCTTCATTACTCTGCTCTCCTCCCCACTGATAGCTGATGTGTGGTGAGCGTTCTGGCGCACTATGGCTGCCGTCTCATCATCCAGGTGGGGCTGCACACTGGTGGTGGAGGGGATCCCCATTACCTGTAAGGCACTTTGAGTGGAGGGTCCAGAAAAGCGCTATATAAGTGTAAGCAATTATTTTTATTAATTAGTGGAGTGAACTAATGTGCCATGCTACAATGAAAAGATAGTGGTTAAATTTCAAAGGCAGAGACAGTTTTTCCGACTGAATGAAACATCAGCACACTGTAGAGTTGTTCATACAAAAGTTCTTTGTGTTTTGAATTCCTAGCTGGGCTTTCTACCATATCTTCTTATGGGTGGATATCAGCAGCAGACAAAAGGTGATTTCCTAAAAATGTATCAACTCGCATGCATTAACCCTTCTGGTAATTTGATGAGGTTGGCTTAACTTCAAAATAAGATTATGGTGGGGTGTTTATTAATGATTCATCCCAACGGGATTTTTTGACGAAATGAACGAAAATTACTTAACCAGCTGGTTAAGTAATTAAAATTACCTGCATTACACCACATCAAATTAAACCGGGATTAGAATAGTCTAGGAAATAAATGCTGTATGCCTTTAAAAACATCTTCATGATGAAATATGGCGTGTTCATTTGTAAACCATTAGAAACACCCATTCTGTCTCACCTGATTTCTCTATCAAGCTAACTAATAATAAATGACGTCTTTGATTAAAAAGTGAGTTTCATTTCCAATCTTATTTTTAATGTTTTTAGTATAGTCAATGAAGATCTGTAACTTAATCTAAACGTGTTTGAGCATTATGCAATAGCCAAAAGGATGCACTTGATTTCATTCTCATAAAGTATACCTGTTATAAGAACATCCATCCATTTCCTAACTGCTTTTCCAATTCAGGGTCAGGGGGGAACCAGAGCCTATCCCAGCAAGCAACAGGCACAAGGCAGGGTACACTCTGGATGGGACGCCAGTCCATCGTAGGACACAACAGACACACAGGCATTCACACCAGTGTCAGTTTTTACAGAAGCCTACCTACCAGTAAGTCGATTAAGTGGATCGTGGAAGGAAACCAGAGCACCCGACAAAAACCGACAAAAACACGGAGAGAACCACTGCATCACCGTGGCTGCTTCAGTATAACTATATACTGTAGGAACATGACAAACTAAATTACCCGAACGCTACTAGCCTTCCTTTTACTAGTGGTGTCACAGCAATATACCATAGAACTTAAATTTTCATACCTATCATAACTATCTTTCTAGTCACACTAAAAACACAGCGGTTAGATTTTTTTTTATTTGAAATTCCCGCACCACTTTCGAAGTAAGCATTCTGTGAAAACCACGAAGATAGTTTCTTAATGTCAGATGGAGCGTCAGATTCATTTGGCTAAAAGAAACACCTACTTTTACGATCTTTGTGCTTCTAATTTATATGTGCTTTAAACACGACGACACCTTTCATTCTGAGCAGCCAAATCGGTTGTTGAATTCTCCGTGTTTTTATCTGTGGCTATTAGGGCAGAACACAGCATGCAGGTGTCGAGTCCTAGAAGAGAATCACACCCTTGTCTAGCAAAAGACCGTCATAAAACAAGCTTTTTAAAAAAGCATATTTAAAAAAAAAACCAACACTGTCACACTTTACAGAACGAGATCAGAATGTTATGCTAGGTCACATGCTAAAATACTGTAGTTCGTGTATTGTTTCGAGATTCTTACCCGTCCGTAAAGCTTGGTAGAAAGCCCGTGTAGAATATGCAGCGAGCCGAGTGATCTGCACGGAACAGCAGTCTCTCCGAGATCAGATTACGAAGGACAAGACGCTACTTGAGCCGAGCTGCAGTGTCTGGTACAGCAGCAGCGCGTCCTTATATAATGTGGATGCTCAGTCAAACTGAATGTCATGAGACTTCCCGAAATACAGGTTACAAAACAGTCGTGCTATTGCTCACTTGTTATAAAACATTGGTTTTGCTTTGTGTGCATTTGAACCAGTTTCTGGAAAACATGGGGGAGTTAAGAAATATTTCCCAATCCTTAACCTCTAACACATCTAACAGTCATTGAGGTTAAATGTTGTGTTTGTGATATCTGCAGCCAGCTGCTTATTTTATTTATTCAGTGTACTGTAAGACAGAGTTCTGCATGTTTCAGCAGCAGGGAAGGAATTCCGATTTCATTTCCTGTCTTCTTTTATTCTTCCGTTCTGAGATACTGTATATAAATATTTGACTAAAAGATATTTAATGTCTGTACCAGCCTCAGTAAGAAGATTTTTAAAAATACTTTCATTTTGGGAGTTTATTGTTTTATTACAGCACACAGAACATAACCCTGTAAGTAATAAAATGAATGTTTTGGTTGTTTCATAACCAGATATATTTGTGCCGTTCACCTTTCATAAGAATAAAAAGTCAGAAGCTTATTGTTGTTCTTTGTGTAGTACTCTGTTGTAGAGTTGTGGATTATGTAAATTTGGGCGGTTTTGTAACATGTTTTTAGTTTCACTTTCCGTCTCCTTTTGTAACAAGTTGAGGCCAGTCCAGTCTTTCAAACGAACAAAAACCCAGAAATGCAATGAACATAAGAAAAGTGATTGAGTTGCACATTATTTCTTTTAAGGAACAATTACAGCTTTCACACTGGAAAGTAAAGAAAAAAGACGATGCATTTGCCATGCCCATCCACCCACAGTGCGCGCACACTGCACTCTGTGGTTATGAAATCTGAAGCCTTTCAGCGCAGAGCAGCGCTGCGGCAGGCTGTCAGGGTGAGACCCCAGCGGTCAGTCTGGACACACCACTCAAAGCTCTTTACAGGTAATGGGGACTCCCCTCCACCTCCACCCACGTGAAGCCCCCACCTGGGTGAGGCCTGCCTGGAGAACCAGTCATCAGGGCCAGCTGGATGAGGGCAGCCCAGAAAACCAGACAGCAGGGCAGCTGGACAACGATTGTCCGAGGACGAGACATCTTTTCCTGGTCTGTGCAGAACTGGGTTTTTAGTTGTTGTTGTTGTTGTTGTTGTTGTTGTTGTTGTTGTTGCCTTTTAGAAATCGGAAATTATACCTACAGAGCTGATTGCCAGACAGCTTTCAGTAGCTCACTTTCTGAACAAGAGGGCAGTTGCGCGCTCGCGAGTAGGTCACGGTCTCCCATGGCAACAGCGGGTTGCCAGCCGCTCCCCGCCCGGGCTTAACATTAAGAGGATACAATTTCATTTCAACTCAATTATTTAGTAACTCCTCTAACAAAGCATCGGAAATCCATAGCAAGGCTTTACATGTCCGGAACAGAAAATTATGCTGTAGACGCTTTTATGTTTTTTAAATTTACTTTTTTGGTTGTGGTAAAAGTACTGAGCACAGTCTAATCAAGAAACAGATAATATGTGTTTAATGTATTGCCCAAAGTGAAATAAAGGAAATGCATGCTGGCTCTGTTGGTTTTCTCTTCCATTTATTGTAACTTCATAGAAATGCAACCATAATTACAAGCAAAAAAGTCATGTGGCTTCTTCCTTAATACACATACAATTCCAGACATATTCTATAGGGATATGAACCCCTTACATATCCGTGGGACAGTCGGTCTGATCAGTCATGGTCGTCCTAGCTGTGTCTATGCCATTGGAAGACAGAAGGAGCTTCAGACGGTGTATGGTCTCTGCTGGGAGAGTGCGAGACCTGCTGAGAATCCAAGCAAAGTCAACGTGGAAGACGCCCAAGACATCGGCGCAGGAATAGACCAGCGAGTAGCTGTCACAGTCAGTGGACAACACCCAGTATGGGCTGAGCCGCTCCCCTGAAACAGAGCAATGCCTTATGAGGTGACAAGAGTTTGACATGCAGTGTAACTGTAGCTACAGTAGAACTGCCATTTCTGTCATGTCTGACCCGCCAGCTTCCGTTTCACATGCGTCCTTGCCCCGTACTGTACGATTCTTCCAAGAGCGCCTGTGTGCGATACCGATCTGCTCCCGGAGCACTTCCTGACAGTTAGGCAGGACAGATTGGCCGACAAGTACTGCGAAGTGAGTTTGTGAGTGAAGCGCCAACTGCGTTTCACAGGTGGTCTCCTCTTGCCCTTCCTCTTCCTTCTGTCACCATTTCATATCACTGGCTTACGTGAAATCGCACAAAGCCAACGTGAGGCCCTCGAAGTAAAATGTGGGTTGGACCCCAGTTCATTTCACTTTATCCTTGTCTATTAGGATTCTGCTACTGTTGGGACTTGCCTCCAAAGAAGCTCACTTCCAGTATTTCAGGTGGGGAGCTGCGTCCGCATGCGTGGGCTGCAAAAGAACAAGTCATAGGTTTATTCCCTGCTGAAAAAAAGAAGAAAGAGAACACAACGTTTTGGCCGTGGGGCCTTCTTCACCTTTTCAGCAGGGAATAAACCTATTACTTGTCATTTCCAGTATGGCTGTGTTAGCTGCATTCTTCAGCTCAGCCATTCCCACAATTTCACTGGGCTTGCCATCAGGCCTATAAAAAGACACAATTCCTTCTCGAGGATTAAAATAGTATTTGAAATATTATTTTGATAATGTTAGTGGTGATATTTATGAATTATGTAATGATGAGGATGAACACCACCCTTGTATTTAATTTAAAAAAAACACGAATTCATTCTGATGAATCCTTAATGTGGCTTGTCAATAAGAGATTAGCATAATTAATAATAACAACAATAAAAACCATAATCATAATCATGAATAGTAAAAGAGTAACCCTTACAGAATTTCTTGGTTCAAAACCTGAACTTGTTTATTGCTCTCCAGTGTGTAAGGGGCCTGGTTGCACTTTCCTTTTTCAAAAATTGCAGGGAGCTTTTCAATCTCATACCACCTGCCAAGATACTGTTGAAACAGAAAAGAGTTTGCACAGATTTAGTGGTGAGAATTTATCCACACATCATTTAATAACAGCCTCATTCAATTTAGGGTCATGGGGGAGGCGGAGGTCATCCTGGCAAGCAATGGGCACAAGGCAGGTTACACCCTGGTTGTCCCGCCAGTCCATCACAGGGCACACACAGACACAGAAGTGCACACACTCACACCAGGGCCAGTTTTACCAAAAGCCAAGTAACTAACCAGCACGTCTTTGGACTGAGGGAGGAAACCAGAGCATGCAGAAGAAAACCATGCAAACACAGGGAAAACAGACAAATTCCATGCAGATAGCACCATTGTCTGCATCTGAAGACCAGGCCTCAGTGCTGTGAGGCAGCAATGCTAACCACTGCATTACTATACTTCCATTGATCATTTCTATTAATTTTTTTATAATTCCTTTCTTTTTGTTATTCTGTCATTGTGGTTGTGGTAGTATTAGCTACAGTTTAACAGTGACAACAGTTCATGAAAAACAGGAAAAAAAACCTTGCTTAAGTCAAAGTTACGCTGAACTGGCGGTTTAGGACATTTTCCTGTGTGAAATGTTTGACCATTTGCACCCAAAAGAGGGAGGAGGGCCAGGAGCATTGCTTGTACTACTTGCATTTTCACAGCTGATCTTAAACCTTCTGCAAATAATGGGGACTCCCCTCCACTACCACCAATGTGCTGCAACCACCTACTGTAGTTGATACCATGGCAGTCATAGTACATCAGTACACTCACCACACACCAGCTCTCAGTGGGGAGGAGAATGATTAAACCAATCCATAGATGGGAATTATTAGGAGGCCATGACTGGTAAAGGGGTAACACCTCTACTCTTTTCAAGAAACCTCCTGGGATTGTTAATGACAGTCAGGACCTCCATTTTACGTTTCATCTGAAGGATGGCACTTTTTTATTTTTACAGTATAGTGTCCCCATCCCTATACTGGGGCATTAGGACCCACACAGACCCCAGGGTGAGCGCCCCCTACTGGCCCCACTAACACCTCTTCTAGCAGCACCTTTAGCTTTCCCAGGAGGTCTCCCATCCAGGTACTGGCCAGGCTCGCACCTGCCAGCTTCACGTCAGTGGGCTGCGGAGTTGTGAGTTGCAGGACGATATAGCCAGGCCTGACGAGAGGGGGGGTGCGTGACTCCGGGGCCCGTTGGTCTCTGAAGGGGCCTTGGCCTGTCCTGTTATTATTTTATCATGGACAATGTTTGCACTTTTCCAATTACTGACTTTTTGAAACGGCCATCCCTTCGGCAATTAACAAGGTCATTTACTAAGTTTTGACGTTTATCACTCCGGTACATTTAAAACCAATTTTACAACGCAGGGGGCCAGGAAAGGTTGTCTTCCCTGGGGCCCGTGTTGGCTCTCAGCGCCCATTCTATACGAAGCACCTCACACTACTCAGCTCTTTGTCCGTATCGACCTCACGGATGTAGGCATCCCACGACCGAACCAAAACCCAGTTTTTACATTCAACAGACACGCCCGAAGCCGTCAGAGGTGGGGTTTCTCCCAGCACTCCCTTTACGTCACCTATCACGAGGTAAATGCCTCGTTTTTGGTCAAAGTGATCTGAAATCCGCTTAAATCCCGCTATCGTGGTTCGTCAACTTTTTAGAAACATTGTTTTTGAGTTCATATTCTTAATATGCTCTGCACCCACTTCGTGCACTCGAAAAGTATCTAGTGTTAGTCTTAAGTTGACTTTGATAGTATTGTGAGCTTCTGGTCTCATGTACCACGTTGAAATACACTGTGTTAATCTTAAAGGGTTTAATAAACGGGTTTCAGTGTATAGATCAAAACAGAAGACCAGTCCATAATATTCTCTTCTTAATGACCAGAAACAGAATTAGTTGCAAACGCAATAATTCCTCCACAATGGTTTGTAGTACCCTGGTAATATGAAAGCCTCATTATTTATAACTATTTTATTAATGGCCGTGCAGACCTGCTGGCGAATGCTATGCAATGGAGTGGAGACGACAGGAAGTTCACAGGAGGAAAGCTAGAAACGTGAGTTACTGATTTTTTGTCAAGCCAAAAACTGCGCAAATCTAAAAATGCATTCAGAACTGTAGAGTCGGATACTTAAATGGAATAACCATAAGAAAGAGAAAAGAATAAACGAAAAATGTTTCAGACTCTTAATGCCCGAGTTTGGAAATGTAGGAAAATTGCGTTGCGCGGAAACAACTCATCACGGGCATATCTTAAGGTTGTTACAGAAAAAAAACTGGCCTCCTCTCAGTTTCCTCCTTATTCACATCTCTAACCCCCAGTATTCAACTCTCACGTAACCTGCAAGCCCTGTACGTGTGAAGACAGGGAGGGGTAGTGTGCTGTGTGGTAGATAGCTATTAAATATCAGCGACCGATTGCATGGTTGATATTCTTATCCTACATCAAACAGAAAGTAATCCAATAACAAGTTATGAAACACTAATGAAACCCATTAATCATTATTGGGATTTTCAAGGAGTGAAAGGCAGGGAAATCGAGAAATACGAGGGTCGCTGACTTAGTTATCGCTGAATAACATACACGTACGCCGGCAGTTTAGATTAAACAGTGCACCAGATCAGTTTTAGGACTGCTCATGTTTTATTACCACTTTAGGGAATTGTGTGAGTTCTGCGAATTTGTTTTTTGGTCAGGCTGTTTCGCTGTTACATTCATTGCGAAGCAGAAAAAAAAAAGTAAAGTCCCTGGCCTTGTGTTCCATCATTGAAAGTTAGAAAAAAACACCTAAAACCCATCTTCAATGTATTTTAAAGTAAATAAGTGACAGCTAACATAAATCCATATGGGCAAGTCTTTGAATGTGGTTATTAATAGAATAGTTCTGGCCTTTCTGATATATGTTTTTCATTTTAGATGAAGTGAAGCACAGCGGAATTAATTAAACCGATTACTTAAGTTCACGACAAGGTGGACTTCAAAAGTCGTTACGGCAGTTGCGAGTGACAAATACAACCCGAAAATGTAAGATACGTTGTGAGGTAAGACGTTTAGTTCTGTTTGCATCTGGGAATTTGAGGGATGTATTAAAAACTTTATGCTGGCTCAGTCGTACCCTGCGCGTAAGTCGACGATAAAAACGTATTATGTTTGTAGCAGGCAAAGAAACACCGTTATTAGTTATTTTTGGATGTGGGTAGGGAGACATTGTTATTACTTGTGACGTTACAGTCACAGACATATTTTAACGTCATAAAGACAAGGGGTATGTCATAGAAATCCAGTTTCTTCGATGGTTGTGAGAATTTTAAAAACCGTTGTGAGCTGAAATTGTTTCAGGTTGGCACCCGACAGGGCGTCGTTCACGGTCCAAGCGTAAGGCATCAAGAAGTGTTTTGGATGTTCCGCCGAAGTTTCTCTTTTCCGGTTGAGACGCGTCGCCTCCGGATCGGTTTGCTCTGTGGGAATGGAGGACCGGCAAAATCAGTCCAGGACCTGCAGGCCTGTCATGCCGAGAGCCCTTTTCGGCACCTAGCTGAGGACCTGGGCAGCTGGGAGCATCTTTGCCGTCAAAACTTGCCCCCTGACCTCTCAAAACTAAATCTTTCTGATGACAGAAAGGGTTGTACTATGGCACCGGTCTCCATCCAACAACCCAGTGGCAAGTATTGAATATGTGTCTTCATTTGGTTCAGAAAAGGGAAATGAATGCACACCCAAAACTACTGAGGTGCTGTTTAATAAGATGGATCAAATTTAAATGGACATGAGGCACATCACTCCACAATAATTCATTATAAGCTATCAATATTTTTGCCCAAAGAACCATGGCATGGCAAACATATCATGTTCACAGTGTATAAGAAATTATGGAAGGTGGGTGTCCCACTTTTTTCTTTGCTTATTTTTTTTGTTTACATTTTGTAACATCAAAAAGGGACAGTTTACACTGAGAGATGATCGGGGGGGGAATTGGCCGAGAATCGACTCCATCTTCTTTGTAGTTTAAGTTTGTTCGATTTCTGTCTTTTCTCCGGAGCCTTGTAACGATTTCCCCCAGAAGAGATGTTAAATACAGACCCTTTCGATATTCACGGTCTCTCTCTTGCAAACATGTCCTATGAAAAACAGCCAGCCCTTCAATGCCGTGTGGTTTCCAGGACAAGTCCTGCTTTTGGGAGCGTTCGAGACCCCGAAGGATGTGACGGAGGATGGCAGTGACCGTCTTTGTTTGCTGGAAGAGATTGTGGACACAGATTCGAATGGGAATGATGTGAACCACATCAAAGAGAGCAGGTGACGGGGGGGGACAGGGTTCATCGGGAGCTGTACATCTAAATTCACATGCTGCTGTAGCCTTTAGATAGATAATACTTTATTAATCCCGTAGGGAAATTGATTTACAGCTATGGTGAAAGATCTCAAGTGCTCTTACCTCACGGAACACTTTTTAAGATGCTCTTAAGAGGTTTCTTGGATTCATTAATTTCGTTTGAGATTAGAAGCAGTACTGTAACATAACAAGCTCAGTCCATTGTAAAGTCAGGCAACCTCTGGTAGCCAGTCAGTTGCTTATTGTTTGGAGATGACAGTCAGCGCTGGAGCTTATACTGTACCTGAGAGTCGACTGAGGTTTAATCTGCGATGGCTAGAGTAATACCAAGGATGGAAACGTTGGAAAATCATTGAATTGAATCACTATCACTAGATCCACTGGTAATTTTCCATTAGTTCTGCTAGTTAAAGAACCAATTGTATTTGGTGACCTATAAGTTAAGTATGAAGTGCTAAGAGACATTTGTACACCATATGCACATAAAATCAGATTCGGGGAGGTAAAGGTTTTCATTTTGCTTAACTGCGTCTGCCTTTTCTCTGTCATCCTTTGTAGGTTTTTAGAGACCATCGAAAGCATCTATCAGCTAGAAAATGGTAGTTATTTGAAATTGCTCATTTACCATCTAATAACCTGCTCACAGTGTTTTGCCTTTGCCTCAAAACAGTTTTATCTCTTTGACTTTTTTGTGCCTGATCGATCACCCATGAAAAATCATTGAACATAAGAAAAGTTAGAAATAAGAGATGCTCATTCAGCCCATCTAGAATGTTTAGTAGTTTGTAGGTAATTTGATTCAATGGGAACATAAAAATACAGACAAAAATCTTTTGTACTGTAAGGTATTCTGTCCTCATACTTATGGTGTTTCTCTTTTTTTCTGTAGATAAACAGAACGATTGTCACTACGATCACTTAACAGAAAAAGAGAAAGTCGTTAATGAGTCTAATTTGTAAGTCTCTAATTGGTATTCTTTTGTATGCCAAGCAATGTCTAATACATTTCAGATGTGGTCTGGCAAAAAATATTTGCTTGTAATCTTACTGTTTAGTTGTTGTTTTTTTGTTCTATTCAGCCACACTTTCTGAATATCTCAAAGTTGGCATCTTTTTGTTTTAATGTCTGTCCCAAAAGGAGCATGGCATCAAAGAGCTACAACATGGCCGAACTGGTGCATGCCAGAAACCGGCTCGCTGAGGAGAACGCAGAGATCCAAAAGTCCATAGAAATGACAGAGGAAACTAATGCACAGCTCCGCAGTGAAAACACTGCCTTGAAGAAGCAAGTCAAGAGGTAAAACTATTATTTAAACTTGCTTCTTGGTAATTCTAGAACTATTAAGAAATATGCCTTTTTTTTGTCGTTTTCAGTCAGACATCAGATGTCAATCCGCAGGAAGGCCAGTGTAGCTAGAGAAAGTGCCTCTTGCCAAAAAAAAAGTAAAAATAAAATGAAACATGAAGCTCTCTTAAATTATTTTTTGTTTTCTGAAAAGAGGATAACAGCTCTTAAACGGGGAAATCTTGGAACATTTACACGTGAATGGTACCGAGAAATAAAAGTGATCCTGTACTGTCAGTTCATATATTGCCAAGAGTCGTGTTTTTAATGTGCTGCATTTGTTTGTCTTTCCTTTGTCTCGTGTTGTGTGTATGTGAAAATGGCACCTGAAGTATAAAACAATCCATCCTTCAGGCTGAGGAACTTGGAGTTGAGCTAGAGGAAGTGCAGAGTGCCTTATCGGAATCAAGCATCACAAATACCAAGTTAAAAATGAGAGTCAAACAACTGGTAACTGAATCATGATTCATACTCAAACACAGTATTCAAAGTATGTGCTTCTTATTCAGTTGTTTGCTGTTGATGTAAGTCACAGAGATACCTCCCTTGAATTAACGTTCTTTATTCCCGTTCGTTTTTTACTCTCCAAGCAGTCTCTGAATGTGTCTTCTAACATGTTGTTTAATAATATTGGTAGGAAGAAAATAGCCTTCAGAATTTAGATTGTGATCTGCCATCAATATACGACTTGCCTTGGGGCAAAGATTTTATATTTATTATAGTGGGGAAACAAACTACACAATTGGCCTTGTGAGAGGTGGCAAGAGAAAGACAGAACATCTATTTTTTCATTTGCAACAACTGTATATTTTTCTTCTCCATGACAGGAAAGAGAAAATGAAATTCTGAAAGACAAAATTGATTGTGTTACTGATGAGGTATGTATAAATTAAATCAATAGTCAACTTCAAGATTTACCAGTGTTATGTATCATGTTCATTGATTCTTCCTGTGCATTCATATTATGCAGCGTACCTGTGAGTAGTCCCAGAGAGTTTGTTTTTCTGTAGTGGGCTTTTGGAACACCTTATTGTTGACTTTTTATCAAACATTAGTAAAAAAAAAACAGAAAAATACAGAAGTTAGTGGGAATGTTGCTTTGAAACAGTTTGGTCTCTTCACAGTTAATGTTTCTAAACCAGTTAATGTTTCTATAGACTTTACTGAGAATAAAGTATGCATACTATTCTTTATGTGAAAGGTTTTTTTGTATTACAGTATGTTTGTGTATTCTTTATGTATTAATGCATAAAAAGAAGAAACTAAATATATATATATATGTTTGTTTATATTCTAGATGGATAATATGTTGTCAGAAAGAGAAGTGGATAAGAAGAAAATTATCCATCTTGGCAGTATGTTAAAGGTTTTAGAGGTACTATTGATGTCACTGATTTAACTTAATAAATCAGTTACTGGGGTCTGCTGCCTGTTGTCTTCTGTGTCTTTTACATCCGTCCAGAAACAACATGCACAGAATGTTAGATCCTATTATATTACATTTGCTACAGGGATTTTATTTACCTCTTTTTATCTTGCTCTTAACTTTAGTTATGTAATAAAGGTTATGAAATATAAGCTACTAGGTATCACCGGATGTACTGTAATATCATTATTAAAATAGCATTTAACGTTTTATCTGATTCAAAGCTGGTTAATTTATACAGCCACAATTAACTTAATAGAGCCAGTTGCCACAGGACAACAGATTAAATATTCATGTAATGATGGTAATTATGTAAACCAGGTTTGTGGTATCTTAGGGTGGCTGTGTAGCATTACTTAAATTTAATCAACATCTGTCTGATATTAAGAGGCTTTGTGTCCTTTCAATGACAACTATTAGTAGTGGGCTTTTTCTGATTGTTGTCACATTTTGTAACCATTGCTTTGAAGCCTTAAAGCTTGTTGTTTGTTTGTTTGTTTGTTTGTTTGTTTGTTTGTTTGTTTGTTTGTTTGTTTTTTTAAGAACCAACTAGAAGAAGAAAGGCTAGCTCTAAACCAAAAAGATGAAATTGTTTTAAAGGTAAATAAAATGATGCTTTCATGAAATGTTGTTTTTTATTAATAAGTATATGGGTATGGTTTACAAATATTTACTTGCAAATAAAATTGTTTATTTATGTGGGCATGTTTTAAATGTGTTTCCTCTTAAAGGAAAAATTGTAAAACATTTTACTTAAATCTGAAACATTTAAGGTAAATTTACAGCAACAGTATCTAACATTCAAAAGCAGTTGGACCCAAATGTTTCAGGTCCGAGTTTAATTCTAATACGTTAGAATTGTATTTTTTCATTCAAACCAATTATTTTCATTCTGCAGAGCAATTCTCTATAAATCAACAGATCTATTGCAGCATTTCATTTATTGTAATTGACATTTCTGGTTATGGGTTGTTCCGTGCTGTTACACAACTGAAAAAGAGGAATTTTCTTACTTTGTCAGATTTTGTGAGAAAAATTCACCTGAGGAATTATGGATCCTCTGAGATTTAAAATGTAATTTGACCCCCCCTTTTTTTTTACTAAATTGTTTTCTCTTGAAGCTTTCTTCTTTCACCTCTAGAACTCTGTTCAACTCTTAAGTGAGAGTTTAAAAAAATGAGTGCCTAAGTTAATTAAAAATTAATTTTGGGGAGTTGCCATATGAGGGCGATTAGTAACATTTTTAAATTTAAATTCAGCCTCGCTTTTTGCCCAGAGAGAAAGGTAAGTGGGCTTTAGGAACCAGTCTTCCATGTTTTTGGAAACATTTTTTATTTCACATTTTCCAACGAGTCAAAAACCTCCCTGGAATATTTTTGTTTGGGTTTTTATTTGTGCTATTTTTACCAAGTTCAATTTGCAGTAGATTGCTTGGGTGGGTCTCTGACACCACCCAAGATTCTTTGGATAAAATGTCAAAGAATTGTAGTTTTTTGGATGGGTTCTGAAGTAGCATTTACCATTTATTTGAGCGTTATTGACGGGCACTGTGGCAGAGCTGCAGTAGCAGACAGGGCTCTCCAAACTGCCAGTGTTCTTCATTTCTTCACAGCCAGGGGGAGCTGCAGAGCTGTGCCAGCCTCCTGCTCGTGAGGGGGTTAGGATGGGTTGGAAGTAGTGCATTCTTTTTCCTAGGACATTCTGTCCCTCGCATCTTTTAAAAATAAGGGATTTGACCCATTTTAAAGAAACGACAAAAAGGGTTATAAATGACAGGAAACTATTCAGTCTGTCTAGGACATTTGGTTGCTAAATGATTCAAAGACTTCATCCTGCTGTGTCTTGAACGAAGTCAGGATATCGGCTTCAACACCATAGATGGTTAGTTTCCCAATGATTTGACTGGATAAATCAAATGCAAATTCTCATTTACATGATTTCGTAGAGAGTTCCTTTTTATACAGCAGGGCAAAATGGAGTAATCTGACTGAAGGAACTTGAAGTACCTTGCTCAAGGGCAGACCAGTATTGTCTCACCTTAGATTGGAACCCTCAGGCTGGGGTTATAAGTCTCTAGTGTCCCAGCTGCAACTCCACACTGGGGACCAGCTAGAGTTACACATCACGGGTTACTCAGCCTCAGACAGGGGACTCAGTGCTGTTTAGAGGACGGGTGTCCTTCTCTGACACCACTACAAGCCAGCAAGCAGTCAGGATGTCTCATATGGTACAACAGCCTCTGGGGAGACCTACTGGAAGAAGTGGACGAATAGTGGGGTGTGCTTCCTGCCACTCTCTCTGCTGTAGAGCAGGCAGGTTATGGCCCAGTCTGTGGGACTTGGGTTTCTTTCTGGAAGCAGTCTGGAGTGACAGCACGAGATGATAGACTCTGAGCTCATTTTTCTGGTCAAGGTTAGCATGACGTTTTCTAGTTTTGCATAAGAATTTTTTTTGGGGGAAAAGAGGAAATATATTTGAGATCATTGCAATTGCTGATTTTTAATTAATTCAGACTGAATATCTGCTGTTTTCCAGGCAAATATTTTTCTTGTTTCTTACCAAGAGCACCTGTTACAGTATATTGTTTAAACCGAATGCTGTACTGTTATTTGACTTTGCATTTTTCTTCTGTTGTAGAAAGATTTCGTGATTGAGCAGTTGAAGAATTCACTGAGTGAATACTCTTCAGTTGTGCAGGTACATATTCAGCATGAGCAATTCAAGAAAGTGAATACCCAGCAAGCATTACACTTCTTGCAGTTTGCACAGCGATGTCTCATGAGAACTTTCCTCTATAAAGGAATATGATACTTTGACTAAAGGAACTGAGTCTTTTTAGCTTGGAACAGGAAGGACTTGATTCAGCTGTTCAGAATGCCTGCATACTTGGCAAGTCAATTCTCAAGGGAGCCTCTTCACGATTAGCAGCAACAGCAAGGCCATTGAAGACTGAAAACAAGAAATGTTTCTTTATACAAAGAATTGTGGGGGAATGGATCAAACTTACATCATGTGGTCGAAGCTTACTCGTGTAATCCTTTTGAAAAAATAGAGAACTCATCAAATGTGAAGCTGCTAACAATAAAATGATTGAGATGGGCCAAATGACCTTTGTTTGTAGCCTGTCTTGTATTTTAGGAGCCTTGTTCTCAATTTTCAAGAAGCTTGTTGAATATATTAAAGAAACACACAGTTAATGTTCATGCTTTGAAATAACTTTCATAGCACATTTCCTTGAATGTAATAAAAGAAATCATAAACTTGCCAGACATTTTTTTAAAACTGCAGTTACAAAAGGTCTGCTTGACCTTAATGTGGAGTTAATGAAGTTATGCGCTGTAAGTGAATACATGTGACTTTTAGGCTTGAACTAAAACCAGACAGTGGAATTTTGATTGGCTGCTGGTTATTTTGTTATTTTGCAGGATCTGCGTGACAAGGTGAAGGACTTACAGAATCAGCTTGCTGAAATGCAACAGGAAGCTGCTCTGTATGTATATGATTTCAACAGTGAGCCTTTGTGTAATGACAACATTCACCAGCTGCCATTGCAGCACAACTTTTCATTTTCATAAAAATAATACAATAAACACTGTTTCTATTGTTACATTTAATAAGCCCGTATCCCTCAGCAAAGTATCATGTCAAAAAATATTTTAGACAGTTTTGATTTAGTTGAGAAACAGGCATGCTGGACCTGAATCAATGGCCAAAAATGGATCCATATGAAAATTAATTGAAATGTTCACATTTTCGAAATATTATTGCACTATAACTATTCTGATAAGTGATATATCCTTGTTACTAAGTACAATACACAGATGCACAATGACATGACTGACAAATTAACTGCATGTTTATGTTATAGATATGCTGATTAATTTAAAGGGACAATGAAAATGAACCTGTTAGAAAAATGAACTAGTCAATACGTAGAAACATACAGCCTAAGGAATTTTGAAACAGCATTACTCTCAAAGCTTTGACAATTAAAGATATTGCTTTGGTTCTCTTTGGTTCTCAACTGGCCATTTGTGCTGAATTCAGTGGCGATCTCAAACGTCAGGTGTGCCTGACACTAGGTAGAAAACACCTAAGCAGAATTCTGACAGGAGTATTATTATTATTTGCTGAGGAGATGCTCTTGTCCAGAGTGACGGAGTTACTTTACATTAAGCGCAGACACGAAAGGAAAGAAAATCTGTGGTTCCGAGCAAGTAAGGTAAAATTATGAGAAAAATTAAAAGGCAAGCACAGTCATGCAGGAAAAGAAAGTGCAGGTGCCACACCAGCACTCGCACAGCATCGGTGCTGTGCAGATAGTGTGGCTCCCCACCTGGAAGAGGAAACGTATGTAGTGAAATACGGTTTAGTAAGAGTGACCGAATGAAGTATTGAGAGCCTGGAAATCACGAGTGCTGTCTGAATGAACGCCTCGTGATACACTGGAGATTAAATTAAGTAATTTGGTCCTTTTTCTGTTCCTTATTTTTCAGAAATGCTGAAAGCGTTGCTTCGGGAGGGTTCAACGATAATGTTGCTTCAGAACCCTCGCTAGGTTACGAGTTAGAACAGTGCACAAAGGTGAGGAATTATCAGTGTGATATACGTTTTTTAGGTAAGGTCCCCTTTTCAGGCTGTAGAGGCCCATGGGGGAATGGGGGCAAGGGCCACCATTTTTCTCAACCATCCAACACTGGAGGTGATGTGATCAGCATCACGCTCCGGCCAGCCTGTTACTCCTGGAAGGATTAACCCCCGGTACTCACTTGGCTCCCAGGTCCACACAGCCTGCTTTCCGCCTGGAAGGAATTAGAGCAAGTTACATCGCCTGGGATTGAACCTGGGACGCCCTTGCCGACTGAGCTACCATGGCTCCTTCAGTGTAGTATCTTCTTCATCCCAGCGTTAGTCCCGCATCAGCAGGGTCCGCTTGTCGGCACGCCCGTCTCCATTTGGTGGTTTGAACCAAATCTTTGAGCTGACGTTGGTCGCATTAAATGCGACCGAGAATACTCCAGCCGGCACGTCGCTCCGCCTGCCGAGCAGGAGAACAAAGCAATGTAGCCGATTCATAGAGGGGGATTATTAGGAGGCATGGGAATTTGGCCAGGACGCCGGGGTTACACCCCTACTCTTCTCGAGAGACACCCTGGGATTGTTAATGACCACAGAGAGTCAGGACCTCGGTTTTACATCTCATCCGAAAGACGGCGCTTGTTTTACAGTATAGTGTCCCCGTCACTATCCTGGGGCATTCATGGACCGCAGGGTGAGCGCTCCCTGCTGGCCCCACTAACGCCTCTTCCAGCAGCAACCTTAGTTTTTCCCAGGAGGTCTCCCATCCAGGTACTGACCAGGCTCACACCCGCTTAGCTTCAGCGGGCTGCCAGATGTGAGTTGCAGGGTGACATGGCTGCTGGCTCCTTCAGTGTAATATATTCTGACTGACTTTTGGGTCCATCTTGTGGCTGCCATTGGAGTTGCAGCTGCAGCATTTAGTAGGCCTTACTACTTGCTGTTTTGGAGAAACACGTAAAGGTTTATTCCATGCTGTAAAGAGAGACAACATTTCGGCTGTGGAGCCTTCTTCACACCTCACACCTGAAGCAGGCTCCACAGTCGAAACGCTGTGTTTCTTTTCTTCTCTTGTTCCTTTGTAGCCTACGCGTGCTGACGCAGCTACCTACTTCAACTATTATCCTTTATGAAGTGTGATTGCAAAGACTGAATTAAATATTCAGTCTTTTTTTTTACCATAGGAAGCCAAAATAGATGAAGAAGCAGATGACTTTGGCATTGTCAGTGGCCCATTTCGAAGGTGAGACCAATTTTATCCCTTATTCTGTGTGTGGGAGAGGCAGGAAAGTTTTGTTGTACCTCCATCTGCCCTGTGCAAAGCAATAGCACTTTAAAAGCTGTTTGTGAATTCTGTAGCCCATGGCTGACACAGAACCTCTAACAAAGTCTGCTTGGGTGCCATTCACAGGAGAAAAGCAATGTAGTAACATATTAATCCTACTTAATTTTTTTTCATTGCTGTCTGTGGTTTCAGAATTGTGTTTTTTTTCCTGCACCTGGATTTGCATTGACATAAGTCTAGTCTGTTTACGCGTGAAGGACAGGGTTGCATAGTGTGTCGCGTTTAGTATGAGTGTGTCCAGCTTCTGTGTCAGCAGGCTGTGGCAAAGGTGCGTGAGGCTGAAGACGGCGGCGCTGTCTGCAGGCCTGCTGGGATTGGGCTTCCTGCTGCCCCTGGGCGTCTACACTGCCCTGATGCCCACCGTTCAGAGCCACCTGGGGGCCCCCTGTAGCGACTCGCTCTGGAACGCGGCCAGGCACTACCTGAAGCCTTACTGCAGCCTGAGTCACGTAACCCCTCCTCCGTGGTGACTGGCTCACCGAACTCTGAGAGAGAGAGGACCCATCGCTGTGTGTTTTGGATCAGTTCTGGATTAAACCTGTAGTGAACTAAGTACTGCTTGTGAGACAGCTGCCCATGTCCCTTCCCTGCCTCCCCCCACAGGACTTGAATGCTGTAAAGAAATAAAGGTTCAGACAGTAGTGAAGCGTTCTTTTCTTTTGTCATTTTTTTTTCAATTCAGTTATGTGGGGTGAATCATATGAGATGCACCAGATGACTAAATGACATGGTGAAAATTACTAAGCACTATGTAGAGTATAAATGTTAGAATCACTTCGGGGCACAAGAGAAAGTGGGTAAAACAGCGCTGAGTTCATCAGTCTCTGTCCACGACCTGTGAAAACCCTACCGGGAATCCACGTGTCCACGCAATAGCGCCTTTTTTTGGAGGACACACTTCGCCGGAAATGACGCCACATCGTCACCGAAAGGGTTAAGGGCCTTGCGTCTGACGTATTCGCAAAATGGCTGAATGAGAGATTAAAAATGGACCAAACCTTTTATCAGGTTAGTTTAAAAGAGCGGTGTGCATTATCTTCAACGCGAATCTCATTGTTTAAGCTTTAAATAAGTTCCATCGGTGATAATGACCTGGTTGCGCATGGATGAGGCGATAAGTGTATTACAACTTTGTTTTTATAGGCAGTGTCCGGCGTGTCTTTTCGCAATAAGAGCCCTTTGTTGTGGAAAAAGCAGTCTGACCGGGAGACTACTAATGTAAAGGACAGATCTGCAGCTTATGAGCTTTATGAGAGCGGACCATGCACACAGTTGCTTATTCAACATTTTCCTTAAAGCCAGAAAACGTAGAAAGCGAGATTCTGTTACATATGAGCCACATTACTGTTTGTAGCTCTACAATCCAATTTGCTGTGAAAGCTGGATTTCGTACTAATGACAAATTTAAAACTTGTGTTTACATTTAAATTGCTTAAACAATATTGCAAATAACACTGAATGAATCTTCTGTGACTTTAGCTATTGCATATGTTGTATGTAAAGCGTAATGTTTTTTGGCTTTTCCTACAACTTTATGTAGACCACTTTGTGTATTGTCAGTGCAGTGTAAAAATATTTTTGCGTGTCTTTGATTCTTCACATTTCCACGCTGGGTTGGTTTACAATGCATTCACAAGCTTCGCCTGTAGTGTTTTGCCTATGCAGCTGAGGTTGTTACAGCTGCTTTAACGTGTACTCTTAACTTCGGGATTAATATTTACACTCCCTGAAGTGTGATCGACTGGCTATAAACCGTAGAGCCCATGTCAACGTTTGTGTGTCACTGTTGTGTGACTGAATATTTGATTTTTAAGTACCCACGAAGTTTCCACATTTCATGCCGTGACGGTGCATTTCATTCGCACGTTGTGCTACTCTGCTTTGAATCAGGAAATGTCTAACGGAAGTCTTTGACTCATTTCGGATGCATTGTTATTATTTTTTTTAGTAGCCGATGTCAAAAGATGATTTCTTGATATCCAAAACTGAAATGCCAACATTTTTGTGGATATGACAAATGTGAAAAAACACATTGATATCTAAGTTTGGAGTTTGGCATTGACCTTTTTTTCAACGTCAGTAACTCTGGTTTTGTTTTTGTTTGTTTTTTTAAAACAGATCTAACGAAGCCCGATTTTTTTTATTCAAGTAACACCAAATGTTTAGATCGCAAAACTGTTTTGCGATGTACTGTATGTGTGTGTCTGGTATTGGGAGTTGAGCTTTGCTGCTTCAGAGCTCTTCCATCCTGGTGTATTTCATCCTGCCCCACGGAGACGGCATGTTTTCTCCACGGCTGAGAGGGTTTTCCCCTCAGTGCCCCGTTTTCAAGAGACTGGCATTCCTCTGAACCTTTATAATCTTAGATATAATTATACCTATTTTGTTTAAAAGGAGAATTTTAAGCTTTATCCATTCTGTTGAGGTATTAAGAACTGGTTGTGTTGTGGTAAGCCTGCATGTATACAAATGTCTGCATAGTCAAAAACTAGTAGGTTATGCTTATGTTTTTTAAGATAAAGCAGCAATACATTTCCCAACCAAGTATCTTGCAGTCTTCTAAAGCCATAGAAACCCAAGAGTGCATTTTGACATGAATAACTGTGCATACTCCCCAGGTTTAATGGAGTGACATCGGTGCTTCTTTACCATGCAACCCCTACATCACTGCAAGCATCTTCTAGACCAGCTGAACAAACAGCGCGAGGCAGGGTTCCTGTGTGACTGCACCGTTGTGATCGGCCAGTCCCAGTTCCAAGCTCACAGGAATGTACTGGCAGCATTTAGTGAATACTTCAGCACACAGTGTGGGGATCCAGCTGGGAACAGCGTCATGCTTCTGGACCCAGAGACAGTGGACGCAGCATGGTTTGAGAAGCTGTTGAAGTACATGTATACTGGGGACATTGAGTTTGAAAGGTAGGCAGCTGTGAAAAATGTTATTAAATAAAGAAGCACTACGGGCTCACCAGTCCTCCTCCGAACTTGTAGCTGATTTATATCAAATGTCATGAAAATTACACCAGAAAATGTCTTGTGTATAGTGGGCGCATCACCGTGTATCTCTTAGTAGAATACAATCAGTGTACTTACGGTTGTCAATTTGTGTAGAACTCTCATTTAGTTGCATTTTTTAATATTCTTAAACCTGATGGTAGCCTCTCTGTGCCAGCTGTTTTTCTTGAATGCGGTCGATCTTTCTGCAGCTGCAATGTGAGAGAAGTCCATAAGGCTGCCACCTTCCTCAAAATGGAGGCACTGGCTGCGCTGTGTGATTTGACCCTGGGCTACCTGACAACAGACGCCAAGCCTGTTTTTACTGAAAGCGCGAGCGCTGCTGGGGAGCACGAGACCGGCGAGCACGAGACCGGCGAGCACTCCGTGGCGTTGACCGGTGACGAGTTTTCCGATGCGGATGATGCATTGATGGATTCCTCACCGGAGAGCCCAGGTTCTGTCCTCTCGGCAGCCGAGAGTACTGAAGTCCACACGCAGGGGCCCGAGAAGATGGGAAAGAAAGCCAGGAAGCCCAGAAACTCGGCTGATGGCGACAGCCAACCAAAGAGCCATCAGAAGGAGAAGAGACAGCAGAAGGCTGGGGTGCAGCCCCAGCAGGGAGAAGCCTTCAGCGATGCCAGTAACAAGACAGCTGAGGCCGCTGGACAGGGGATCCAGAGCCGGGAGGGCCCGGATGGTGAATCCTTGTTATCCGTGGACAATGGGACCCCGGCGGACCAAAGTCCTGCTGCTCCCAAACTTTCCTTAAAGCGGGGAAAAACGCGGAAACATTGCACGCTGAAGGAAAACTGTGCCACCGACCCCGCCAGCGAGGAGAACAGTGACATTCCCGAGGGCGCCGAGATGGAGGACTTGTCCGACAAGCAGCTGAAAACGAAGCCGGCCTGCAGCACCTGTGGGAAGGTGTTCTCGGAAGCCAGCAGCCTGCGGAGACACATGCGGATTCACAAGGGCGTAAAGCCCTATGTATGTCAACTGTGTGGCAAAGCCTTCACGCAGTGCAACCAATTGAAGACGCACGTCCGCACACACACAGGTATGGCGCCACTGCACCTTCCTCCTGAGCTGCAGCCTGCCCAGACCTCGGTAGAATAAATCAGGCACAACCTGTTAGTGCACACTTATGAGGGTAATGGATAAGTCTCTCCTTACCTTGCAACGTGGGCGTCCATTTAAAGATTAAATGAAATTATATCCAGTAATTGGTTTGTGTAACATTGGCGCAATTAATAACAGACCCCGTAGCTCAGATACCAGTTCCAGGTCACGCATGGAAGTCTTATAGATTTTCTTGCTTGTATTTTGGTATAGGTTGGTTTTTAGAGGAGGGTTTTGGTAGGCCTTCTCCAAGGCCTGCGATATTCTCTGAAGCCTGCAATTACCTTCTTATCGCTTGCGGTATTAATTTTTTCCCAGTTTGTTGATTTGCGTAGGTACAGGGGTCCTTAGGAGAATGCAGAGTTGCGTCTATAACAGTCCGATTGCGAAATGTGGTTTTTGTAGGGGAGAAGCCTTACCAGTGTGATCTGTGTGAAAAGGGTTTTGCTCAGAAGTGTCAGCTGGTCTTTCACAGTCGCATGCACCATGGCGAAGAGAAACCATACAAGTGTGACATCTGTGGCCTACAATTCGCTACATCCAGCAACCTCAAAATACATGCCAGGTGAGCCTCTCAACAGGGGGCTTTTTGGGGTCCTTAAGGATAATAGTTCAAGTTATTAAGGGTAATAGTTGTAAACATTTTTCTTTTATCAGCGCTGAGGGTCTAAGGCAGGTACTCTTACCCATTTCGCGGAGGGCCCAGTATTTTCTGGTCTTTCTCCTAACCTTTATTCTAAAAACTTGAACTCTGGGCCTGGACATTATGCTGTCCAGAAGATTGTTTGAAACCCCTGATCTAACCTGAGAGTCAAAACTGGAATGTTTGTGTTCATCAAGATTTTATTCTAGACAGAAATGCTTTTTTGGCAAAAACAAAAATCCTGTATGTTTCTAAAAAGTGCAGGTATAAGCCAGATGCATTTTGACCCTTATCTCACCCTTATTCATAAGTTATTTAATTTGTCTTTAAGCAGTCCTTAAATGTATCCATAGAGGTCATTCTATATGTGATATATGTCTGCATGTCAGGCAGATTTGTTTGTTTTATTTCTTGCTTCAGTAAGAAAGAGCACAGCTATTCTTTTTAGATTGTTCCATTGTGGTTTGTGATGTTTGTAATGTTGGTCTGCTCGCAGAAAGCACAGCGGGGAGAAGCCATATGTGTGCGATAGGTGTGGTCAGCGCTTTGCCCAGGCTAGCACACTGACCTATCACGTGCGCCGACACACGGGGGAAAAACCTTATATCTGTGACACCTGTGGGAAGGCTTTCGCTGTCTCCAGCTCTCTCATTACCCATGCAAGGAAGCACACAGGTAGGAGAGAGTTTCCCTTGCTGTCTCTTATACTCCACATATTGCAAAAGGTAAATCATCTCAGCCAATCACTGAGTTATATTTGGCAAATTATTTTTTAATGACAAAAGTCCATCTTTAATTGTTCTTCTTTCAGCAATAGTGTTATTTTTCTGTGTTTAATTTTGTAGGGGAGAAACCATACATGTGCCGTACTTGTGGGAAAAGTTTCATTTCTTCCGGGGAGCTCAATAAACACTGCAGGTCCCATACAGGTAGCTATGGTGCGATCTGAGTACCTTGTTTAAAACACAAAACGAGTAAATCATGTGTTGGAACAGTTTTTGTTTTCTTGACGTATGTCTCCAAAACGTATCCTTTTCCTTTCTTTATTTCAGGTGAAAAGCCCTTTGTGTGTGAATTGTGCGGAAACTCCTACACAGATGTAAAAAATCTCAAAAAGCACAAAGCAAAGGCACACAGTGGTAAGTCAAAGGCACTGTCAATAGAGGTGCACTTTTCTTAAATAAATCCAGCTCACTAATAATATTCTAAGTATAGGATGTGTAATAAAAGGGTGGCACAGTGCTGAGTGGTTAGAGTGCCTGCCTCACAGCGCAGGGCACCAGACCTGTTTGTACATTTCTCCCAGTGTTTGCACGGATTTCCTCCAGGTGCTTCAACTTCCTCCCACAGTCCAAAAACATACTAGTAGGTCAACTGGCTTCTGGTAAAATTGGCCTTGGTGTGAGTGTGCGCGTGTCTCTTTTTGTCCGTGTGTTCCCTGCGATGGACTGGCTTCCTGTCCAGGGTGTGTTGTGCCATGTGTGCTTGCTGGTTGCCGGGTTAGGCTCTGGCTCCATATTGGATGAAAAGGTTAGAAAATGGATAGATGTATACTGATATACGCATACATTTGTAAATGATGTATTACAGCTTAGTCATGTCAAATACATTTAATTGTACTGTTTCAGAGCGATCTTAAAATATTAAAGGTAGAAACTACACCTGTAGAGAAAAAACATATTGTGTTTTGCTCTCTTGATTTTCCTTCTGTAGTTGACAGAGGCCTAGACCCCAGCTCGAGTACCTTTGAGGAAGGACACGTGCAGCAGAAAGCCTCCTTGCAGGACACGGTGGAGCTCAAGCCTGCCGACGTACCTCTTTCCCTGACTCTGCCCATTGCCCCTGAAGAGCAGCAGATGCTGCTGTCGGGCACAGACAGCTCCTCTGTTCCTCCCGATCAGCTGCTCCGACCGATGGTGACAGGTTACTCGGAGCCCCAGTACATCTTTCTGCAGCAGCTTTACTGAAATTGCGCCAGTAACGTACCTGAGCTACAGTTCGGAGCAGAAGGACTTAGATTCTGATCCTGTCTGGGGGCATGATGGCAGCTCGGTGCTGCGTTTGAGTTTTGAACAACATCAATATAAGCACATTAAGTTAAAGAACACCGATACTGTGGGGAATTTAGACATGGGCTACATCCCATTTAGGTTTTCAGCAAGGAGTATAAAACCTACAGTTGCTCCAGCTGTGATACAGTTGAATTACAGATGAGGCCAGAATTGCGATAAAAACATAGCTGCACCCTGCTGACATTTTTAAAAGCTTTTGTTTCATTTTTTGCTGTCGAGAATTTCAGAGTGTTGAGAAAAAACATAGCCAGTAAAATAAAATGTTGTAGCTGGTGTTGGCTACAGTATACATTTTGGGAGCCCTGTATACTACTAAAAAGTGAGATGTTCAAATTTTCTCCTGTTGTAACTCTGTTTGTCACCTGGACATTTTATCTCATTGTGGATCTAACCCATTTAGTTTAAATCGAGACTGTGCTTTTTGGAAAGTCTACATGAAAAGCCATTTGTTAAAGGTTTTGGAAAGGTGCTTGAAAAGACCATTCCTGATGTGAAAAGTAAGACCCCCTTTTGGCAAGACACCTTATGGCCTTAAGATTGTCTTGCCAGCATCTTCCTTACTTTGAAACTGATGTGAAAGTTCATTATCTCTTCACTGTGTAGCAACGTTGACTGGCATAAGGGAACATGGTGGACTGGAGGTGAAAGATGTAAATGTTCTCATTCTATTTAATCTAGACGCGTAATCTAGATAACAGAGGAGGCTCAGTCCCTGACACCATAACAAAAATCAAGTTCCTAGTTTGAAAGAAGCTTGCACCTGCAGAAAGTCAGCATGGCACCCACTCCTACCTTCAGATGGACAGTGTCTCTGGACTGCTCTGGCCCTCACCCTCTTTATTTTTCTACATCTTCACACACAAAGTGACACTGTACGCCTTTTCCAGCTTCTGTCTATCACAGTAATGGAATGGAATGGTGCGTCTGAAAAGCAATGTAAAAGCATGAACACAACCAGTGTAAAATGCAACACGCTCTTGATTATGGTGTTCTGATTATATTGATTTTGCATTGAAAGAAAGCTGAAAAATGTTTTGCAGAGGTTAATGGTTTGAGCTCCCAGATTATCACTAAAAGCCTGGAAGCAGATTTCTGCAGCTGCAATTGTTAACATACAGTAATATGTCATATCAAATCCAAAATCTCAGACATTCCCTGTTTTTAATACCTTTCTTTTTAGATTTTGTTTTTCTGTGTTTTGATTTGTGGATAGACCATCATATGCTGGGGTTCTTTCATCATTTCAACCAGTTCTTCAAGCTAAATGTTTGTGTGTTTTTTAATTCTATTTTCTTTTTAAAGCAGGGGCAGTCTCATCCAATAATGTTCTTCCTTATTTCATTTTCTGACAGCATGTTATCAAGAAAAGGACCCTGAACCAAAGTTTGTGATCTTTGTTTTTGATAGATGACTGATAGGGTGCTCCCGTATGGACTAAATAAAAGTATTTTAATTAGTCAAGTAATATGGAAGAGATATTAAAAAGAATATCAAGGATTGATCCCTCATGTTTTGCTAAAGCATTCATTACATCCAGCGTCATGGTCTGCTTCAATGGTATTGGCTTGAGCATCACTGAAAGCGCAGGACCGTGCAGAACGTCTGAAGCAGAACTGTGCTGATGCTGACCATGCTATCAGGCTGTGAATGTTGTACAGAGACACTACTTCTCTGTGCTGCTTTTATTCTAGTCTGGTTCTGCCAGAAAGCTCTTTCACTAAGTTCCCAGTTTGTCATCGTCTTCTGTGGGGGGTGATAGGAGTATAATGTTAGTAATTCTCGAAACCCAGTGCTGTTTGTGCGATGAGGTTTAATGTGCTGTGACAGAAGTCTGGAACAACAGGGCCAATCTCGCACAAAGAACCTCCATTCCAATATCATCCCAGTGCTTAATTCTTTCATGTGACATCTTGCATTAAGAAGACATGTGTACCATAGATTGACCCTGACATCTTCTACATATAAAGCTAAAACATTCATAAATGTTTGCATCTTGCAAATGTTGAATTGTCTTAAAGGCAATGGAATATTATCAAGTTACAAGGTCTCGAAGTAAGAAAACTTGCTACAGAAAGAGATTTTTTATCTTAAAAATGGATGCCAAGGCACAAGTCTATCTGAGCTGGTGTGGTTTTTAATGCACCTCTAAAGACAAGATAGATTTCTGTTAGACAGTGAGTCTGATAGACAACAACTGACAAACCCAAGTGGCTGAGTGGCTGGGTTTAAATCAAACATAGTATACCAACAGCCATCATAATATTTCTGGAAATATTTCCACTACTTCATTATGATGGGAATCATATCACTCTACCTGCTGTGGCCTAACAAGTCTGACTGTTAGAAATGTTGTCATTAAATCATTGACACCTGGTATGTTGTAATTCACTGTGGTGATGTTGTTTTTGATCTAGATTAACATTAAAATGTGCCGAGGTTTGAAACAAGTGGTAAACCTAACCACTTGTATATGTGGTCAGAAAGGACACTTGGGAAAAAAAAATACATTCCCATTTAATTCCAAAGGACCTGAATAACAATTAAAAAAGGCATAGAGAAAAAGCCTGTCATATGGTATACCAACATTTTTCTGCACTTTTTGGTGAAAATATGTGGATATTTTTGTAATGCAGAAATGACAGAGACTTTTGAATAATCATCTCAGTTTTTCTACTGTCCTTTCAAATGATCACTTATCTGTGTAGGGAAAATTCTCAGTGCAGAGTGTGGATGTAATAGAGGATGCATTTATTTGTTGTATTCCTAGAGCGAACATTGGCGACCCTTTTATTTTCGATTAAATAGCACTCACAGTTATGAAACAGTTTATGGATCTATCTGAGAAACTAAAACTGTCATGCATTCAGCTTATGCAGATGCTTTTTTAAGTAATAAAGTGTCGTGCTCTGCTATTTTGCATTTTACTGTGTAAAGCATTCTAGGAATTCGTGCGGAATTGCTGGAGTACTGAAATTTTCGAACGGAGACTGCAGTGTGTAAGTGTTCGTAAATGCAAATATACTATATGAAATCGACAATGTATTTAAAATAAGCTGTACATATATTTTTTGTTGTCATGCATTCAACGATTTAAGAAATGATTTTGTATATTTTCCGAGCTATTCTTTAATAAACCAGGTTTTGACAGTTACAGAAGGTCTGCTAAAGATTTTGGCCTCTTTATGTTCAATTTACTAACTATAAAACGACGTGAGGGCGCAGCGCTGGTGGTGGTTGCTATAGAGACAGCAAACACTACCGCTGGGTCCTGGGTAATGAGGCTGGAATCGAAGAGCTGACGAGGTAAGACAGAAGGAAAACATTTTATGTACGGAAACTTACTGGCAACTTTATACTGAAGTTTATCATGTTGTAAATTTAGTAAGGAAAGCGAAATAAAAAAAAACATACACAATTTGTCAAATACGTATGCGTTCTCTTGCCAGATAGTGAACCGAATATGATCATATCGACTTCATGGGTTCTGTACGATTAATTTCTTGATCCGCAGTTGGGACAGTCATGAGCAGCATCAGGGACAGTTACTCGGCAGTTTGCTCAGAATCCGAGTTGCCCACAAACCCCTACATATTGCATGTGTTGCATGACACGGACGAACGAGTTTCACGGTAAGCACTTCGTGATCTGATTTCGGTAGTATTGCAGTTACTGCATTATACTGTAGCTATACAGCATGCATCGCTCGTTTTTACTCACTCTAAGCATTATTGTATCATTCTAAAAGTACACGTTTAGTGATTTTCTTGTTATAGACCTTAAAAGGACTTCTACTAATCCTTGTTTAAGTCAGGTTGTCTCCTGAAGAAGGCGTCGAAATTAAACTCACCGGGAACAACCGCCTTCTGCCAGTCCAGAGGTTGTCAGATACAGACGTGCTAGCTTTGTCGAAAGCCCTGGCCGACAATGTGTCTGTGAGAGGTGAGCATGATCCTACAGCTGGCACATATTACCAATCCATACCGGAGGCACAGCATTGAGAGGAGCTGTAAAGCAGAAGAGCAAGTCTTCTATTTTAACCGCTTCTAGTTTGATCTTCTTGAGATTAGCATGTTCCACTCCCTCATTCCTCTAAACACCTGTGCGTGCAGATCTTGCAATGTGCTGTAGATTTGATGCTTCAGCATTCCGCAACATGCTCTTGTCAGATGAGTTATCTTCTGTTGCGCTGGAGCAGTGAATTTAATTTCCCCTGATATCTGTATGCAGTATGTATGTTTTCCCTGTGTTTGTGTGGGTTTCCTCCCACAGTCCAAAGACATACTAGTAGGTTAATTGGCTTCTGGGAAAATTGGCCCTGGTGGGAGTTTGTGCGTTTGTGTTTGTGTCTGTGCCCTGCGATGGACTGGCGTCCCGTTCCCTGAGTGTACCCTGCCTTGCGACCCAATGCTTGCCAGCACAGGCTCTGACTCCCCCAACACCCTGTATTGGACAAAGCAGTTGGAAAATGAAAGGTTGGGACACTTTTACAGGATTTGCTTTTTCTTCACAGGCCTGGACTTGAGGTACAACAGCATAACTGATGAAGGAGCAGCTCATCTTGGGGTCCTCCTTCAAGTACAGTAAAACTGAAATGTTATTGTCTTAAATCTCCAAAATGGGTAGAGATAAAATGTTTAATTTATATATTAGGGAACGCTCAGAAAAGAACACACGAAAAAGGAGTAGGAATGTAAACTATTAAGAAAAAAGGCGCTTATATCAGGAAAGAATCTTTCCAAGGAAAATTTTAGTCAGTAGCTTCTTATTGCATAAGAAGTAGTAGAAGAAATATTCAGAACAAAAATGATGTATTTTTTTCTGCAACAATCAAATTACTGTTAGACACATTTTTCTAATAAAGACACTAAAATGGTGCAGAGCAGCACAGCACTGGGGTCCTGATTTCAATTCCAAACCTAGGGTGATATTATTTCAATAGAGTAAGGATATTCTCACCGTGTTCATGTGGATTTCATCCCACAGACCACAGACATACTGAAAGGTGAATTGGTTAATTCAAATTGTCATATGTCATATTTCCAAAAATGTTTTTGCCAAAAACGTTAATAGTTATACAGTAAGTTGATTTTTAATTAAAATTTTGTTTAATTTTAGAATTGACAGATATTTTGTATTTCACAAAATAGCCATACAAATATTTTGCGTTTTACAGATAACATTTTGAACTATCCTTTAATGGTCTGTACTTTGTTTAACTTTGCCTTTACTGTAAGCTTCTACATTGAAAGCAGTTGCTTTTCTCTTGTCCAACATTACTAATGCTGTATTTTACAGGAAAATGTCTCTCTCCGTTGTCTTAATCTGATGGGCAATGACATTGAGGTCAGCGGAGCAGAGTTCATTGCAAAAGCACTTCATGTAAGTGAAATGGCACCTGACCTTATTAAAATTAATATGGAGGGGTATTATAAATTAATATTCATGGAATGTGCAACATTCACAATGCTGTTATTTTGTAATGACAAGAAGCAAAAGCATATTTAATGGTATCATCAAAATCATGAAGGCGCCTTAAAAGATGTGATGAATATACAGCTTCTTAAACAATTTCAGGAATGGCTGTGTTATAGAGAACATTAGAGCAAACATTAAAGACAATCCAACACTTTAAATCTGATTCATTTTCAAATATTCAGTTAATGCACAATTATGTATCCATCTACTTATTTCATGGAACTACTAGCTTTTTTGTTTTAAAGCGGAATGAGACTTTGAAGACATTGCAGATGACTGGCAATAAGATTGGAGATAAGGGTGGCATGCACTTCGCTGCAATGCTACAGATCAATTCATCACTAGAGGAGCTGGATCTTGGAGACTGTGATCTGGTTAGTAAAACAATAGAAAGAAGAGAGCATCTGTTCCTGTTTGAATGTTGAACACAATTTACACTGATAATATGATGTACGGATAATGACCTTCTATATTTGTTCTCCTTCTTTTACGCAGGATACACAGAGTTTAATTGCTTTTGCAATCGTCCTGAATCACAACAAAAATGCTCATGTCATTAACCTCAGTCGCCCCCTACTCTTCAGCCAACAGGTATGTGTGATGAGAAAACAGGGCTCCTGGAGTACCTCTTTTGAAAACACATGTTGTACAGTATTACATACTTGCCCTGGATGTGCACTAAATGAAATGCAAACTTCATTATGCATATAATAATAGACTGTGTTTAACACCGTTCATACTGAAAGGAGCTCCAAGCACATTACAAAGAGCAAGAGTTTAAAATACACAGAAAAATGTACAAACTAATACATAATAACTCTCAATGCTAACATTCAAGACATTGATCATATCCTGATATTGCATTTATTTTTTTAATTTAGTTTAATAGTGCAATCTGGCAAAGCTATGATTTAAGTCTTGATTTAAAAACAGTCATTGAGGTATCAGTTCTTACAACACATGCCAGTGAGTTCCACTTCAATGTTAAGGAACAAAGTGGACCACTGTCATTTGACTCTAGTGAATGTGCAGGCTGTTTGGATTTAACATCTTGGATAAACAGGTACCATTACATTAAGTGCTTTAGATGTTGGTAAAATAATTGTAATATCAATTTTATGTACTGTACACCAGTAAAGTGACTGCATTCTGCACAAGCTGTACATGTGACAGAGCGTGACTTGTAATATGAGAGAAGAGAGTATTATGATAGTTGAGATACAATGAAGATATTTCTTCATTTCAGCCCATGTTCATTAGATAAGTAGATAAATTATATAATTGTATCTGTTTCTAACATGATTAAAAGTACATCTCATTTGTTTAAAAAGATCGATGCCAAATCATATGTAGCCCCCACATTTCTCACCTCAGATTTCACATTTCAAGTCATGTCAGTGGAAACTCAGTTCTAAGAAATAGGTTCTAAGAACCTGTTTATAATGTTTTTATGTTTTATTCTAAATGCAGGCATTTGAGATGTGCATTTTTTAATATCAGAAAGACACTCAAAACTGAAGTAGCATTGAAGTAGCCATTTATTTTAATGAGACATAAATTTCTGTTTCATTAACACAAATAACCTCATGTTTACGGATAGTCTCACCTAAAGGTAACAAATGAAAAAGAAAATAATGTATGACCCATAACAGATCCCTGAGGCACACCACAATATTAACTGATTTTGATAGACTCGCCTAAGTAAAGAAAGTACTGCATGTTGATAAGATACTGTATGATCTAAAGCTGTCCAGTACAGTTCTAGACAAGACACTATTTTTAAGACAATTGTAAACAGTGGGTGGAAAGTATTGCCATTTAAAAACCATTTAAGTTCTGAAGGGACGAAATCCTTTTGTAATGTTCTCAGGAGGAGACCACAGTGCACATGGCTAGGATGCTGAAAGTAAATCGGCATTTGAGGGAGCTCCACCTGGGGAAACATGAGATGAAAGATTTTGGTGTGGAGAGACTATGCGACGCGCTGAGTTTCAACTCCACCCTGCGCTACCTGGACCTACGGTGGTAACTGAGCCTCACTTGTTCTTCTTAAAAGTGATGACTTTAGATGGCTTTAAGATGACATTATAAATGTAACATATATATGACTAACAAAGAGTAAAGATGGGGTACATCTAAAACTACAGTACTACAGCCCAATTTCATGTTTATTCAGTTATTTTTCTAGGCAATTTTGGAGATTTATAATTTCTTATTATGATAATAATAATTGCTTACACTTATATAGCGCTTTTCTGGACACTCCACTCAAAGTGCTTTACAGGTAATGGGGACTCCTCTCCACCACCACCAATGTGCAGCCCCACCTGGATGATGCGACGGCAGCCATAGTGCGCCAGAACGCTGACCACACATCAGTTATCAGTGGGGAGGAGAGCAGAGTAATGAAGCCAATTCATAGAAGGGATTATTAGGAGGCCATGATTAGTAAGGGCCAATTGGAAATTTGGCCAGGACACTGGGGTTACACCCCTACTCTTTTCGAGAAACACCCTGGGATTTTTAATGACCACTGAAAGTCAGGACCTCGGTTTTACGTCTCATCCGAAGGACGGCGCCTGTTTACAGTATAGTGTCCCCATCACTATACTGGGGCATTAGGACCCACATGGACTGCAGGATGAGCGCCCCCTGCTGGCCCCACTAACACCTCTTCCAGCAGCAACTTTGGTTTTTCCAAAGTCGTCTCCCATCCAAGTACTGACCAGGCTCACACCTGCTGAGCTTCAGTGGGTTGCCAGTTGTGAGTTGCAGAGTGATATTATTAAATCCACATTTTTTCTTTAATTGTAAAGAGTAGAGATGCCAGGTGTGCCAATATCACTCATGTACTGTACATCATTCACATACATCTCTGAAAACACTTTGTAATGTGACTTGTGCAGATGTGCACGTATAAATATAGCAAGAAATATTTTTATTTTTTTAAAGTAACAGCATCACAAGGGATGGGGCAAAATGTCTTGCTGAGCTGCTGAAGCAAAACACAGGACTGGAAATTCTGGACCTGGCTTCGAATCGCATCGAGGATGATGGGGCTGTGTATCTCAGTGAAGCTCTTGCCATGTACAACAATACTTTGAAAGCGTAAGTCATTGTCATGAAATTGTTGAGGAAAAAAAAGTCTAAGATGAAAAGAAGCTAATCTGCAGTTCAAACCTGCCCGAAGAAGACAAAATGCACATGCCATTTGAATCCAGTGTACGCATTATGTTGTTGTAAGTGATAATATTTTCTTTTTTTCTTTTTCAAGGCTTTCAATTCCAAGCAATAATATTGGTGCACGAGGACTAGTGTCTCTTGCCAAAGCCTTAAAAGTGAACACCACACTGTCTCACATTTATATTTGGGGCAATATTTTGGAGGCGCCGGCCTGTTTGGTGAGATATTGTCTTAGTTACTGTATACGGAAAATATATCAATAGCAACAGTCAGTTTTACAGTAACAGAAATGAACTTACCAGGTTTCAGCTCAAATACTGTAGTATTGGACCTCATAGTTCCCCTTCACTAAACTCAAAATAAAACTGATGATTCCTTACTTATACTGAGAATACTATTTAAAAGGCAAAGTATTGCCTTTGTAAAGTATAAAGGACGACAGCAATGGGTATGAATGAGACAAACCTTGAAGAAATTGTAGCTAAACTGCTTACATTTTTCAGGATTTTAGGATGTTGGCCTTCCCCATTTTGTTGTTATCTCTTTTCAAATTGGAATTTTAAATTAATAAGTTAGATGAAGAGAGTGATAGCCTGTTTCCTGTTTTACAGCATGTTTGTTGTTTAGAAAAAAATATATTGAAAAAGTATCTTTTATCTTTTCGCAATCCCCATTGCCCCACCCCCCCATTCGTTTCCAGGCATTTTCCAAGCTCATCGAAAGCGGGCGGCTGTCAGAGGAAGACACGGATGTTTCTCCGTATGAGGTGGAGGGTCGTGTCTGCCTCTCAGAACTATTTCATGGCCTGAGGCGGCACTATTACTGGACACCCAGTTACGGGCAGGATGGAGATCCGGCCAGCAACTCTTCACTGGCCCTGAGAGACACTGCAAAGGAAGGAGTCCCCTCAAGTTTTATTTAAAAAGATAAATTATTCTGCTAATGTGTATACAGGAGGCTGAATTCAATCAATGTGTTCTATTAAAGCAAATGCAATTGTGCTGGCAGGTCTCCATATGCTTTTCTTAAAACATGAGAGCACCTTACACCCTCCTACAATAGGAATCTGAGTTGCCACTGACTACACGTCCCCAAAATCTCTTAAATACAAGTATTATTGTGTAGTAATATTTAAGTATTATGCAGTATTGGAAACTGCATTGACAACTGGAAACTAAGCTGGTAATACAAAACAGTGGGATTTTATTTTTATTGTACACTTTAAATTTATTGTAACACATTGTTATGCCAGTCATGAGATGACAGTTTGATTTAATTTCATTTCAAGTTTGTTTATTGACTCTTTAAGGAAGCACTGCAGCACATGGACAGAATAATCAGGTCGAATAAAAAATAGCTTAATGTACGTTGTACGCTGCCAAGTGTTACGTTTATCGCGATTGCAAATGATATTATTTGTAATAATTACTCAAGTCGGCAATGCTGAATTTAAACAACGATTTCAAAATAAAGGCAACGAAGTGTTATAATTTTATCGGTAACGTGCACACTTGACACAATACGTTAATCTCCTTTTGAATGAAACGAGTGAGCCCGTAGTTGGATGTTACTAGTCCTAATATGTGTGTAGCGCGGAGACGTTCCCAACTCAGTTGACCTCAACATCGCAGCCGCACTGAAATCACAGCTGCCTCGCCCAGGACAAAAGTGGCAGCTTCCCATCACACAAGTATCAAACCTTTGTGCTTTTCACAGTCGCTGACCGTCCGGATGACATGAGTTGTTTTTTTAAGCCACTTGTCTTAAGTACGCGTTGTACCCATGAGAGAATGTAAACGGCTCTGTCGAGCTGTAGCTACTGAGTGTGTCTACTGCGGCCATGGCGACCAGAACAGCTGAAGGAGGGGCTTAGCGGGGCCGCCGACTGGGCAGTTAGCAACAGTTGACATACTCCTTACACCCTTTACTGACTAACAAATCTAAGATTTAATATTAGCGGAAGAGAAGTACCGGGAGCTGCAGAATTTGATTGTTCAGTACAGTCATTGAGCAGGTGTTTTAGACAATTGTGAGTACTTGACGTTTTTAAAAATGTAAACATCGTTGCATAGAATTCTACGCACTTAAGATGTGGTCTTGGTTTGGCTTCAAACAAAATTAATGTTCGTCATATTTAGTTGGGTTTTGTTTTTTTTTTTTATTTGACTTCTAGTGGCTACTTCCGGTGAATAACCTATAAGCAGACTATTCCAAAAATAATTTTAAGGTATGAAATTTCTGATTTATAAATGTGATCCACCTGGTAGGTTTTAATTCACGGATTTTTTAAAGTAAACTAGTGAGGCAACAGTTGTGAACATACTGCTTGTAAAAAAAGATTACAATATTTTCTCTATGAATGCAGTCGGTTGTAATCTTTAAATTATTATGCAGGTATACCGAATAATTACAATGAGCAGTATTCAGTATTACTGTTACAGACGTGAGCACAGAATATTATTATTATTATTTTGTAACTTACAAAGGGTGATTGAACATTAGCACTGACCGTTTTGTGCCATATAAAAATGTGAAAAGAGAAAATATTGGTGTTGTTTGTAATGATTTCATATGGGAAAATGGACAGTTCGTTAGGTGATAAATTTTTATTTTCTATCCACAGTTTTCACATGCTCAGTGAAGTGCATGAGTATTTTCCAAGAATGCGCTCTGTCAAGTTCTCTGACACTGCACCAATGAACTCAGCCCAGTTTGATAACCGGGTGATTAACTGTAATATGCCAGGAAATACAGGGGAGAAGGTCTTTTTTCTGGACTGTTCAGCCCAGCAGCTGGAGGAACTCCCCTCGGCGGTACTGCAGTTACAGCATCTGGAGGAGCTGCATCTTGAAAAGAACTTCATCCATACGATCCCTGGAGAAATCCAACACCTGAAAGGCCTCAGAGTGCTGTATCTCCAAAATAACCACTTACACGGTTTGTGTGAGGAGCTGAGCGAGTTGAAGCAGCTGCAGAGTCTGGATCTGAGTGATAACCCTCTGACGTCTGGCCCTGGCTTTTTTCATGTCCTGGCCCAACTGTTTTCCCTCCGTGAGCTGAGACTCTACAACCTGGGCATACCAGCTCTCCCAGCCCAGATCTGCAAAAACATTTACAACCTGGAGCTGCTGGGTCTTTCGGGAAACAGACTGACGATGCTTCCGAGTGAGATCAGAAACCTCACAAAACTCAGAGAGATCTACTTGCAGAGCAACCACTTGGAGATCTTCCCCAGTGTGCTCAAAGAGCTTCCACTCTTGGAAATTATAGATGTGGAACAGAATTTGTTAGTTTCTTTGCCAGGTGAAGTCTGTGGCCCATCTTGGAAGAGACTCTTTCTAGCATCAAATAGACTCACATCACTCCCCACACGTCTCTGCAAATTTGGCAGCTTAAGAGTACTTGATGTCTCCAGCAACAGCTTGAGTAAATTGCCTCGCAACTGTCATGCCTTAACTGAACTCCTGGATCTGGGACTTTCCCATAACAACCTGGGAGCATTCCCACCTCATATCGGTAGGATGTGCTCTTTGCAGGTCTTGTACCTGAAAAACACAGGTCTGACAAAGTTACATCCGAAGGCCACAAGCCTGAAGAGGCTGCGTCTTCTAGATCTAAGCCAGAATGGGTTCACTGAGTTTCCAGAGGAGATCTGTGCCTTAACAGACTTACAGCAATTATCTTTGGATGACAACAAGTTGCAGGAGGTATTGTTTCAACATAACAAAGTATTTTTTTTGTTTTTCCCTAAGGACCTGGCAACTTAATTTCTGGCCCTTTGACCTGCAGATTCCTGGGAACATCAGGAGCCTGACCAAGCTGAAATGTATGGGGCTGACAGGTAATAGCTTCTCCCATTTCCCTGAGGCTATCTGTGGTCTGCAGTCTCTAGAGAAGCTGTACATGGGCCAGGACCAAGGGCTCAAAATCCATACTCTGCCTCAAAGCATCTCTCTGTTAAAGGTAAGAGAGTTCTATTTAGAACTACAGTTCTACAGTTCTATTTAAGAGTTTCTGTGCTCGTGTTTTATATAATATTTTGAGAGACTTGTGTATTTAATTGTATGTTTTTTACGTTTTAAGAATCTCAGAGAACTGTACCTGGAAAACAACAGCATAGAGGTTCTACCTGAAACTATAGGGCTTCTGCTGCACTTGGAGACTCTTGACTGCCACAACAATCTGATCAAGTTCTTACCGGACACTCTTTGCTGTTTACAAGGTACCGAAGCTCTGAAGTATACCTCTTCAACAATGTTTAGGCATTGGAATTTACATAGTAATGTAGCTACAAAGCAAGCGATTAATTCACAAATCCCCTGTTTTTTTTTTCTTTCAAGGTCTGAAGCATCTCCTGGTTCAGAATAATTGCCTAACACATCTTCCAGAAAACCTGGACAGGCTGCAGGCTTTGGAGACTTTGCAGCTGCAAGACAACCCTCTGTCTGATCCTTCATTGTCAGTGTGTAATCAGGGCATTACCGCTATACACAAATACTTACAGGACAAGAAATGGAGAAGAACTCAGTCCACAAAGGTAATACTTTACTGCACGGGAGAGTTGCATAGTATAAACAGTTCCCTTGGCCTTTTTGTGTGTGTTAAATTCTAGGCAAGAAGGAGCAAATCACTCATTTCCAGTCTTTGTTTATTGTTGCTGGGCTGTATGGTTTTTGTGATTCTGTGAAACATATAACAGTCTGGCCATGCAGGGGCAATGTCTGAGCTGTGTGTAAATGCTTCCTATGTGACGCCTCACAGATCCAGGCATGGTGGCGAGGAGTCATGGTGCGAAGAAGACTGGGGCCGTTCAAAGGGCTGCAAACGAAAGAGAAGAAAGCAAAAGGAAAGAAAGATGCTCGAAAAGGAAGGAAGAAATCCCCAAAGAAAAAGAAATGAGGGCAAATATAAACAAGCTGATGAAAAGTACATCACGTTACAAACTAAAGTGTCAAATGTTAAAACTGGCTGATTAGTCTGTGCTACTAATATCCATATATGACATATAATAAAAAGTAATAAAACTCTATACTTTGCACTACAAAGGTCTCATTATGTAGTTTCACAATCCTTTTTCCACTTTTTATTTGAAAAGTTCCAAAAAACAATTTGAAATATGATACCTTTTCACTGGATAAATAATGTTGTGATTACAATTTTAGTCCCATAATTTAATTCAGGTAAATAGTGGTATAAAATGCTATCTTTTGGAATTTAAAAACACTTTTAAAATGATTTGTCTATGTAAAGCAGTGGGGTCAAATACCGTACCTTTCAGTTCTGGACCATAAAAAGCAGGCATAAAACCGCCTAAATCATAAATCATTTAACACCCCACATATCATTATACATAAACTATAGAGACGTAAAACCCTATTATCCAGAGCTAAAAAATGACTTAGACCATCAGTTTTCCTTTATTAACACTTGAAGAGCGTTCTGTTGTTGAGCCGCCTTCTGCTGATTCGCACCTGTTCAACAGCCGAAACGGTCTTCTCACTTTTCAGTGTGGAATTATCACTTAAGGAAGACAAGCATCCACTTTTTTGATCATTTCTCTATTGTGCTCCCAAGATGCCGGCTGTCTGGTTCCCCTTCATCCGACCCCGTGGAGGACTGATAGCAGCTGAAAGTGATGTTCCTCTTGCCGTCTCTGTTGAAGGCCTCCAGGCTGGCCCTCTGCTGGGCAGTGAGGACCCAGCGGTGCATGCCCAGGTCAGCAAGTGCAGCGAGGCGGGGCAGGCAGCTCAGCAGGCTGCCCAGCCAGGGGGATGCGTCCCGGCGGGCAGAGGGACGCAGGCTGAGGTCCAGTTCCACCAGCTCCCGCAGACCCTCAGCCCTCTGGAAAAAGTGGGCCCAGCCCTGGTCCCCCACCGTGTCATTGTACGTCAGGTCCAGATGTTTCAGGTGGACGAGCGCTCCTGAACGTGAAACAGATGCTGCAGAAAAACAACGCAACAAAATACACATTGGGTTAGTACTGGTGATTTCAGTACTTGGCACACTTCAGCATAAGGGTAAGACAAATATTCTGCAAGCAACAGTGCTTACACATTTCTGAACAACTAGAAATATTTTTAATAGGATTTCTCAAAACCGTTCCACCATATTAACATAGTCAACTTGAAATGATCATTTTCAGAAAAAAACACATTTTAATTATGTTAAGAGGGTCCAAAGGGGTTATATAACTCATATTAACTTATTGTGTTTGAAGATGTCGGTTTCTTCTTGTATCTCTACCATAGAATTTTCTTCAACAGGTAAAAACCCTCCGGTGTGACAATTCCAGTCCAGTGCAACACTGCTCTTTTCATACCTAAGTGCACCATGTCTTCTGTGGTCAGGTTGCAGCTGCTCAGCTTCAGTTCTTGCAGGCGAGATTTAGGCTTCAAGGAATCCAACAGCATCTTGAGGTTCCCCCCCACACACTTATTCCAGGACAAGTTCAGAGTCTCCAGCTCACACAGTTGCTGCATCGCTTCAGCTAAAACACACACACAGAGCAGCAAATGAACAATATTCTCCATATTTGAAGAGCTGTTGCATCTCACGATCTGTTGCACAGATGCGCAGATATTGTGATGTCTACTGCAGGGCAACCTCAGCATGCTGTTTAGCAATGAGGACAATTCAGCATCTTGAAAGAGGAAATCTGAAAAAATATCCCCTTTTTTCTCTACAACTAAAGACTTCATTATAAACAAGAGGCAAGGAAATGAATGCTGCCCACATGGAATCAACTGTGGTTTCTTGTGCTTAGACTTTGGGTACCTAGGGATCGGTAGGAGTCTCCAGTCAGACAGCAGTTGTACAACAGAATTTGCCTCATCTTTGACAGTGGAAGGGAGGGAAACAGCTGTTGGGATACGCCACCAATCTTCTTATTGGATGATAAATCCAGCACTCTGAGGTCACAAAGGGAAGGAGCCACCTGGTCTGGGAAGAAGCAGAAGGCCCTTCTTCAGCAATGGGAGTGTGAAGGCCTTTAGGTGAAATTCTTTCAAAAGTGTGAATTACCTGGTTATTTAAAGGCATAAAGAGACTTTGTAAAAAAAACTGCCTACACAAATCACATCTTTATTTTAATTCTGAGAGAATTTCTTCTGTTTTCCTGCATAGCTGCAGTATGTGTGCCTCAAAAACTGCACGTTCCTGCATTCTCATAAATGTATTGCTCTGTAAAACTTTCTTTTTGAATGTGGAACAGTTCATAAACATTAGGAAAAGCAAGGTTCAGTTATTACAGAAAGGACTTTTCTTGGTTACCATCTCCTAATTTCCAGTTTCTTTTTTATATCGTGTCTTTTGTATTACCCAAGTTATGGTGAGAACTCTTCCCAAATCTGGCTTCAAGATCACACAGTATGGTGTAAGCTGTACTGTATGTCTCTCTCCCAGCTGTACTCTTCCTGTACCCAGTGCTGGTGTGACTGAAGACTTACTAAGAGCTGCCATGTCCTCCTCTGTCAGGCAGCACAGGTGTAAGTCCAGGAGCTGCAGGTGTTTCAGCTGAATCATCAGAGCAGCTCCCTGGGCAAACCCTCCGGCAGCCTCCTTGTTGCACGACAGGTCCAGCTGCTGCAGATCTGGGAGGAACTGGAAAGCGCTGCCTACAAGTACAACAAGGGCTCAGTGCAGTCAGGGAAACTAAGAAACTTTGGGGAACTGAACTGAAACGGTGAGAAGCTGTTTTGTTTGATATGCATAAGTGTTCTCAGAAATAAATCAGTTTATGCTAAATAAAGTTCTAATGAAAGTTCAGGAGGGATGAGGGCAGTTGGACTAAGCTATCAACCCACAACTAATCCTGACGTAATTTTTCTTAGATTCCCATCTCACACCTCACTCGCTCCTCTTCCTCGCTCATTTTGCATCCCTCCTCCACCCTGTCTCCAATTCGCAGCTATCCTCCTAGCCTCCTCGTCCTGTGGCCGGGAGATGGACCCTCAGCCAAGCAGGTTAAGCCAAATTTTCAGACACTCATTCTATTTTCACACAATCTTTGGCTGCCCTCATTCCTCGTGAAGTAATATTACAAAATAAAAATGTAAGATACCAAAGTAATGTTTGTTTTTTTGGCCATTTATAATTTTCTGCAGGTATAATCGAATAACATTAGCAAGGGTTCTCGATGAGTATTACTCATACAAAGAAAGCCACAGTCAGCCCTTGGCACTGTGTTGTGTTGTATGGGTGGGTCCTTACCCAGCGTATGAATGCTGTCCTGCTGCAGTCCACACAGGTGCAAGCGGAGAGCTCGGAGACGAGGGGTGTGCCTCAGTTGTAGGGTCAGATCCCTCAAACCCCCAGCCAGGAGTTTATTGGCAGACAGATCCAGAACCTCCAGGTGAGGCATCATACACAGTACCTGGCCTAGAAAACATGGATGCACTGATGATGCAATACAGCAGGTCACTGCAAGGCTGTGGTTTTGAATGTGACATAGAGGCACTCTTGTGGACCTTTAACAAATCTGTACACTTTTTCTGTAATTAGGGCCCTGTGTTCAGTTAGGAAGATCATTAGACACATTAGTTATTTTTATTTAAGAGTCACAAGACAGCTATGATTATTAGCCAGTACTTAACCTGAATCTACACATTTCTCTAACTACACAATGCAGCTACCCGTACTTAACCTACAGTGTCAAATCAAGAGATCTATAAGAGGTCAGTTAATGACGATGGCAGATGACCAAGTTGTTACCCAGAGTTTCTGCATCCTCTGCAGTGAGCTGACAGTCCACTAGATGGAATTCTTTCACCTTGCAAGCACGCACAAAGCACCTTGCGAGACACTGCAGGTTTCCTCCAATGCAGCTGTTCCAGGACAGATCCAGAACCTCTAGCATCGGGATGTAATCGAGCGCTTCTCCTAAATTGCAGATAGGACAAGGAAGCATTTGAAGGAAAACAAATGGATTTCATTTTGTGCAAACCAGAATTCATCTCCTTCCATCCGTTGCTTTGAATCCACGGAGCAGTGCAACAGCATGCAAGCTTAGAAAGTAAAACTACAGTTTCAAATTGCAAAATAAGTTTAGAAAGTGAACAGACAGGTGGAAATTCTTTGTCTTAACACTTCAGTTAATTAAAGCTGCTTGTCAGCGATGGTGCCATTTATGGTTTCTCAGGGTGCTGTCTGATCTGGCATGATAACTAAGGGGGATATCGAAGCGTACAGAGCAGGCTTGTCCTACCTAGTGCTGTGACATCTTCAACTGTAAGTCTACAGTTGCTGAGCTTCAGGGTCTTCAGTTTGTTTACATGCTGGAGGTGAAAGGTCAAAGCCTTTAGTGAGCCACCAATTAAATCATTCCAGGAGAGGTCTAGCTCCTCCAATAGTGCCAAGAATGGAAGCATTGTTGCTGTAGGAGACAGAAAAAAAACAACAAATCCATACAGAGTCACTGTAGGATTATAAAAGGTGTTGAAAAAATGAGACATCTGGTTCATTAATGATCTATTTTTTTCATTTCAACATACAGCTTTTCTACTTTGAATAGCAGTTTATAAAACTTGTATACTTCACATTAGCGCCATTTCTCCACAATGCTATTTTCTGACAAATCCATGCAGTGAGAAGGACCAGAGTGTGGACTCCACTGCTCACCCAGTTCCACCACATCTGTGGCCGTGAGGTCACAGTGGCTGAGACTCAGTGTCTGTCTGTCCGGCCTCTTCCCCAGTTTCTGGGCGAACTGCTTCACGCGACCCCATCCCACCACTGAGCACACATCAGAGTCCGCGGGGTCACCACCTCCTGGGAGCGCAGGACAGAATAGATAAAAGGGAGAGCAGGCACAGCAATTCTTTACTGCAGACTTAAGAAGAAAATGTGGTGAATAACACACAAAAAGGTCAAATGTTACCACTATAACTGTTACTGGTGGTTATTTCCTACATTGGGGTTGGTGCTTGAGAGTTTTAGGGGGACCTTTAGATCAGAAACAAAGGTGGCATGAGGAAAACAACTGACTTCATCTCCAAATAACTTCAAGCGCTCAGCTGAAGGTCTGTGGTGGAATGAAACCCTGATGACACCAACCCTCGGGAACTAGAGCTGTCCGTCAGTCCTTTTCATGAAACCCAGATACAGTAGCTTTCATATCTCAAGATCACCTGTTTGTGGTCCAACATTTTCTTTGTCCTCCGCTGGGGAACTTTCTTTGCTCTCACATTCCTTCGTCTCAGGGTTGCCTTTCCCCCTTTTCTCCGAGTTTTCGGATGGCCAGAAGAAACGGCTGACTGAGGGCCGCTGACGGCTCTCGGTGAAGGATTTCTTCCTCCGGATCTGATTCATGATCAAGTCAAAGGGGGATCTCTTCTGGGAGCCCTCATCTCGCCTCTGGGAATCTGCAAGGTGTCGTGCAGTCAAAGGCTCTCTTTACAGAATAGGGTACATGCACTCATTGTACAGAATTGCACAGAGTTGCTCAAAACATTGGAAAATAAAACCATATACAAGAAATTGTCATAACACAGATGGTACAAACACAACTTTGTCCAAATGCATACAGTATGCAAAGGTATGCATTTCACAAAAGAACGTGCATGACTCTTTCATTTTTTCAATAGAATTTTTTCAATACAATTTAACACCCACCTAAATGTTCCATGGTAGGATCTTGCCACAGCAGTCAGGTGGAAAAGGTCTGCACAGTTCTGGAAAGGAATAAGACAATGTGAATCCATTTAAAATAAAATAAAACATCTACAATAAAGAGGCAGAAGCATGTATAATTTGATTTAGGTCTAGCTAGAGTTTCATACTAAGCAGAGTCAGAAATATTCTATTGTCATTCTACTCCTAACTTTTCTTGCATAATTCTCAGTCGGCCACAGATTATAAAGTGATACTTAACTGTTATTTACGTCTTGTCCTGAAATAAAACAATTGTATCTCTTTTAAGTGTGCACCTTTAATAGACTATTTCCATACAGAAATAAAAGAATCAGAATTATGAATCAGCTGATTAGTTTAAAGATGCACCTTAATTAAACATTCGTGCTAGGTATATTTCCTCACTTAAGCGGCACAAAAAATATTCAAAACATGAAAGGTATCTGCCTTGCTTTTTTAATTTGAATCATCAATGATTTTAATTATACGTCCATGCTGCTGTGTGGTTACCGGTTGAAACTTAATAAGACACAGTGAACAAGATACTGTCCCTAACCACTCCGTATAGGAACTGAGATGCCACCTAGAATTAATTAATTCATATTAGGAACGTTTCCATTCAAATTGTATTTTAATTAGCCACAAACAGCGGGCTAAAAGCGACATAACCATTAAATAAATTATCTTATTTGTAATTCGGTCGGTACCTCATTAAATTTGCTTTTTTCTGGTGTTTGTTGTTGATGTTTCCAACCAGGATATAATCCAGGAAGTAAACCTTCCGACGTGCTGTACTTTGAAACCTAAGATCAGGTGAATATTCAAATGAGCTGAGATTGAGACGCACATTCACTCTCCACGTAAGGTAGTGAAACACCCTACTATTTTAGAAAGATCTTCCACTTTCTGATCACAAATGTTAACAAAATGCAAAAACACCGGATTTTCAATATAAGCTTCCTTAAAGATGTATGTAAATGTATCAGTTCGGACTATATCTGTACTAGCGCCTGTTCTGTGCTTGTTGCCACACTGTCTGGCGTTACTTACTTCATACATGTATGTGATTATACGTTTTTTTTATTTTGGAAAAAAAATTGAATTGCTTTCCTGTTTTTTAAGTAAACCGACATAGGTGTAAATCGAATTGGATTTGACACATATCTATGACAATGTCTTGTTTAGTCTAATGTAGCTTTAATTAACGTTATCTTTCTAGTATATCCTGTAATCGATTAATAGTATATTTCCTGTTCCTTTTCTTTAGCATTTTATTTTTGCTTGTGATATATTTATATTTGTAAATGAAATCATTCACATTCTAATGAATGTATTATTAGTATTACATGACTGTTTTAAAAAAATACACGGGGAATGGCAGACGTGTAGTGTCTCTTCATTCAGCTGCAGCAAGTAAAGAATGTATAGAGCTATAGAGGTTAAACCAGCTCTTATCCTTTCTGCCCCATTGTGACACTATAATTCAGAGTACACTCGGAGGACAGAAATCCTTTAGAAAAGATTACACCCTGCAGATGCTTTAATTAGAGGTTTAAATGTCTTAATGCTTTATTGTTAAGTACTATGTTTGCCACTCCGTAAGTTGCACTGAAGAGAGACATCGACTCATGTACATGGACTCCGAATTTGTCCTTTTAAAAATAATAGCCTTTTTTATTTATTTCGAGTCAATAAAACTTTCACAAGCTTGTTTCTGCATCCCCCAAGATATATTTATATAGGAAGCGCTTTTCGTCCAGCCTGACCAGCATCTTTTTGGTTTCAGACATCTAATTAACTCACCATGCAAAAAACCTACTTCGTCATCTTTTAGCCTAGAGGACTTCACCAATTCATATTGAAAACAAGCCAATACTCAGAAAAGTGTAATTACAGAAAATCACAATGTCCAGATAACCATGATCAAACTTCAACTCGATCAAGCCGGGCTTCTAAATATTCAGATGATGGCTATAGAGCCGTTAAAAAACGAACTCAGGACTCGGCAAATTGTTTTTGTAACGAGATGAAGTCTGATCACCATTCCTACAACAATGCAATGAAAATATCTACATTTCGGTGTAAGATTGAAAGCTGTTAAAGATCAAAAGCTGATACGTTTAAGCCTTCAGTCCTGGCAAGATCCAATTTGCTTATTCAGCTGTCCAAAGGTTATGTGCTTGCATTGGGACATTAGGACCCAGGAAGAATCTTTTTACATTGGCAATAGAGTTACCTTAATCCATCTCCCGTCAAAGCGGTTTTTTTTGTGTGTGTGGGCAGCTCAGTAATCAGATCAATGTCGTCGAAGGTCCCGAACTCCGAGGGCGTGACTGGAACAGAACCAGGACGAAACGAAACTGGACCTGTTGCTTCTGACATCTTGACAGAGGGGGGAAGAATTCAAAGCTTTTTCTCTTGCAGCCACACATTGTCTTCCAGCCGGCTGAAATGAAGTTTATTTTGGCGACATTTTTTTAAAAAAATACGTTTTTTTTAAATGTTGAACTACTTATGAATGTAGAAATATATATCTTACAACCCAAGAACAGACAGAAGACTGCTGTTTCCTATCTGTCCTAAAATAAACTACTACATAAATATGTTGTCGTTAATTTGTATACCCATATGTTAAAATATAATACTGCTCGTCATTCGGCCAATGACGTTTTACAATGGCGTTATACAGTAAGATGGTACAATACCTTGTTACGCTTTGTAATAATTGTCTAGTGTGAAGACCTCCACAAAATCGAATAATAGCCAGTTGGAACTCTTAGGAAAAAAAAAACAGGAACGATTTTCTGAACAGTCCATCAATACACGGATATGAATACACTTGCTCTTATTAAAGCGTTCAGAAACGTTACAGGGTTTGGCGATATACTAACTGCTACCGTGGAAGTGGTGGTCACCAGTCTCATGCGTGGTTCTCCACGGCCCCTATACTTTTTTCAGGACCTTAAACTTGCGTTAACTTTACTCTGCCGCGCTGATGAATTTATGGCGTTCAGATCACTTGAACCAACGAGCAGTGTTATACAATCAGCTAGCAATTAAGAAATGTCCCTCGATCTTCTGCATATCCTTGGAGAGTTTGTGCGTTCTTGAGAATTCGTTTTTTTTTTTTATTGAACTGCCATTATTACTGAACTGAAATATACGTGATTGTGCAATTTGTCGTTTGTAGCACATCAATTGCACCTTTTTTTGATTGCAACATAATGTTTTGAATGTACTTTTACTGTTATGGTATATAGAAAACATGGTAATAGGCGTAATTACTAAAAAAATTCAAGACTGTGTTTAAAGGCTATGCCCTACGGAAGCGCATTGCAGCCATCAAGGAGAAAAAAAAACATTTCATGTTTTATCTCGTAATTAGGATATAACACTGCACATTATCTCGTTATGACTATATAGTAAATTATCTCGGAATTGCGAGATAGTACATTATCTTATATTTTGTGTGATAATCACGCGATAGCACAATTACAATACCTACAATATCGTTAGCTTAGTTTTAGTTTTAAGCAGTGGAGTCTAACATCGCACACTCGTTCTTGTTTAAGGGTAAGCGTGAGAAGCTTCATGGTTAGAATGATTGTCTTCACATTAGGTACACATTGAAACATTTTATTCTGAATAAACCCCAGCTGAAGGCAGTTCCGTGCATATTCTTCAGCGCCGGACATTGTCCGGAGCACCATCCCCAGAGTCCCAGCTTTCCAAAGTCCCAGAGCTACAATATCAGTAGCTTCTCGGTGGTGTCATTACACATTGTTAAAGGTTGTTCATAAACTCTAATGATCATTGGTATCTCGTACTAGAAAATTTACGATCTTGTAATTACGAAATAACATACAATGACCTAATTACGAGATAGCATGGAATATTTTTTTTTTCCTTGATGGTAGTAAAGCGCTTCCGTCCTATGCAAAACACAGGTATTAATATCAGAAGGAGAAGCAGACTTGTTGAGGACTGGTGGTTCTCTGAGTGCTTCACTTCTTTTAAACTGCCTTTCGATATCACAGGGTTGAATATGTGCTTGAAGCTGAACTGAAAGATCGCTTTTTAGTAAAAGGCCTTTCGAAATCAAAACCATGATACTAGCATATTGTGTCTATGAGATGGGAGCTGCTTTGCTGGCGTATCCAGGGATGAACTGGGACAGCTCCTCAATCCTACTATATTGTGGGGTTACAGAGGAAGTTTGAGAACTTACCAGGAAGTAGGGAATGTAGAAATGAGGCTCAGTGAGTTGCTGTGTGGTCAGGCAACATTGCTACACCGAGCACAGTGCCTCATATGTCTTTTCTGCAAAAGGAATCACAGCAAAAGGAGAGTTCATACTTCACTGAAAAGAACATCTGTTCATTTCTGAATTTTAAAAAAAAGGCAAAGCAGGTCACTGCCGTCTTCGGCAGATAGTGACACAGATAAGTAACAAAGGGAAATGAAAAAAAACCCCGTGATAGGTCCCATCCGGGCATCCAATCGAGGGGGAGAACTGTCATCTTCTGTCTGTCCTGCCTCACACCCTGTGATTCAAGGATAGGCGCTGGTCCGTCACAGTCCTCACCAGGATAAGCTGCTTTCTGATGATGGTGTGGGCGGGTAAATGGTGAAATGGAGACATATTTTACAAGACAAATTCAATAGGTCCAAACAGGGATTCGTGGTCTAGTTTTATACTTTAACACGAACATTAATATTCATAATTTGATAAATATTGTGTTTGTTTTGAGCATCTGTCTTGTATTGACCTAACTGTTTGGGGGTCCAACGTTTCCACTGTTTTTTTAGTCCAGCTGTTATTTTTTGTTTATAGTGATTGATAATTGGAAAGTAAAACATAAAACTGTACTATCTTCACAAATTTAGCTATTGGTTGGGTCAGATCTCTAGAAGCACCTGTTAAATAAAGAGCCTGGCAGTTATGCTGTAAGAACATACTCATATACAGTCCATTTTTTTCAGGCGGGTGAAAAAAGCAGTTCCACACCACATGCTCAGTCTCTAAATCAGCAAGAACAGGAGCATCTCGCCAAAATCTTGTACACCTGACTATAGACTAATACTCTTTATCCTAGCAGTATTTTTAAAGAACAATTCTATATACTGCTTGGGGTGCTGTAAGTATTTAAGCACAAACTGTCAGATTAGGAAGTCTGAGAAGATGATCCCAGCAACACATTCAGCAGGATTTTTGCAAACTACCAACCGACAGTCTTAGGCCAGGTTCCTAAGCCTCAAAACACCAGAACTGCTTCTGTAAAAAGTATCAACAAGAACATCAATAAGCATAAACAAAACCAAGATTGTTTAGGAATACAAAAGCAACTCTCATGGCCTGTTGTGCTGACAATTGTTTTATTATTGAAAGGAAGCGGTGTATTTAGATGTCTTATACAGTCTTAAGTGCTAACAAGAGATTATCAGGGTAAATGTTGGAAGAGGTTTAACCTTCCAGCTTAGGCAGTACTCATGTAATTACATATTCACTGCTGTGCTCACCACGCAGTTGTAGGGGAGATCACAGTGATGTCAGGAAAGGGAGGGCTTAGCTCATGGGATGAAGCATGCTAATGAAGATAAAACGAATCTGTATTTAAAGGTCTGTTTTTGCTAAGGCAGTTTTCTTGGCATGGAAGGCATAGGCGTGGTTTCTAAGCTGTCAGACCAGCACTCCTTGGGCTCCAAAGCGAAAGTGCCTCTCAGTGGTTGAAGTCCTGGTTTGGGTGTTAGTTTGTTTTTAAGTCATACGGTTCTTTTTTTTTGTTGCCTTCTTCTCTTTTTCACATTTAGATGTTGTGGGGCAAGCTGAATTCACACCACCTTTATCTTGTTGCTGTTGGCAGGCGCTTTAAGGGTGAGTTGAAACCCTGACTTCAGGCTTGTTTGCATCTTTCCTCCTTTTGCTTTTGTGATGTGGTCTAAGCCTACTACTGCACCTCCTTCTCTAGCTGAGGAGATGTTATCTGTGTAAACGGTGTTGCTCCACAAACAGCAGCATCTCTCAGAGGAGACAATGTGTCAACCTGTCACTTCTGCCTCTTCAATACTATGAGAATGCTGTGGTTGTTTTCTACAATTTAGAGAAAAAAAGTGTGAACCCACTTATTGAAAAGATTTGGAGTGTAAATATATTTATACTTATGTCTATGCATTATATACAGTACATTATATAAAATGGTCTGGGGGCAATGTTTGTCAAAGTTTGAAAGATATGTATCTAAATATTTATTTGAAGAATCTTACGTAATATCCTAGTAATTAGCTGTATGACCCTGGAACTCTGTATGAGCTATTTTAGACTGCAAATATGTCATATGGTGTACTTACAGATAAATATCACTGACCATTTATTTTTTACAAGATGTGTGGTTTGATTGGTGGGGATTAAACATGTTGATTTTATTTGTTTCAACAAATCTTTTTCAGATTGTTTATTCATTTTTACTATTATCTAAACAAATTGGTCTACCTAGAGATTCACATTCTGCTTAAATCTCTTCATAAACACAGCAGTGCTCCATAGTATAAAATAACCTAGTCATGTAGACTTGCTATTACCACTGTATGTACAGACGTACCCCTAACACAAGTTAGATGGCAGTTTGGCGATCCAGCTTTACAAGTTTAAGCAAGCCTTGATCTTCCTGATAAGTGTCACAATGTCAGATGATAAGTAATTCAGAATTAACTGTCAAATTCTCCCTGCTGAATTCTGTTTCAGTATTTTCTGTTGTTTGTTAGAATTTGTGGTTGCTTTGGATTTTAGTGAATCAGTGTTATCTGTCTGAAAGCTTTATGTATTTGAACTACAAAACGTATCATATCACTCAAAATCTTTTATTCTGATGAAAGAATGTGATCTCCTTTAAGTCTGGATAAAGGCAAAAAGGTTTTCTGATGCTTTATAATCTAAATATGTGCCCAGGATTGCCACAATTGGCAGGATTGAAAGAAACTCTTTTAATCTGTATTTTCAGGCTCTTGAAGGTGGTTCTGAGTCAGTAAAGACAGGTCACAAGGAGAGAGACAGACTGTCAGAGACAAAGTAAGAGGAGGGTTAACAAAGAGAGGACAGACACTGCCTTCACCCCGCAACAGGCAAGAACAAAATTATCAACCTCTTATAGTTATGAGAAAAGAGGAGGAAATTAATGGATCAGTTTAGCATTCCAGAACAGCAACTGTACACTCATTGACCATTGAATAGAACACATTTGCTTGATCAGATGCTCATTTTTTTTCTAATGCAGTTACAGTAGAAATCTTAGACAATGTGATGCACAAACATATTTTAACCACCTTCTACCTTATATATATATATGAAAGACTTCCTGGTATTGTTTTCAGTTCTACAGCCAAAGTGTTGGAAAAAGTGAGAACTGCCTGTAGGCTTTTGAAAGCTCTCTGCTTTTGTAGGCATCGTGGGGGTTTTCCTAGTGAGCAGATCTTTAAGGATCTCTTTATGAGTGTTTGACACGCTTCCCCCTCCCACACACCAAGATATAAGCATCTGTCTGAGCTCCTGCTCGCCGACGAGCAGGGTCGCACTTTTGCAGTGTCTGCTGCTAACCGTCTGTGAGACATGTTTCCATTTACAACCATCTGAAACCAAACAGAAAATCATACTGTATAATTCCTCACACAGAAAGTCTCGGACGTTTTGTCTCATTTAACTGTCTAATTTACCACTAGTGCAATAAAAAAAATACATTGTGTGATGTGTATGCCACATTTTGACACTCCTTACTAATCTGATTACGGCACAGCTTTATCCAAAGGTGTTTTCAGGACGTCCTGGAGGCTAATGGAGGGGGATAAGATTAGCACTTGGGTGTATTGGTAGGGCTGCTTACAGCCAGGGTTTGCTGAGGGTAAAACTCTAAAGGCTGAGATTAACTCTAACACATCTCTTTAAAGTGCTGTATAGCCAGGATTTAACTAATAGGATCACAGGAGAAGTAGGAGGCTGGATGTGGGGTGAGGGGTTGGCGAGTAACAAGACTGTATATAGGGGCTGACAGATGTTACTGGCAGACTTTTGGAATAACAGGGGATTAAGGTACAGGGATTAGAAGGGTTTGACAAGGAACTATGGGACAGTTGTTAACGTGCAAGCAAGACGCCTGAGATAATTACCCTCCTGGATGAATTCTGCATAATCCACCCCAGTCCTAGTTCAGGAGCATGCTTGTGATCTCTTTCACCTTTTTTGTCTTAATGGTGGAAAAAAGGTCTGTTTTTATGAGGTGAAGGAGAAAACCAGTAAGGTTATCGTGTACCCAGTGGCAGAGGAATTGCTGTCTTTTTTTTTTCCCCGACGGTACATCTTTCAGAAAGTGATAGCAGTCCTACCTCTTGGTACCACTTACAAGACTGCAGTGCAAAGGTGTCCCTGTTTCACCAGCACAGTAAGAACAAGCTCGCTTGAACCTGTCACGTTAGCAAGCCAGCACACAGGATGTGTGCTTTTGCACTTCATACAGTCATATCCCAGACATCATCAGCTTTGAAAGAGCCGCATATACCATTACCAGTAGACCACATTATCTGGGTCCAAAAAGAGAAATTAGCATCACTGTTTATCACACCTACTTGACGTAACCTCCTGTATTCATGCTCACATTAAATTTGTATTTTTGCATGTGCATTTGCAACAAGGTACAGTATTGTTTAAGCAGTCTTTCATATTTTCCACTGAAATACATGGGTAAACCTAACCTGGGACTTTCCGTTTGTGGGCCTTCTGATGTGTGATGCTTCAAGACAGAGACCCTGTGCCTTTTATCTCTTCAGCCTCGGCAAGGAGCCACTGCTTCACCTCACGGGCTCCTCTTCACATCTCCGTCCGCCTTCGGCTGTTACTGAGACAGGAGAGAAGCAGCAGCTCTTCTCAGAGTGGAAGCTCTGGAGGAGGAACCAGATCACAGCCAGGCTCCTGCAGGTATGTGACAGACTCTTTCTGCCTCAGAAGGAGAGACCCCAATAATTATGAGAAATAATTGTTATGTACACCAGCTATCGTTCTGGATGTTGGGCGGCACAGTGGTTCACATTGCTGCCTAGCAGAGCTGGGGACCGGGGTTCAATTCCAGGGCTGCTACCTCTGTAACATTTGAGTGCTGTCCCTGTGTTTGCATGGGTTTCCTCCCTCAGTCCGAATACATACTGGTAGGTTCATTGGCTTCTGAGAAAATTGGTCCTGGTGCGAGAGTGTGTTTGTATCAGTATGTACCCTGGGGTGGACTGGTGTCCTGTCCAGGTTGTATACTGCCTTGAGCCTGTTGCTTGTTCGGATAGGCTCCAGCTCCCCAGCAACCCTGTATTGCCTAAAGAGGTTAGTAAATGTAAGAATGGATGATTAAGTGTTGAAGAGCAGACTGGGTGTAGGAAATTCCCTTAACCTTTTCGTGTTTGCACCCGTTTCCTTATTGAAGTTAAAATTATTCCTTTGTTGAGTTAAACAGTATATTATTAGCTGCGTATCTACAGATTGGCAGATAAAACAAGTTTTGACAATGGAAGAACATCGTGGTCTTTCTTGACCCTCGACAGATAGATACAGTAAATAGATACACAACGGAGGCCGGAGTTCGGTCTCTTAATGAAAAAAACTGTGATTATGTGTAAACAAAAATGTAAATCGCCTTCTATTGAGCCTTCAATCAAATTCACATTCGGGTATGTGAGACTGAAAAATGAACCTGGGATCGGGTACTTTTTGACCATTTGATATTTTTACTTTCACATAAAACATAAATCAGTATTCTAGCTAAGGACGAGAATAGGGTAATATCTTGAAAGTTTTAGGGAGACTTTAGCTGAGTTGAAGTTCTTGTGACGTCCATGTAGGGAGCCTTTTCCTGACTGTCATGTGCAACTTTTAGTGACGGAATCTGTAAATTGCTAAAACATTTAGCAGACAGGGAAGGACCTAGCTCAGAAAAAAAAGACAGCCCGTTAGTCTTAAAAACAAACATGTACTGATGAAACATGTATTATTGAAATTGCCTAAATGGGCTTTCACAGTAGAATACATTTCTTCTATTTGACAGCGTAGTGCTCTTTCACAGAGCTGTTGGCACATGTCCAGAGCTATCGCAAACAAATGTACAATAGGCATTTGTATAGGCAGTTAGCCAGCTATGCATTGTAAAGGGTAGTATAAGAAAGACAGCAGAACTTTAGTTCAAAACCTTCCAGGAGGTGAAACTAGCAATATGAACAGGTCACACTATAAAGGAGAGGTGGAGTGGGGGGACAATATGTACTGTATAACTGTGAGCTGAAAGGAAGAGATAGATCTTCCTTAATTAGAGAGGCTGGAGATAACACAGTTTTGGGTATCTGAATTCAAGCTGATCAAATGTGGTTTCAATAAAACATTTTGTTGTATGACAGCTATTCTTTTGGGGGACACATAAACGGCAGTTGTCTAGTGGAAAGTGTAGTCTTTGACAGTTAGGTAAGAAAGCCAATAATGTCACACACTTGTAGCGGAGGAAATGGTGAGCCTCCCCCTGGTGGAATTATTGAGCTGTAATCGTCTGCTGAAGCTCCTTCAGGTGTGAAGAGGGCTCACTCGCTGAAAAATGGTGTTTCTTCTTTCTGCTTTTCATTGTGGAATCAACCTTTATGCGATCCTTTGCAGCCAACACACACTGACACATCTCCCCACTTGAGCCTGTATCTATTTAGCTGTATTTCTGTTCAGCACTCATAATTCTACAAATACAAAACCATTTGTTTCTGCTAAATCTATATACATATATGCAAACAACATTCTTTATCTTCCCAAACTACAAAACCACTCGCTTGACACAAATTACTAGAACATTCTTTACACGCCTGTCAGGCCCGCAGAAAACACCGTCGGCATATGTCCAGGCGGGCGACCTGCAACGACAAGAGCTGTGAATTTGGTCTGTGAAGTGATTCAGGTCATGCCGCAGAGCAAGCGGTCAGAGATCTTTGTGTTTGTGTGCAGAGAGACGTTTCTGCGCCCGGGAGAGCCCTGAGTGACATGACCCCCCGAGACCAGCTGAGGAAGATGTCGGCACTGGGAGAACAGGGGCCTCTGGATGAGAAGCACTGGTACCGGCTGGTCAACGGCATGTCGGCTGGGGGTACGAGCCGCCCCTTCGACATTTAATCTGCAGTCAAAGAGAAGCCGAGGCAATTTGGCCATGTACCATAAACTCATTTGTAGCTCTTGTGGACCAGACAAGATCATTATGAGAAAAACTGCCATGCGTATGATTGAGAGCACCACAGGTGCAGCAGCTCTGCCATAATCTTCGATTTGTGGTGATATGTTGTTTATGTACTATACGCATGAGCTCAGACTTTCGATCTTTTATGGAAAGAATAGCTTGGTGGAGTTTTCAGATGGTAAAAATCCCCAAATAGTTAATTTTATCTTAAATGGTGGGGGGGCGGGGGTTATGTGCATTGTATCCATGTTATCACTTGGACCTCCTGGGTGTTAATGTGTTGAGTTGGTTTCCTATGTTATTTAGAGTTTCCTGTTTTTTCATCATATCATTTAGAATGTTGCTTATAATGGCACTCGTGTGCTTGTTATGACGCCGTGAATTTCTCCCCTCTGTAATATTAGGGGCTGTCCTGTTAAGAATAATTGGGATAGCTGTTATTTATTACCCATATACATATTTTTAACCATTCTTCATTTTAATACAAAAAACATGTCTGTGGGCATAATACACAGCTCAGGGACAGAGTTTCTCTTCACAGCTATGGCACTTATCTGGAGCAGAAGATTGGATTGTAACATATAACTTATGAAGGTTTCCTTATTCCCGGATAAAGTGTTCCTGATTTTTTGGGGGTCAGTCTGCACAGAGGAAGGGGTTCCCCATTGAAGGCTCAATCAGCTGCAGGGGCTCAGGGTGCTTCTTGTTTTCCAGCAGAGCTGCGGCAGAGACAAGAGCTGATCATAAGGAACCAGATGGCCATGAACCCCCAGCTGCTGGCCCCTGGCCAGCACAGACTTCAAGGCCTGTCCGCACCCTTTGAGCCCCGGCTCATGGAGAGGTAAACCTGACCCTGAGGCAAAAGCTTCTTTATTTTCTATGATGCAACCATTGGTGCGGTCATGGTGGCACTGAAAAACAAAGACCGACATGCAGCCACAGCTTTGTTACTCTATAAATGCTTTTTTTTTTTCAATTAAAAACAACGCATGTATTCTAGTGTACCCTGTGACCCTGAATTGGAAGAAGCAGTTAGAAAATGGATGGATGGAAAAACAATACAGACCTTCCTTAGGGTGTCAAGCCTTTTGTTCACTGTTTGTGGTTTGAGTCCCAGGCCCTGCAGAATTCGCATGCACAGTGAGCTCTTTTCAAGCCACCTCAGATTCCGTCAGTATGGGCACTCATGTTCAGTGCAAGACCTGGAGGAAATATCAGGTGCTCAGATCAAAATGAGAGCGCCTACTTTTGCACAGCAGTGACAGGAAGCTCTCATGGTGTACCACAAATGCTCTCTACGTTACCTAGAAACCTTTTTTCTAGCCCTCCAAAGCTGCCAATTCAGAATTAACAGAACTATTACCAAATTGTTATTTTCACATCGACTGCACTGTAATCAGATGCATATTTTTATACAAAACAGGAGAGTCTTTTGTTGATACGTAACTTTATTGTAAGAACAGAATCAAGAAATCAGGAAAGTTAGGCCTTTGGGTCCAGTGATGAAAGTTTCTTTATTTTCTAATGAATTGACAAAAGATTATTTTTCATTGTGTGAGAGACATTATGACACATTTAATCGGGTAAATTATTGCTAAGTATGTTTTAAAATACTCTGACAGTTTTCATATGGTCTTCAGGGAACTTGTGCCACCATCTGAAATGGTGCCATCAGAGGCCAGGCAGATACACATGAGTGCTCACCTGGGTCCTCCGATCCCTCAACACTCCAGTGTCCTTCCAGGTCGGCCTTATCCTGGGGCAGGTAAGAGGGACTAAGCAGTCGGAGATGAACATGTGGATTAGCAAACCAAACTTGAGCAGAAGTAGAAATATCCTCTGTCTATTCCACAGCTTGGCTACATGTACAGTAAAAATATAGCAAAAAAAAACTGTAGCTTCTCCTTGTCAGGGCAGTGTCTGAGAAAGAATCATCATAGTTGGAAAATAAAACATTGAACACACAGTCATGTCAGTCATTTAAACATTTACTGCAAAAGAAGTCATGTACTGTAATAATGTCAAGTCCCATGTCGGGCTTCAAGGGTTGATGTGCACTTTACACATGCAAGGGATTGCTTTAGTTAATTCTTGTGGATACAACTTTGTTTTTTTATACCACCTATCACTTTTTAATGTTTATTTAATTTATTTTCAAATGTCTTTTTTAAAATAATCATTAAGGAGCAGGTTTTACCTTTTGATGCACTGTATAGCTTATGAACATAAGAAGGTTTGTTGGAGAAAATGCACAGGCAAGAAGTGTTGACCAACACTTACATTGCTTTAAATGACTGAAATCAAGACCTTATTCCAAGACATTAAGCAACACCCCTGATACAATTAGATTTTTGTAGTTTAAAAATAATTCGTAGTACAATTGCAGTTTAGCTTTCCGATCAGATTTAGCAGCAGGAGATTCGGTTTATTGTGAACTGCATTACCTGCTCCGCTGCCTGTTAAGATCTCACTGTCACCTTTCCGCAGGGTATGGGTTCCTGCCCACTGAACCCATCGAATCTGTTGCTCGGCGACAGGAGATGATTCATAAACAGAACCTTGCCAGGTATGTGCTCCTGCTCATGTACAATAGATATGTGCACAGCAACCCATGGTGATACAGGAACCCATCGGTATCACCACATTGTGACAATACTCTCTTCAAGGAGCAACTAATCACTTGATTAGCCGCAGCACAATAAAGAGAGGCGCAACACTCATAACCAAAAAGATTTTTTGAAACCCTCAAACACCCCACAATCACTTTTATGAAGATATTGATGAGACATTTTATGAAGTTAAGCCAAATGGATTATTTTGACAATGAAGCAAAGTTGTGAGGTCAGATGGCCAATTTTATGATTATCTGCCTTTAAGAATATTATGCGTTTCTTTATGTCAAGACCTGCGGGGCACTGAAACAAACTGCCCAGTTATGTGCTGAAATTGAGACTATGGCATCGGTCCAGAGCAGAAGCAGGTGGATGACATCTCAGGATCAGTTAACTTCCAGCAATTGAACTATCAAGATGGATCAAATGGTGTCCTCTTGCTTTCTCGTGTTCTCATGTGCTTACAGTTTATTCAGAATCCTTGGAACATGTCTGTATTTTTTTCAAGGATGGAGATGAATGCCATTCTTCACCAGAAAGAGCTGGAGAGTGCCCATCAGAAGGGAATGATGGGAATGGAGGCCCCCTTGATGTATACTGGGATTCAGGCCAACGCGATGGCATTCCGGAGCAGGCAGCGGCTCCCAGAGGGACATCTCCCCAGTGACGTGTATGTCCACCGCACCACTCTGGAGGACCTGCAGGGCAATGCCCTCCTCATGTCCAGCAGCCCCTACCCTCCCATAAGTACTCTGCACAGAGAGAGGGGGCGGAGGCCAGGAAGGAGAGCGACCAATCACAAGAGTGCAGAGGGGAATGCACTTGGTCCAAAGGGCCAATCAGAAGAGAAGGTTGTCGAACAGAGTCCTGGAGGCTCAGGGGAAGAGAAGGAAGTGGACTGTAAAGGGGAGAATGGGAATGAGAATGCGAACAAGATGGACCAAAGTAAGATGGATGTCGAGCTATCATCTGGAAGTGGGAAAAATCACAAAGAGTATGAGCAGGTACTGCGAAAGAACTGCAGCAGTCATGACAGCTGTACAGAAAGTAGTAACTGCAACACTGCCTGCAGCACAAGTGACAAAGATCTTCCAAATCCCTGTTCTCTGGACAAATACGTGTATCCCTCAGCCAATCCGCTATCAAACTTGCCCTACGGATTTCCTGTTCCTGGAAATGGACTTTTACCTCCTGGTGAGTTCTGTGCAAATTTAAAAAATCATAATAAAATTGTAAAGATTACAGGTTCCACAAACACTTTCCCTCCTTTGAATACCCTTTATCCTTTTGAGCTGTAAATACTTGTAGGATAATCCTGACAAAAGTCTCCAGTTACCCAATTAATACTTTTGTATCAGAAGACAAAGACAGTACAGTACCTTCTATCAGCACATAAAGCACACTGTTCAAATGTAATCTATCCTATAAATGCCCATGTGCCATTCAAGTACTAAATCTCTGATGGGTGCCAATGTCTTAGGGTCTCATGGTGTTTTCCTCAATGGGGAAGAGATGTCCTCCATTGAAGACATAAGGAAGTGGACAGTGGAAGATGTTTACAACTTCATCAATAATATTCCAGGCTGCTCTGAATATGCTCAGGTTAGTTGTTTCTCTCTTTCTTTCGAACTTCTTTCCTGGTAGAGTATGTATGATGTGGATTCTTTATTATTTTTCATATTTAGGAAAACATTTTGAGCCATTTCCTTTTCAGTCAAACGCTATTGCTTACAATCTGGGCTGTGGAATAGATACCAACGATGGCTAAGGGGGCAATGTAACATATTGCACGTGTGCATGGAGAAATGAAATTAACATCACAAAAAGAAGGCAGTTAACAATTTGTTGCCTAAACAGGTCCACACATTACATTCCAGATTCTGTTGGCAGCTAAAACAACAGAGTGACACCAATATGCATGGGCTACAATTAAGGAACAGAGTGAAATGGAAATTTGTGAAACATGCTTTGCGTTGCTAATGACATAATGTTAACTCTCTACAGACGTTCAAAGATCACATTATTGATGGGGAGACCCTACCACTTCTCACAGAAGACCACCTGCTTGACACATTGGGACTGAAACTAGGACCAGCACTGAAAGTCCGATCTCAGGTAGGATCTCCCTTCAGAAGAATGCCACGCCTTTTCAAAAGCACATGCAGCCCAAGTGCCCAAGCTGCACCAAGCTCCCACCAAACTTGCTATGCTGACAAACGAGTGTTGCGTACCTGGAGACTATGGGGCAGTGATCTGACTGTAAGACGATCCTACACTAGGCACCCTATTACACACCCTTAAGTCCTTTAGCTCCCTCAGTGACTGATGGGCAACAATGCACTTGAACAGCACCACTGCAGGATATGAGCATAGACTCAAAGTGCTGCCTCTGCAACACATTCCAGTACCAGGCTAGAAGACAACAAGACAAAAAAGCTTAACAGATTTGAACGTGTCTGTGTACCAAACCCCTGTAGCCTTGTTACAGTCAGACAGGTATAATATTATGGTTTTAGAGACAATGTAGAGTGATCCAATTAACCCAAATGATTTTATGGTCACTATTTTTCCCAACCTATTACAATTTGCGGTACTGATGTTACCAAACCAACCAACAACAAACAGGACATTAAGATACTTTCAATAACCAATTTGTAGACAAGTCCACCATAAATAAGCTAAACTTCCTTAGAGCCTTCTTAGAAAATGTTCTTACATTTGTCCACTTTTACCCTATGTTTGATCAGTCCCAGATACCTGTAATCACTGAAAAGGTTTACAAACTGATTCTTTATTATAGTGGATTGCAGGGGGGACTATATTTTTCCTAAAATCCATAATAATATTATTCTGTTTCAACAACAGTTACCTCCAAAGAGAACTGATTGCACTTTCAAGTAATCATAGCCCTCGAGCCCATGAAGATATTGTGAGGAGCTTAAAAAGTTGACAAGGGCTTTGTCATTAGCACACTGAATATGTCTACAAGTTTGCTCTCATCATCATTTGTGTCCAAAATATATCGGAAAGGAGACAAGACACAGTGGTATAGGACAATCCAATAGACATATACATCACATTACCACTTTCCCACTTCTAAAAATCTAAAACCCCTCTTTCAACTTACCATTTTATTGGAAATTCTTAAAAGAGTTTTTGCATTAACAAGAGCTGCTGAAAGCAAAGGACAAAAAGGACAAAAGCTCACTAGAAATATCACATAGTTGATCATAGTCACACACATTATCTAGGACTGCACTCTGTCTTGTAAGGATCTTTCGAAACTGCCTGTGGGCCTCTACTTTGCCAATCTTAATAAGCTTCTCAGACTCTGGAAAGGCACATTTACAGCAGGAATAGGAAACATTTAGGAATCATATTGGCATTATATAAACATAGCTGTCCTGAAGTGACAGTATTCTCACACTGTGGTGCTCTTCCTGTATTTCCTGGTTAAAGACACACTGTCTTTTTTTTTGTGCTGCTTCATTTTCTTCTTTCCACTTACTGCATAGATCAAAGTTATTCTGAAGCCTGCAAAGAAAGGCACACATGCAATTTTGTGAATGTTAATTATCTCTAAGGTTTTAAGCGTATTTGAACTTATTTACTGAGTAACAACACTTCACCGTTTTAGATATAGGCGCTTGACTCTGTTGCAAAATGGTTTGCTCATAGAAACACCCAGGGAGATGTCCGTCACACACAGATGTCGCACTCCTTAAGTGAGCAATGATAGACTGACCGCCAGAGGGCGCCAGAGGGAAACAATCTATATAAAGGAGTGAAGTATTGAACAGGTCTTGCCTAAGAGAAAATAGGAGACAAGTCTTTTACTTTTATGGTTCAACAAATGAAATGGACAATGAAATAACACAGATATGCTTAAGGTGTTTCTAGGCCTATTATTACAAAAACAGCTGACAATAAGATTTTATATTTAACCATAATTTAAAATGATCTTGTGTGCATTTTACCCTTGTTCTCCACAGGTGTCCCGGCGTCTGGGAAGTATGTTTTACATGATGAATCTTCCTCTTGCTGCTACTGCCATGCAGTCAGTCCCAGAGAAAGGGACCGGCGATCAGTCCTCAGACATCAACTCTCCCCTTACCTGCAACACTGTGGAGCTGTTAAGCAGCCCTTGTCCGAGAGAGACTGAGAGCACAAAACCTCCAGAACAAAGTTTAGCCCAGGAAAACACCTGCAATGAATAACACAATCTGTCCACCCTAAATCATGGTTGGTTGGTTTTTTAACTCACTGCGTTTGGTTTCATTCAAGCTAGTTGGATCTTGCTCTCAATGAAGCAAGAGAAAGCTTTTATTTTAAAAAGTCCTTTTAAGCAGTGGACCAACATGACACTTATTCTCCACTGCCCATTGTTGTTTTATTAACAGTGCACATATCCTGTCTAGCCTTCCCATTCGCATTTTTGGAGATTACAAAATATATTCCTTTGTCAAAATGGCATGAACTTGCCTGGGATATGAGAGAGGGATATCAATAGGAATCCATTCTCCAGCCCAGCCCTGAAGACAAAGAATTATGTCAATAACAAATCTGAAGAAAAATAAGAGCAGAAATACCATGAATAAGCAGCTGCTGTCTTAATGTTAGGTTGCATAGTTTGGTACCTGTATTCTGTTAACATACTTGTTCATGTACATAGGAGCTGCTGAATGATCCAGCAAAGAGTACTTTATTTTTGTAATATGTGATTTTGTTATTCATGTTTGTCACGATAAATAAACTGTACTCATGTGGTCATTTTTTATGCATGTTTCTGTACCTTGATTTGTCATGATTGTAACCCAGAATGCATTTTACAGTATTATTTCTTTTTGAAATAGGTAGATTTGATTTTGCCAGTGTATCATTAATGTCATTCTACAGATGCCTGGGCTTTACAATTTTCCTTTCAGAATTCCATGCATGTTTTAATAGCTATATCAAGACAAACCCTTTAGGGTAAACACAGCCACTGCAAATGTAGTGAAGAAGTGCCCTTTTAGTCACTGAACGACTACAGGATACACATGTGCCACTGTGGTAAACTTGAGAGTATGCACTCACATTGCTTTTAAAAAAAAGTGCACCCTGGTTTTTCACTTTGTTAATAATAACCATGCACTGTTGCCAGATTTGAAAATTCTGCGCTTGTCATGTTAGTATCTTGACACTGGTGAGGTCATTCACCCAATCTTACGTTAGGAGCTAATTGGTTAGAGAATCTCATGCATTCATCTCCTGAAAGAAGACGCAATTCGATAGCATAGCTGCGTAGCTCGTTCCATCCTTCTACAAGTCTTTGTGTAAAGAAGAGTCTCCAGTTTTCTGGTTTGTGTAATTGCACTCCCACATGGTTTCCACTTGTGTTCTCTGGTGCGGGATTCACTGCTGATTCTGTGGAAGTCTGCTGGGTTAACGTATTGAGGATTTGGGAAAAAAAAAGGATTGAAAAACACTTTTTGACCTTGAGGTTAGACTTAGAGACAAACCTTCGGGTGCAACAATTCAGGCTGCTCAACCAGGCAGTTGTCTTTGTCAACAGTTGATTTTAAGGTTGGCTCTGGAACTCAGTAAAAAAGAACCGAAGGACCAGAAATGTGGGAGGCCCATCAGACTGTCATCAATTTGACCTTCACTACATGTCCTTAGATTCATCTGCTGATGGATGGACATGGAGGACCCAGGTTCTACAACAGACGCAAGACAGACGCAAGGCAGGGCATATCCTGGACGGGACACCAGTCCACCAGACGCACTAGTCCACCGGATACACACAGACACTCCCACACTCACGCCAAGGGTGAGTCCTCCCAGCAGCCAATTAATCTACCACAATGTCTTTGGACTGTGGGAGGAAACTGGAGCACCAGGAGGAAACCCACATGAGCACAGGGAGAACATACAAACTCCCAGCACTGCGTCGCCGTGTCGCACTCATCTGGCATATCATCATTGCAAAACATGATTACATAATGAAATGCTGTCCCCTGGAAGAGAGAGTGGAGGAATGAGACATGGGGGCTCATGATGGTGTCGATTTCCACAAAACATCGGTCGACTTGAACTAACAAAGCAAGGTATAGTTATCTGAAGTATACCCTCTTTATAAGAACATACATATTAAATAAGCACAAATAGAAAACATCCCTCTTGAGATATGTAGATTTGATCAACACCGCTGCTAATTGCAGAATTTCACAAGCACAACTAGAGATCAACAGTTCCACCGCGTCTGCAAATGACTTCAGGCTGATTTGACACACTGCGGGGTGGGAGATGAAATGTTACGCTTTGTTAACGGGGACCCCTGGATGGGCGCCCTCGACCCTTCTTTGGGAAAACCCCGCCGAGTGAAACAGGACCCTCTCCTCTCGCCTCTCGCGGGGTTTCGTTTCCTGTCCACGTCACACCGACACAGGGCTGGAGAAACATGGCGGAGCGCAGGAGGCACAAGAAGCGAATCCAGGTATAAAATATAAAAGACAATTGCAAAAATGGGCCTTGTGTGACACGGAAGGTCCAGGTCATGCCGAAAAAACACGAGTTCCTTTTGAGATGGGGAGCTAAACGTTTCTTTTATTAAAGAGGATGAGCCTGGAGGCGGGGACAGTTAAGGGGTTGATATTTTGCAGGAAGTAGTTTAACAATTAGCTGCCGTTGACGAAAATGCTTGGTTTCTGTTTGAGCAGATGGACGGCTGTACTTTAAAATTTAACCGCCCTAGGCACGATTTCGACCATCTAAAAATATATTACACGTCTGTGCTAAGATCTTTGTTGCTTATTTCATCTGCAAATAAGACAAGTGGAGTGCTGGACTACCACTTTGCCGGCGACGAGCGACCAGATGTGTTGGCACTTTTCGGTTTGCAAAACAAATCATAGATGAGCTTGAAAATATTTATCCTAGGTGTCCACTTCCGTTTTGGCGTAAAAGGTGTAGTGTATAATGTATCGGATTTGGATCTGAGATCTTCCCTTCTCCCCCCCTCTCCCGTTCAGTCTGAAAACAGGACAAGAAGAAAACAATTTATTAGGAGAACAGCATTTGCAATGCAGAAACATCTGGCGGCCCGCGAGGGTTTAGTGTCTGCAGCGCATTTTAAAATGTATCTGGTACAGTAGTATCCTGAAAATGTATCTGACGGTAAATGCAGTTTGAAAACACGTATGCAGTAATAAATGCAGCAAACTGTTGACAATAAGCGTGACTACCACTCCAGCTACCATGGATTGCAGTAAATTGATAAAATGTCCAGAGGGATGAATTTCGCTAGGATTCCATTTCCTGTTTCGGCACGTTTCTTAGTATCGTTATTTGACAGCGTGCTCTTTCTTATTGTGTGTTCGCTGAGGTCGATCAGTCCAAGGAACGGTTTGGGTGGTGAAAAGAGAGCTGAGATCTCTGTGATTCAAGCGTTAGGCAGTTCGTGATGCTGCTGAATATTAGACGCCCAGTTTATGTTTGCAAGCTGTGTTTTCAGCTCAGGACTGTTACTTTAAATTGACATCTGCTGCCTTGCTCTCTTTTTTTCCCCCCAGTGGGAACCCTGTTGGTAGTGGAGGTGCCCCTGTAGATGCTAAGGGGCTGGATGTGCTTTGATTAGATCAGTGGTTCCCAGTCCTGCTCCTGGGGGACCACTGGGTCTGGAGGTTTTTGTTCTGGCTGAGCTCTAAATCACCAGAACTAATAGGTCTGTAATTGATCTGCTTGCTTGTTTAGACTCTTGCTTGACTTGTTTCAGCATGCTGGCCTGAGTTTCATAAATACCATGCTTCAGGCTTGTTGTTTCCAACTGTGACATTCAGATCTGTAAGCAGCATCTCCACAGCTTACTTACCCTGCATCCTGACCAAACAGTTCTTAATAGGTGATCACTTTGTGATGAACCGATGATGCACCAAATGTATCCACAATGTGTTTGTTTTCTCTTCTGCGGAGGTCCATTTATTTGCATCTTAGGTAACACACTGGATTGAGAATAGTCCTGCGAATGAGAAATTGGCTCAGGGTTAATACTAATTCCGTGTTTGGCTTTAAAAGTTTAAAACATATTTAATATATACCCCAAATTAAAAAAGTGATCATGTATGGTAATTATCTGGCCTGTTACATTGATTTTCATGCCCTGGTTAAACTATTACAGTCATTTAATGAGAAACCAAGTAAGTAGTTTAGGATGGCTCTGCGCTATGGCTTTAATTCAAGGATTAAGGAGGATGTTTTGGTAAATGTGTGCAGGGCTGGAGAAGTGCTGGATGCGTGGTTTTGTTTGGGCTGCTTGAGCGAGTGAGATCCTGTACGGAGCAAAGAAGAGCTCGTGTCCCGAGAGCACTGGATGGGTCTCGTCATGCCTGAGCAATTCTGTAAAAGGCTTCTTGAAGCAGTTTGCAACACTGTTGAAAGTAAACATGGGTTGTACGTATTACAAGTATTACCTAGCACGTTTTGTATTAAGAAGTTGCTCAAGGGTGCAATCTGGGAATCTTAACTGAAGTTCTCACCAGGATGTTTTCACTTAACTTTTTTTCCCAGTCTTTTCCTTTGACAGGGTAAGTAAGGACAGTACAGGTTTAAGGACTGTCTGTGTGATGTGTGTTACATTTCTGATGCCAGACCGTTAATGAGTTAAGTTCTGGTACTGCAGTGTTGTTTTAGTTCTTAGGCGCTATTCTGCATGTTCCTCCAGACAGCCAGTCTGAGACTAGCACACGCAGCACACAGCACACTCCGCACCTGAAGAAGGCTCAAAAGACGTTTTTTTTCCTTCTTTTCGCTTCTTTTCAGTGTGGAATTGCCCTCTAGGCTTACTTGTCAGCTTTGCTGTCTGAGAACATGCACTTGCATCGCAAACTTTAAATTTCACTTCCATTAATAGAAGGTGTTCCTCTGATTTGATCTGCTGGTAATGTACGACTTGTGAGCTTCCCGTTTCGTCGCCCCTTGAGAGAGGTTCTTGCTGTGCTTGTTCTTTTCCCCCGATACATAGCAAATCATTCAGGCCCTGCACAGAGGCGTCCTTCTTTGATTCCTTTCCAGGGGTATTAGCACTCTACTTTAACAGCTTTACAAGACAGAACGTAGCGGAGGGAATCAATTATAACAGAAAGTGAGGATAAAAGAACTATAAAAAGAATCTTCAAATGTTTTTCAAAACACACTTTTGCTTACAGTTCTGCATACAAACGTATTTAAGGTTTGATAAATCCTAAGGGCATTGTTTTGACCCAATTCATTTTAATTGCTCAAATTCTGATGGGTTGTAGTGTAAAAGCACGTTATTTTGCTCCTTGGACAAAGGCTCCCTCGCCAGAGTGAAAGAATGAATGGGTAGTTTTCCTCAGTGAAAGTTGAAAATCTCCACAGGTTGAGCTTTTTGGAAAAGCTTTTTGTCTGACCAAAAAGCTCGTGTCTCCTGCAGGAGGTGGGTGAGCCGACCAAGGAGGAGAAGGCGGTGGCCAAGTATCTCCGGTTCAACTGCCCCACCAAATCCACTAACATGATGGGCCACAGAGTGGAGTACTTCACCGGTATGAGTTCTGTCTCCCACTTCTTACTTCCAATCTGTGCCATAGTGTTCTGCTCCTGAAGTGATCGTTTGACTCTTCATTCAGTTGTCTAATTTTTTGGAGGTCTGTCCTTTGGCAGTGTGCATGCAGTATGGCTTCTCTGTGATTCCCTGCTCTAGTTTCTCCAGGGAGTATTTGCAGGGCTGCCCAAATCAATACCTGACAACTGCCCCTCTGCTGGAGTTTGGAGGAGCGCAAACAAGCATTGCACAAAGCGGGCTTCACAGCGTTCAGCACCCGGTTGATTTACACCCTCGCAGTGTTTTCTCCCACTCCGCTGGAATATAGCACTACAGGAGGGTTTGAACAGACAGGGTGGCCAGAAACAGACTCACGAGAAAAGGCGACAGATTTCAGTGGATCCATGTTGGAACATTCAGAGCTGCTAATGACATATCAAGAAAAGGCAGATGGTTACTTGTTGCATTTGAACTGTAACTTTAGATGTAAAGCTGGTGATGAATTTTTAGTCATATTTAGTTGTTACAGGAAAGTAATAACATGCTAATGGAAAACTGCAGATAACAGTATTAATTATTATAATCTTTTATTCTTTAAGGAAATTGTAATGATGTAATCAATCTAGCATTCCAGTGCAATTAAAATGTGTATGAACTTTGATTGAATGGGAATGAAAATGAGTAGCAGAATAGATAGTTATTTGGATTTCTGTACATTCGGCTATGACGATAATGTGTAATAAATGAGAAAATCCATAAAAACCTTTTGACAGCTTAATAAAATGGCTTTTCAATCGGCTGTTTTGCTACTTTGTCTATGCACGATTACTGAATGGAGATGCATAGACTTACAGTTTCTGTGTGTTCACCCCTTTAATTTCTGTGGAATCCCAGCTTCCAAGGCAGTGGACTGTCTGTTGGATTCCAAATGGGCAAAAGCGAAGAAAGGAGAGGAGGCTTTGTTCACTACCAGAGACTCTGTGGTTGATTACTGCAACAGGTAAAGGTGATACTAGATATTTCTTAACATGGAAAAAGCAAATTATTTTAAAATGGCCTTGATTCAAAAATAAAATAACATGGCTTTAGGGTTGTTATTCTAGAATATATTAACTGTCCAGTACAGACTAGCAAGGGTTATCGGTTTCCCCTCAGTGTTTTGTCTCTGTGTCTGGAGTTGCTTCTGTGTAGGTTTGTTTCCTGGCCTTTCCTTATACAGATGCTGCATTGTTTTAGCGAGACATAGCACTGAGCCATGAGTCTGAATCAGTGTCTGTGCTGAGAGAGTATCCGTGTGGACAGATTGTGCTGAGTTTGTGCGTGGGGAGCGGGAGGCCATCTCCTCTAGTTTTTTTTATTCGTTCTTATATTTGTTTTTGAGAATTATTAACCACATGGACTATACAGCCGGAGTAAAGTGCTTGAAGACATCCTTCACAAATCTGCCTAACAGGGCTCCAAGAATGATGTTTTTTAAAGGAAGTCATATGAAAGCTAAGACTTTCTTCCCGGTGAAAATACACATGAGTGTAACTTTTTATGAAAAATGTCCCCAGTAGATAGTCTTACTGAGACTAAAAATCTGGTTTCCACGAATGACGTGTTGAAAATACCAGGCTTGCATTTTTATTTCTACTGGACTATGGTTCCAGCCCAGAGGATCTTATTTTAGTGGGCAATATTCCAGTGAAGTACAAACTTCATTAACCATTCTAGTATCTAGTATTTTGTTATAATTCAAAAGCACTATGAGAAAAGCCCAGGACTCCAGATCAGCAGCATGTCTGGCTTTTTGTGTGCTGATTCTGTCCACAATGTCCTAAAACTTTCATGTATTTGAATTTAAGCTGTGTGCCGTTTTTGTAGATTTTAAGTATAACGGTTGTATTCATGCTTGTACTTGCGAGTCTTGTGTCTGTGCAGTGAAATTGTGTACTGGTGGGTTGATCGACCCCCAGCCTCTCAGCACAGACACCCAGCTCTGGTCCTCCTCTGTCAGGCTCCTGAAGAAGCAGTTTTTCCACCGAGCCCTGAAAGTGATGAAGAAGAAACCCGAAAAGGAGCTCAAAAAGGAAAAAGAGAAGGAAAAAGAAAAGGAAAAAACCAAGAGTGACAGTGGGAAGGAGGAGGAGAAAAAGAGCAAAAAGGAGAAAGAAAAGAAGAAAGAGACTGAGGCTGCAGACACGAAGAAAGAAAAAAGTGTAAGAATTTATTTTCAAAATAAATCTTGTGGGTCAAAGGAAAATACATTTGTCACAGCTTCCAAGTCACAGTATAATCACTATTTAGTGTTGTATAGAGTAATGATCCTTAACTCAAAATTTAAAAAGCTTAAAGTACAAAAAGGAAAAGCAGCGCTACATAGTTCTCTTCTTTGTTTGGGTGTTATCAAGAGACAATATTTCATTTGACTGTCTGCCGTAACTTATTTTTATAAAGCCTCTTTAAATTACTCTCAGCTGTTTTTTAATCACATTATATTCTACACTTCAGCTATAGTGTACATATTATATACTGTATAATTCTATAGTACATAGTACTATATAATGACTGTAATATTGTAGTAGACAAGAAGTCTAAACACATGAATCCCTTTAGGATGAAAGTCCAGGAACTCCAAAGAAGAAAAAAGAGACCAAGAAGAAATTCAAGCTGGAGCCACATGAGGACCAGCTGTTTCTAGACGGCAATGAGGTCTGTAGTGGGACATGATGCTATTGTTCAGGGACAAGCAGAGGTGTGTTCTACTTTTAACAGTACAAAGTGAGGGAAGGCAGAGGGCAGAGCAGGCATTGGAGGTGAAGGAGCAGTTAAGGAGAATGAAAAGAGTGAGAATGGGTCTGCTGGATGACAAGAGAAGGGCTGAAGAGATTCAATCTGAACAGTGAAATCCGTGGAAATGTGCTGGACTTTTAAAGCATGTGATGTCACAGGACAGAATGTTCTTGTTTTATGTCTGTACCATTTCATAGTTAGGGCTACACTACATTCTACAGCATTACAGGATCAAAGCTGATTCTTTTTACACCAGGGATTTTGTGACCTTTTTGTGCCACATAATAACTGTTACTCTGTAAGTTATACTCTGTCCACCACCAGTGGATGTCAAAGATAGTGCATATCAATGTGTTTGGTTAGCCTGCTGCACATAAGGAAGAGATCACAGAGCTTTCTGAAGGTGGTTGTGACTTACATATACTTTAAATGAATAGAGTACAAACTCTTGTGAGGTTCCTCTATAATTTAAAGTATGAAACAAAGCATAAAGCACATAGCTGACCAAATAATGGTGAATGTGAATGAAAAGGGCACATTATGTTTTCTAGGTGACTACGGCTTCATGCCACAACAGATTTTTATAAATTAAGTTCATGAAGTCCAAATCCTTTTTAAATCTTTTTTTTTTCAGTGGATTACTCCTGAATTTTTCTCTCTATAGGTATATGTGTGGATTTATGACCCAGTTCATTTGAAAACATTTGCCATGGGACTGATATTAGGTGGGTATTGAACTTACCAATTGAGATGCTTAGTGATTAGTGAATGATGAATCAATTTGGGTTGCTCAGGTCAATTTTAATGTTGTGTTCTATGATTAATGGGTCTGGGTTTCCCTGTGGTAAAACCGCCTACTCCATAATAAACTGTTTAAATGGGTTGTTTTCCTATAGGGAATATCAGTGCCCTTGTGTTGGAAATTAAAGGTGGAATTCTTGCTGATTCCTGTAAAATAATTAAATCTTCATTCAAGTACCTTTATCTGTTTTTTTTGGTATATTTGATTAGGCAATAGTGGTTTATTTTTAAGTTCTCCTTCCTGTTTAAAATGCTGAGCTGCCTGAGCCCGGCTTTATTCCCTCTTTGATCAATGCAAAACCTTGTGCAGACGTCACCAGTATCTCCTCTGAGTAGAGCTTCAAAATGTAGAGGCGAATGAGTAATGAAGCTTTTCTTTGTTGAAAGGCAGGGCGCCCCAAAACCCATCCTTGGGATCCCTGTATCTGCAGGTATTCATTCTAGCCCAGCTCTGTTGCTTAATGAAACCCGAAATTGAATCATTTCGTTGCTTACGTGGAAACCTTCCTGCGGGGTTTGCAGGACTCATGAAATATTCTGGCCTGGCGGGGTGGTGTGAAGAGCAGCGCTGCTGCCTCACGGCTCTTGGGTCCTGGGTTCGAGTCGGAACTGTGGGGTGTTTGCTTGTTCTCTCCGTGTTCATGTGGTTTTCCTGCCATCTTCCAAAGACGTTGACTAGATGAATTGGTATTTCTAAATGTCTCCTGTGTACAAATGAGTGCGTGCCCCGCTATGCACTGATGTCCCGTTCAAGACATGGTCCCACTTAATAATAAGAAAAGTTGCTTACACTTATATAGCGCTTTTACAGGTAATGGGGACTCCCCTCCACCACCACCAATGTGCAGAACTTAGAACCGTATGCTTTCAGGACAGGCTACGGGGTGTCACACTGCAAGCCCTGAGCTCTAGAATTAAGCAGCTCTCTTCTAAGACATACGTGGAAATGGCTTCTGATGGATCTGTCTTGTTTTTGTTCTCTGTGGTAGTGATTGCAGTCATCGCAGCCACCCTGTTCCCTCTCTGGCCAGCTGAAATGCGCGTTGGTGTTTACTATCTGAGTGTTGCAGCAGGATGCTTTGTTGCCAGTATACTCTTACTTGCAGTCGGTAAGCTGTCTCACCTTTTTTCTCCCTCTGTGTAGGCTTAATCTGTACAAAGACACAGTGGTCTTGGAAGTAAGGAACTGAAACAGCAAGGAATATTTGTGAATTGCTCTTTTTGCTGCCTTGTTAACTGTTTAGAAAAGGGATGAATTGATTATCCTGATACAATATTTAAAGTGTACTGGTTTGCTCTCTACCTATAAGGTACATGGAGGAGCATACAGGAAGTGGATTAAAAAATGATAGAAATAGCTGGGGAAATGGAGAACACCAGCTCTGCAAGTGCCTCCACACCAGTGTGAATTGTTAATTAAGCAAACTACATCCCAGTGTGCTAAGAATAATGTCTGGATGCATTTGGTTGACTATAATTATGATTAGCATGTCTGCAAGAGGAGACCTCTGTGACTTTGAAAGAGAGCTCATTGTTGTGGCACATTTCACAGGAGCTTGTGTGAGCAGCACCTGCTGACATTTCACACGAAACGTTGCCTTAAGTGATTCGTGTGTGGAACTGTGATGGAAAGACATCATCAGTAAAGGGCAACATGATGGCCCAATACCCTGATGAGAGACTTTACATTGGAGTTTCATTTCTTTCCCACTCCCTGTAGGTGGTCGCTCATCTCTGTTGCCCTTAAGTTCTCATAACTGTATAGGAGACATCCTGAATAGTAGCTATTCTTTAAAAATAAATTCCGGAAATCGTGGGAAGAGATGTTAGGCACTAAGCAGTACAGAAGGGTCTGTTTTCATCTCCTTGCAGTGCAGGAGTTTCCATCCTGTTGGAACACAACCTATTTAGCCAGCAGCCATATTAAGAACGTCCTGTACAGAGCCCTTGAACTGCGTGGTCATCCTGCTGTGCTTTCTGTCTTCGCAGCGCGGTGCATCCTGTTCCTGATCATCTGGGTGGTGACGGGCGGCCGCCACCACTTCTGGTTCTTGCCCAACCTGACGGCTGACGTCGGCTTCATCGACTCCTTCAGGCCCCTCTACACGCACGAGTACAAGGGGCCGCGCTCGGACTCCAAGAAGGCCGTAGGCGACAAAACGGAGGCGGCGGAGGCGGCGGCGAGGGCGGGGGCGGGGAAGGCCCAGAAATCGGACAGCGAGGAGAAGGAAGGCGAGGCCGACGAGGGGGACGGCAAGGCGGGGGTTGTTGGCACGGCGGTGGAAGGCTCGGGGGCCGAGCGGCAGTCGGACACGGACAGCGACCGGCGGGAGGACGAGGGATCGCAGCACAGCAACGGCAACGACTTCGAGATGATCACCAGGGAGGAGCTGGAGCAGCACACGGAGGAGGAGGAGGAGGAGGAAGAGGAGGGTGAGTACGAGGAAGAGGAGGAGGAGGACGACGACGAAGCCAGGCCTTTACACACAAAAACTTAAACAAAAAAAGGTGCTCTCCACTGGGACTGCGAATTCCGACTCGCAGAAGAGAGAAGCTTTCCTATGTTGGGTGATCTTCCAAATATATTGAAACACGTGGCAGTTTTGGCTGAAAATAAAAACACAAAAAAATAATGAAGATATAAAAGCCTTATTGTGATATTGAATTCCTCCCACTGTCAGACCAGTCACACTATTTGAAGTTTGTGGTTCTCCCGGGGATAATGTTATTTTTTTCCTTTAGTCCTGTTTCTCTGTTGTGCTGGTTTTGTGTTCTTTAAAACCGTACTTGTTTTAGGAAACTCGTGAACTTATAGCTGTGATACATCAGTATTCAGTTTTCTTGGTTACTTTGTTCATTTAGCCCCCTCAGCTGGGCACATATGCAAACTTTTTCTTTGTGTTTTTCTTTGTGTAGCTGAGCAACCGTAATTGTACACTTATTTTAAAATGTGTCTTCTGTATCTAAAATTTAACCATTCCGAACACCAAAGCAATTGGTTGAATGATGCATAACGGTTGTTCGTGCATTTAGAAACCAACTAAATGCTTGTGTTTAAGTGATGTTTACATTCTGAGACCCTTTAAGAAGAAAGTGTTGTAGTTTCTCTCATCTTCTCTATTTTGAAATTAACCCCAGAAGTGTGTTAAAATCCACAAAATCTTAGTTAACAGGACAAAAGTGGGTGAACTGAGCTGAGGGGGCTGTATGTAGTGTAAGCATAACGTAGATCCACTTTTAGGCAAATTGGCAAATTGTAATTTCCGTGAGCATGCGAGACTTGTTCATTACACAAAGTGACCTGGTAAGTCTATAAGTGTTAAATAAAAAGCACGTGTAAAAATGAGACAGATTTCTGATGTGAATCCCCTGCCCTCTTACCGGTATAGACCCAACTGTGCAAACTTCAGACGCCACTGCCTCATTGAAAAGATTAGCCATCCTACAACAGCCTGATGTACTGAACAGCCAGCAGAAGGCAGAGTCAATCATGTATGAGTGCATGCTGCATCTCTCATCTGCTGATGTAGTTTGGCTACCTTCAGGAGTTCTAACAGTGGCGCTTAAATAGACGGTGACATTCCATGCAGTTTGGTGAGGCTTATGTGAAGAAACATTTTGGCCAAAGTGAAAAATTCATTAGTGAACTGTTCAGTGTTTCTGGGTGGTCTCCTTGTACCTGTGCCTTATGGTATGGATATAAAAATGGCCCAACGCTAAAAAGCCTGACTCATAGTGACTGTAAATGCAAAAGTCTTTCAAAAATCAGATTTAAGTTATTTACAAAAAAAGTACGGAGACCTAGTTTCCATTTTATATGGCTGAAGAAGGGGCAGCAATGTCAATGTTTGTTGGTCACCAACATTGAAGATCTGTGTTTTTTGTGCATAAGTACATTTAGTTTTTCCATTGCCAATAGATAGGGAGCGTCTGACGTTGGGTATAAATCTGTCTTAGTATAGTCTGGAATTTGGAAACTGTGTTTGGAAAATGTCTTCTGTCCCATTTATACAGGTCACTCTATTGAGAAGTGTGGGTGTAGTTCTTAATCCAAAACAGTCTGGTCCCATGTGTTCAAACATCATTTACTTGAATAAAATGCCTCAATAAATCATTTGGTACTGATGAAGCCCTTTGCAAGAAAGTAGTTTTTTTATCTTGCCTGGGGTTGGATGATCATATTCCAGTTCAACCACTCAGTAAAGAGCATAGTAAGCTGTTTTGAAAAGCTGAAATGGAAAAAAGTCAAGTCTTGACTTATTTACATGTTGAAAATTGGTTCTGCATGGAACAATGTTCTGAATTAAAAGGCAGGATAGTGCCAAACACCAAATGTTATTAAGAATGTGTACTGATTTTAATTAAACGTAAATCAAAATCATTTGATGTACCTTCTGATGCACATTGCTGTCCGCTAAAACAAACATGAAATTTATCATTAACTAGAATAATCTAAACCAGTCTCTGAGAGATCACATACCAGAACAGATATTTCATTGGACAGTTGAAATATTTATTCTGCACATTTCCATTTCATTCTTGTTGCACATTTGGGTCTTCATGGCTTAAAAAATCCTCATGTTTTCTCTCCTGTACAGTACTTCAGAATTTGTGATTTAACAGTTTTAAATTGGTGACATTTTAAAAATATACCAGCTAACCCCAAGGAACTGTGGATAACACTTCACAATGCAAGTAGAAAGTTGCCAGTCTGGGAGGCAAAAACTCTAGGGCATCGCTGAAAGTTTTATTTTGACAATATTTTGTTCAAAATATCCTTAATATCAATTGGGTGGAAAGTAAAAATGAGCCTGTTCTTGAAACTGCTGTATGTAAATTTATAATGATTTACCTGCTCATTTTTTTAAATAAGGATACTATTTGGAATATCAAAATATACCTTAAAATTAGTAGCATATTTAATACTGGGGTATTTTTAAATGGTATAAGGATTGCCTGTCTAGAATTTTATTGTATTCATTTTTTGTAAATGGTTCTTCAAATGAGCAAAAAATAATCTAAACCAGACTAACTAACCACAAACTATTACTGCAGACTGTAATAGTGTTTAGGTTCGTTTATAATTGAAACAGCTGGTAATTTTGCAAATGCTGTTAATCTGTTAATGCATTGCTTCCAGAGCAGTTACCATAACTTCATCTTTTTATGACAGTTCAGTCATGGTCAAATAGAACACCAAACAATTCAGGTGTTCAGGTGGCATTTTAAGACCTGTTCCAACAATTTGAAAATATTTGAAAAGTTATAGCAAGTTATATTCCTTCGTTTTCTTGTTTACATCATCCTAGTCTTTGGCAGGTTTTTTTTTTATTTCCATGGTTTGGTTATTTTGCCCACTCTTAATAACTGCCCTTCTGTTCAGACATGCCAGTCAGTGAAGGTGCATGGTCTGGAACAATTCCAATACTTTTCTGTCATCACGTAACACTGCTGTGTGCCTCTGCGGTCTTCACTTGGGCAATGTGTTTATTGTGAAGAAAACGTCTCCACTAAGGATATTATCTGCCTTTATTGCAAAAAAACATGTGCTTTCATGCTGAGAATGAAATGTTTGTCCATGCATCAGTACTTTTTGTGGCTCCTGCTCTAGAAGTACAAAAAAGTTGATTGATTACTTTGCCCGCAAACCGGATATTTGGATGCTTCTCGGCTAGACATGTGAAAAGTATAATGTACTGTTTCCAACATAAGCCTATTGTACTTCAGTATATAAAAAATCCCTTCTCAAGGGTGTAATTTAAAAGCGGACCATACAGTTTGTAGTTACAATAGCACAGAAAGTAGCATTAGTTTTCCATATATTGCTTCTTTTTCTCACCAGACACATGCAATTTTTGTGTTTCATTGTTTCCATTTTGTCTTTCTAAAGGAAAGATTTGCCAGTGTGCCAGTAGCTGTACTGTAGATATTGGCAGAAATACATTTCAAAATCTCAAATTGTATTTGAGTGTTGCACAGTATCAGTATGTTGTATATTGTAGTATATATGCTGCTTCACACATTTCAGAAAGGACTATCCTTTTATCGTTTGCGGTTTTAACTACTTTAACCACTTAGTTGTTCATATTTGGATTGATATAATTTAAAGGATTGTCTTTGCAGTTACTGGAATATAATTTAAATAATTAATGTCTATCTGAAAGTATATCTTATCCTTTTATTGCAATAAAAATATAGAAAGCAATGCTGGTGTTTTTCTTTATAAAATAAAATAGATACAAATAATGGTCTTCAGTGAACTATATAGCATTCTTGTAAACCAAAGAATTCTTGCATTTGTTTTGTGCAGGTCCTGCTCTTGCAGGTAAATAGGAAAACACTTGAACTATTTACTGCAAATATTAATTTGTGTTGAGGATGATCTCTTTAAATATGATCAAATGTACAATATAGTCCTAGATAACTATTTTAAATATTATCACCTAATAGGGTGATGTATTCATTTTTTAATGTACTGTAATTTTCATGTATTCAGCACATTTTCATAGGTGAGCACCCTCTCAAATCATGACATGAGTAAAGCCTAGAAATATAATATTGAACTTGACTGGAAGCTTTAAATTCACAAGGATTAAAAAAAATCAGAAAGGCAAGAATAAAGCAAGCATTTTTAATGTTTGGCTGATATACAGTAAGGTAAATCCAATAATTTATATATATACACACAATAGTAAACATTCATTTTATGAATAGTCATTAATAGTTAAACAGCAATTAATAACAGGCAGCAATGTAACCACTCTCATCAGATGGTGGAAGCTGCACAAGGTTCAGCCTGGGCTGTATGAGAAATTCAATGATTCTGCCAGTGGTGCTGGTGTACTCCAGCAGATGGTACTCTGCCCTCTGGATGAGAATTTCCAAAACAATACCTTGAATAAAATGACCAGAGGATCACATTCTTCAGATGTGATGCAGAGCTGAGATACTATTGGTCATTATACAGCCCATGGTAGAGATGTTAACCCCAGTGTTCTGTGCTTGTATACACGGGCCATCCTAAAGTAGCCCACTCTTCGTTCAAGTGGTGAAACGATTTCTCACTTCTCTGCTTGATCTGCTGTGGGTGGACAAAGAGGGTCCCCTTTGTGCTTCGGGAACCTTTGGGATAAAAAATTCCAAGTGTGAATTTAGCTAAATATAATTAAATTATGTCACTGTTGTACCGGCTTTAACACTGATAGATTTTTTTCTTGAATGGAGTAAAGATTCTTTTTAGCATACATAGTTTAATTAATTATATTATGATTTAACGTGCTTCAAAAGTCCTTTAATATTGTATGTAACACATCAAGTCTAAACTCCCTCGTTGAAGTACTGAAACCATCACTTGTGTCTCCTTCGTTAGCTTGAATCTGGTTTAAGTAGATGGAATGTTTGGTCGATCACTCAAAACTCCAGCATTGTCTTGAAGCATTATAGTTATTTGTCCATTTCTGTAGCTGCTGGTTCTTGTATTTATAAATGCGTTGCTGTGAAGAGAGCGTTTTAAAAAAATGACTTTTTGGGAGGGGCTCTTCGCAGTACAGTACGCCCCACTATGGAGAAACATGGAAAACACAACGTTGGCATCGGTGAATTCCGCATTTCTTCTTGCGGGTTCAGGGTGTGACTGGTGCTTTCTTTCCTTTCCCACTGGAATGGATCTGTTTTGGTTTCGGTAAACACAAGGCTCTCTGAAAGCAGGAGCAGCAATAATAATACTGTGTAAATTCTGCACACTTGGCTACATCTTGCAAGCAGCATATTGGGAAACATCATAAGATGGTAAATGACTTTTGACATACAGTATAGTGACAAACACTCCATCAATATGGGGCAGACAAAGATGCCCATATCCTCGTACTGTGTCAGTTCTCTGTGTCAGAGGAGTCGGTGACGTCTGTAAGCCTGGTCTGTTTCTTGCGGATGTTCCAGTGCAGGCACTCAGCGAGGCTCTCGAACCAGTCGTACACCAGGTCGTGGCAACAAATGCAAGGGACCGGGTAGCAGGACGTAGTTATTTTAATGCTATAAATACAAAACCAAGTTGGGAATTAAAGAGCTATTCATCCCTTTTCACGGTAAATGAGATCTAAACCAATGGAAATAACACGTGTAATTTTGTCCTCTGAGAGACACCGTACCTGTCACCATGCTGGATCTCCTGTCTCTTTCTGCCGTCAAAAGAAACCCAGGCTGTGTTTCGGGCATCAGGGGACAGCATTATCTGAAGAGAAGAAAACAATGACTGTTATGGACCAAAACATTAACTGACCATGAAATTCCTCTGCTAGAGCAGATGGAACAACTCTTCCAAGTAATGCTGAACCCTAGCCTGTGAAACGGATTCACCTGATGACAAGAAAGAGACACCAGGGGGGTTCAAACTGGTTTAATTTACTCGGCATGCACGCCAGGAAGGTGGCTTCTTTTCTCTTAACGGCCGAAGAGACGTTTCGATTAAGGGAGCTGACCGTCGCTCACCATGAGCTCCACGCCGGCGGGCACCACGATGGGCCGGAAGGAGAGGGAGTGCGGGCAGATGGGTGTGACCATGATGGCCGGCACGTTGGGATGGATCATGGAAGCGCCGGCGGCCGCGGCGTACGCCGTGCTACCCGTGGGGGTGGACACAATGACACCTGCACAACAGGGGCACAGAAAAGGCCGTATTGAAGGAATTCCTCATCCACTGTCAGCACAGTCTTTATCCCTGGATCCCTAGAGAGCTGTGGTGAGCACAAGACACAGGGAACAAGACAGGACTACATTCCAGATGGGACATTAGTCATACACACCCATACATTCATATCCACACACACACACATTCACATACTGTACACACATGCATTCATACCCACATACATACTCACACACACTAATCCCATACTCTCACACAACACATTCACAATCACACACATACAATCACAAACACATGCATCCTGCCCACACTCATTCCTAACCACATACACAAACGTTCATACGCTCACATACAGTAAATTATCCCTTTTAAATTTCAACAAACATCACAAGAAAATAAACTGAAAGTTCTCCACTCTCAGTAGAAACTCACCATCCCCCTGGACTGATGTGATTAACCTGCCATCCAGATATAGATCCACATTGGACAGGTATGAAGAAGGGCCTCTGTCTACAACCACCTCATTCAGCACCTTAGCAAAGCAGGGACACTGTTATAAATGGTACAGCAACACGGTAGTAAGATTCTGTAGAACACTACAGAATACAGGTCACAGCATAATTAAATCTGAACGTGTAATGAAGGTCATAAATGGTGTGTCTGCATTTATAATGGACCAGAGGGAAAACTATTTGAATCTTGGGCATTTCCCTGTTTTATGTGGGAACTCCTTATGACATTTACTGTGGTTTCTGAGCTGGGCTAATGTTTTAGGAAATGAAAGCAGAAAAAAGATCCTCATATGATCAGGTGAACTGCTGAGTCAGAAGAACACTAAAGCAGAGCTCTTGATGTAGGAGAATTATTAAAGATACAACATTAAAAAAATAACCTTTTTTTTTAAAAAAAAAGAAGATCCTTTATGAAGAAGAATCCTACGCACTGTAGGTCCTCTGCCTAAGCCCAGCTGGGTGGGACCCCTGCCAAGTGCTTATTCACCTGTAACTGTAGAGTGATTTTCCCAGCCTCACTGTCCATGTGGCTCTGAGGAACCAGCCCGTTCTCCTCCACTCTGTAACATGGCCCCGTCTGCTGCACGCGAGCTATATCTTTCACCACCTTGACCTTTAATCGGCTGCGCAGGATTATAGCTGCATTTCCTACAGAATAGTCAGCACAAAGAGATCTACATGACTGTTTTTATCTTGACTGTCAGGAAGAATGTCGCCTGAATGCATGTTGAAATAAATAGGTATATATGAATGACATTAGCTTTCAAAACTGCACACAGCCATGAAAAATTTAGAACACAAATTCCATGGATGAACTAGATCAGCAGGGATTTCCAGCTCGTGGAGGTCATAGGGGTCAACAAGGTAATATGGGTTTCTATAACTGAGTACTGAGTTAATTTGTCGTTTTTAAGTCTAAGTAAACTTCCAGCTAGTATTCATAAAACCTGCTGGACTTACAGACATTTTTTAAACTAAGGAATGGGTGAAGACAAAAATCTGGGGTATGGTACAGCCCTCAAACATCAGTCTTTCAGTCACCTATCAAGTCATAAAACAAGGGTCCTCACCAGGTCCAGAGTCCCAAGGTTATACAGAACTCCACCAATAAAAATGACAAGTTTAAAATTTTCACTAGGAGAGGAAGAATAAAGATATGTATGATAGTCTAAAAACACTGAGCTGTAAAATGAGTTATGATTCCTGTCATTGCACCTGTAGTAAATGGAATTTCAAAACTGTTCCGGGTGCTTTCTCTGTCATTCCTGAAACTGTCCAGCAGGTGGGAGTATGGAACGCACAACCACACGTAACAGCTAACAATGCTGATTACACAAAGGATGTGTGTAATGTTGTGATGCCTTTCATTTTAAAAACATTGTGAACCATCACTTCAAATCAACTCAAAATCAAATCAAAGTGTATTCATCAAATGCACAACAATACAGCGTGCAGCTGTATTTATATTATACCTGTATTTGTATTTTAATTGTACTTTACAGTAAAAGTATAATTAGAAAGAATGACAAAAACAATTTGAGCTCATAAAAATGAGTAATCTAATCTAGACAATCAGAGAAAGGAAAAACTAAAAAGATGTGTTTTATGATGGCTTGTATGGCTTGTAATAATGGTCAAAGCCTAATTACACAGGAATGATGTAATCAAACAGACCGTGGCTCTGTGACTAAGGATCTGTGCCTGGGGCCAGAAGGTTGCCGGTTCAAATCTGGCAGCCGGCAGAGGAATCCTACGCTGTTGGGCCCCTGAGCAAGGCCCTTAACCCCAACTGCTCACGGGGTGCCGTACAATGACTGACCCTGCGTTTTGGCCCCAGGCTTCTCTCTCTGTCTGTGTGTCTGTGTCTCATGGAGAGCAAGCTGGGGTATGCGAAAAGACGAATTCCTAATGCAAGAAATTGTATAGGGCTAATAAAGTGATGTGTTATGTTATTAAGGGACACTGAATAATCCATGATCACTAGAACTCGTGGTGTATTATATTATGCCTGCGTGTTATATTAATACTCACACAGACAATGGTAGGAAACAGGATATTTCAGAATGCAGTTCTTTTACTTTCGTTATGAGCGCACTGACTGAAAACCTGTAATTCCTGCCTAGACCAGTTCAATCTGAATACTTATATCCAAAGATAAGAATTCCTGCTTCGGATCACAGCCCACAATGCCCCCACTGTACCTTCAAAAACCTTGGTGACTTCTGTTTTGTAAGACTCGAATTTGAAAGGTGTGAGGAAGCCGAGAGATCCGAGATGGAAGGCCATGACTGGAGGAACACTGCCCTGTAGAGAGAGCCAGTGTGCGATTTCAACGGTTCTACCGGACAATTCTTAGTTTTGACCACAGAAATGTGTATTGCATCAGTTTGTAGTCACGAGCTGACATTCTGTGCCATTATTTAAAGCTGTTCCCTATTGTCTGTGGGAAGTGAAATTTGCCTCATGCAAACTGCGGAGGTGTTTCAATTTTGAAAAGAGCTAACCTGACATTATGATTAATTACGAAGACAGCATGCTAAACATGTTCCAACACGGTTATTTACTTTAGCAGCCTGGATATAGAAATAACCATACAATACAAATGTTTTCTGTATACCACAGTTTTCATTAGTATGGGTGAAGAATTATTTCCTTTCTTTAACTAAGATGTTCGCTTGTACTGAAAGACTGAGAATGTTTACAGTCATTCTTTTGAATAAACACACCTTTAAAAAGCCAGGTGTGCATACTTACTACCTCTAATGAGATAACGAGGTGGCTGTTGTACCTGAAATAAAGAGGAGGCATACAGCAATGTTCCATCTCCACCAAGACAGATGATCAAGTCTATACAATCTGAAATGTCATCATAGCCTTAAAAAAAAACAGAAAAAAATGATATCAAACAGAACTCCATTAAATGCAAAAACACTCATTAAATGCATTAAAACATTTTTGTATCACCACCAGTTTGGAGGAAAACAGTGTTCTCCATTCCTATATCCGGCCTTTTCCCCGAGTGGCAATGCTCTTGATTGGATAAGCTTCGATTGATTTGCTTTAATTGTGTATGGCACCTTCGCAAAATCATTATCAACGTTAGCATTGTGATGTGTTAGAAGATGAGCCCCCAACAATAATCCTACTGCATAATGTGTTGTCTAAATTAGGTATGAGTGTTTTATTGATTGATCTACAGTCGAATTTTCTATTTGCGATATCGGTATTTTCTTCTTTTTTTTTTGCGTTACTGGTATTTACGTTTTCCCACCACGTACGCCATTTTTTCCCCCCAGTTCCAAACAAAACATTGCCTCCTCAGGTGTCCGCCGTCCTCCATTACTGTTTCATTGTGCTGTACACGGCTGTTTTTGTGTGCGTTGTGTCTGTGTTTTTAATCGAATATTTTTTAAAAGCCTAACATGGAGAGGAAGAAAGAAAGGAAGACCATTTCCCTCGAGGAAAAAGTATCCGTATTTTGTGAGGTGGATCCTCACGTGGGAACGAGGGTTGAATTAGCGAATGGGCTGAATATCGCGATTTCTACATTAAACACTATTGTGAAGAATCGGGCGAGTATAATGAATAACGTGGCGAAGTGTGGACCGATGGCTAAGAAGAGAGAGTATGTGAAGTCAGCGAAGAGAAGCAAAAGTTGGAACCTACATTTTTTCAGACATTAAGTGCTGTGGAAACGGTAAACAAAATATTTGTTGCACAATAGTGGTGAAGACGATTGTATTTTCTTTCATTTATAAATGAAGCTTTTATTTTATATTACTTCTCAACTCTCTTACACAAAAGACGTGCAATGTTCAATGTTTTGTGATTGAATATTTGTCTACAATATTACCTTTTCCCGCAATTTGCATTTTTTGAGAACTTTTAAAAGTGTAAATAAGGGATTCGACTGTAATTCACTATAATACAGATATTTACACACCTACACCCCTTCAGTTAAAAGTAACAAAACTGTACTTAACATAAAATAATTAAGGACCTGAGATGAGCCAATGAGATCAAACTTCTGAAAGTAGGATATTACTCCCAGTTATTTATGAGACCACATTTGCCTATTCTTCACAGCCCAAAGCTGGTATTTCCGCTGCGCTGAGAGAAGAGAGCTTTGGGACTGGTGTGCAACGTTGCAGAGCCGAAGGCCTCCATGATACATCACTGAGTAAGGAGTTCATTATACAAGGATCTAATGTGTTTTGCACCAGATTTCCAATAATTCAAATTCGAAGTGGAAAATAGGGGCAGCTGCTCTTTATAGGAAGGGAAAGGAGGATAAGGTTCTAATGCAGAATTTCTTTGCCTAAATTGATTCTAAAATTGTTATAAACACTGTTATTACATCGTGATATACACAGTATATACAGAATATGGTATTTCTAAAGGTTGTGAGCTCTACGTACTGCATGAAAACTAACCATGGGACCAGGAGAACACATTTCCCCAGAGTAAAATCATGGTTTGCCAGATTTTACACATTTGAATCAGACCACGTGTCCTCTGGAGGAAGCTGGCAGCGTTAGTGCCCAATGGTGCGCACTGTCATCGCCCATGCCATGTGTATCACATTCACTGCTCCAGTACAGTTCTTTGAACAGGCCAGGTCATTTTACATGCACCCTTTATTAACAAAAATATAAACGCATCCAAAACCTGTAACTGCTTCATGTAAGCAGTATTTTCAAGAAGTGGCTGATTGAAATATATAGCACGTTTTTCTTAGCTAGTATTAATTGCTGATGACAGACCTTGATATTAAAAAGGTACAGCACTGGTTCTGTTACCTTCTCTGAAAGTGCACAGCTGGTTTTGGATAGTGCCGAAAGCCTCGTCCTTAGACAGAGCAGAGTCCTCTGTCACTTTCTTCTCCACATAAACCACCAGCTGCTTTTCCTGCAGGAGAAAGAGAGACGTGCACGAGGGACTGAGGTGCTAACACTGGAAGAGAAGAGCCGGGAGAGCAAATCCCATGAGGAATGACTGGCAAGGCCGTGAACTGATTGAATCAGTACGGCTAGGCTTCGTAGGGCTCATTTTCTATGCAGACAGTCGAACCCTCTATCCAGCCATCCATTTTCTAACCACTTCTTCCAATTCAGGATGGCAGGGGAGCCATAGTCTACCTTGACAAGCAACAGGTACAATGTCGGATGCACCCTGGATGGGGGACACACGTCCAGAATTGAACCCAGGGCTCCAGCTCTGCGAGGCAGCAATGCTAACCAGTGTGCGACCGTGCTGTCCCAGGCACGCCCTGTACAAGTCTAAATAGGATGTACTATGATTTTTATCTCTAAAACATTGCATGTATCTAATCCAAAAGATAAATCAAGTATAAATGATCTATAATTTGATTATAAATTAAGCTATGCTGTGGAAATTGTCTCCCAAGTTAATATGCCAGGAACACTGTGCAAGTTTCCTTTTGGTGCTCTAACCAGAGTGAGTGCCAGTACCTCGATCAGGAACCTGCAGAGCTGTTTAAAGGGCTCTCGCAAGCTGTCATCCCGGATCTTTTTCATGACAAGGATGTTGACGGGGGGCTTGTTCCAAGTCAGGCGCTGGCTGGCCGGATCCTGGATGTGCCTGGGATGGCAAAGATTGCCTGCAGGTCAGTATCCTCAAAATGAAAATGTGCCCATATTCATAGTCCTTTCAGGTGTTCGGGGAGTGTATGCTTGTTTCCCCCTCCCCCCCATTGAATTAAAAACTCGTTCTGAAATTTAATGCCAGCTCTTCTCATTTATCTCTTATGCACGAGAGAGAACACTTGGTTGATTTCTTTCCAACCTACAGCAGATAAAGCTTTGCATTCAGGGGGAAAGTGGGTCCCCCTAACAAGTCTTCAGCATTTCACTCGTTTTTACTCGCCATCGGGCAAAAACTGCAACAAGAAAATCAAGCTTCTTTTATTGTTTTTTTTGGACTAACATGAATAAAATTCACTTTTCGATTTCGATTGCACTTCTGTCTTTCTATCCTTCTCCAGATTGGTGTGCCCTGCCATTGACAAGCTATTGAACACCAGGTTGCAGGTGACGGCTTCACAGCTGTAATAGCACTGCCGAACGTATTTGTTTTCTGATCGGGAGAATTCTTTTTTACCGTAAGAAACATCTGCAACAGATTTGATCATGAGGCCAGAGGCCACTAGAAGAAAACTGAGCAAGCAAACTCAGCAGTTCCAGGGTCCAAATTCCAGTAAATTCAAACAAATTGGTTAGATACCACAGCATGCTGTAAGCCTGCATGTATATCCATTTAAAATCGACATCCCTTCAATTGGAAAACTACAGAATATAAAATACATTACCCTTGTCCCATATCCTGTTGGATAGTTGGCATTGTTTAGTCGCAGGACAGCTACAGTAAGCTGACACCTCTGGGGATTTGGGGCCGATATGAAGTTCTTTGGAGACATACACATGGCAGAACCTTTGGAATTCTCTGTACCTCATCCCAAAGCCCTTCAATGAGCCAATCAGATTCTCTGTGTTGTAACTTTTCTCTTATCTTTGATAACAAAGTACTGTACTGTATATTATCAAGGTCAGGGCCTACGTTTCTTGTCACAGGAATACACATGTAGATTTTTGCTTTTATTTGGTCTATAAAATTTTGTTACATATTATTTTAAAATACACTACTTACATATATATACACTTTCACATTTTACTTTTAAAACAAAAAAAAAACCAAAAGGCTAGTATTAATTATTACACTCTTTCTTTCACTCCAGGCAGACATTGACACTAATTCATGTACAGGTACAGTATATATTTGAGAAAAATATTTTTGTGCAGTTTTCTTGTGAAATAATTACTTAAGATTTTAAGGAACTCTTCAGTTTATCTTGAAACAATGTTTAAAATTCCATTACGCAATCTTAAAATTTGAGCATATAAAAGAAAAAAACTCCATGCAGCAATTCCATAACTAACACAAGCTCCCTTCCTAAATTTAAAAATAAAAACTGTTTATTTCTGCAAGCTGTGGTAACTCAACAAAAACTAACGTGTTTGTGGTGTTTTGAAAGAGTCCCATTGTGAAACAGCTGTCAAACCTAGAGACAAAGAAGGATGTTCTGCACACAATCATTCTTCATTCATATGGTTGCATGGCTGCCACCCAGCACTTCAGAGATAGATGAAGTGGTGATATGGGTCCCTTCTTGTGTGTGAAGTACTTCAGGATCAATTTGAATGAAAAGTGCTATATAAAAGTGATGATTAAATGAAATTGTTTCAAATATTTTCATTCTGGAATCTGTGGTGTACGTTCTGAGTAGCAAATTGCCTTACATGACTGATGTGGGGTTGGGCAGGATACAGGCTTTGGGTCCGAAGTGAGTAGCTGGATATGGTCCATGAAGAAAGTGGCCTCTCCTGGAAGGAACAGGACAGAAAGGAATGTAGTCGGAGTATTACATCGCAACATCACTTCCAAATCCAAAGCAAATCAATTTGCTTGAAACTCAAGATACACCACTAGTAAAAAAAGAGAAAAAAATACATATATATGCAAATATATATAATATAAATGTGTCCTTGCACAGCCCGTTCCATATAATGAACAAGTTTAGTTTCCTCACAGTTTCCACAGGAGGAAAAACATGCAGCTCTTTAACAGTTCATCATGTGCAGATTACTCGCTAGTCACATTACCAACTGACTCCTGTGTAGGTACGGTGTGACACATACAGTACAGTTCCGCAGAAACAAAAACGGGAAACCAGCACTGAACACGTTCTGGACTACTGTTGAATCTTGGTACAAATGGGACTATTATCCCTCCCTGCTGTCCTGCGGTACTTATCTTTACTGCAGTAGACTCAGAAAGGACTTCCAATTTTCCAAGGGGAGTGAATATGACAAGTATGCAAAACTATATACACTTCACATGATGCCGTCATCTTATAGAAATAAAAAGAAGTCACACAGAATGAGCACTATGCTCAGATACTAAATCAACAGGGGAAGCCAAGTGATCAGAATGGGCCACAAAGCCTTCTCTCACTGTAATCTTTCATATGTTCTTATGTTTAGGTTATACATGAATTTATTATTCCCTCTGAGGGACTGGCCTCCAGTCCAGGGTGTACCCTGCCTTACGCCTACTGCTTGCTGGGAGAGGCTCTGGTTCCCACACAGCCCTGAACTGGTTGAAGCGGTTAGAGAATGGATGGATGGACAAATGTATTTAGTATCTGAAGACTTGCACAATATGTATATATATTCTGTGATTAGTATACAAAAGACATCCATGACAATATTATACAGTATGTTTTACAAAAAAAAGTGTGTTTTCTGTCCTTAAAGTCCTCATCTGTTGCCGTAAACTAGAACTGACTTTATCCTTCTGAAAAAAAAAACAGAACTGCTCAGGTCGCAGAGATTCTCCCTCCGCAGGCTGTAAAACAGGATGGGAGCGCCGTTTCGAGCGCCAAACCGAGAATGAAGTACAGTACCTGCACCGCTCCCATCTCTTTGGAGACGAGCCAGCGGCCTCCTCCTTGGCAGGCAGGGGCTCTGGGTTCTCCGGTTGCCCCGGCAACGGCTGCCTCTCCCTCCTCCTGGGCGGCCTCTTCGGGTCCCGCCGTCTCCTGGGGGACTTGCCCTGCCTCTCCCTCCGGCGGCGGGGTCCGCCGGGCTCGTCTCGGGCCGGGGCGACCACCTCTCTCCCGGGGCTGGGGCGGGCAGCCCGCTGGTGTTCCCTCTCCTCGGGCGCTTCCATTCTGCAGGAGGGTCGGGAACGCAGGGAGTGAGCTTTCACGTACGGCACTGAAATAACGACCAGCAAATAATCCAGCAACACCACCAATTACGTAATAAGCAAAAATGGAGAAATGGAGACAAGGGGTTAGGCAATAACTAACTTTATACACAGCAAGCTCTCTTACAGTGGGGTGTTTTGCCTACAGACAAGTCTTTCCTACCATTAATCGGCTAAACCCTTTTCAGGCCCAAACAAGAACCCCAAGCCTAAAAGAAAAAGCAAGCCAAAAAAAAAGCCAAACCGGGTTCCCAAAAGCAAACGTCAAAAAAACGTTGAAAGGCCGTCCGAAGGGCCGCAAAAATTTAAGGGCAAAAACGCCAACCGGGAAAACAAAAATTTAAGGAAAAAGCAAGGGAAGAAGGAAAGCCGGCCCTCGGGTGCAAAAGTGGGGGTGCCGGCCCCAAGCAAAACGTTTCCAACCAAAGGCAAAATGGAATAAGAACGGTTTGGCAAAGGTTCCCAAAAAATAAGGAATGGAACAAAAAGGGTTAAAAAAAAAAAAGGGTAAGAAAAAAAAGGTCGGAAAGTTCATGCATCTACTTTGAAAAACAGCAACAACAGCGTGGTAATATGTATCATGCTCTTCTCCCTGTACTGGAGCTTGTTTTTATTATAAGTAAACAACCTTTACCAAGAATGTTACTTTAGCATCAGCAAAAGTGTTCACAACACAAAAACTGTAATGAGTACATTTGGGACCAAAGAGATCTGCGGTCTTAATGAAGCTTTGTTGTCGGCGTTCTGTACTTTGAACGTCTTCTTTGTGCTATGCCGGCAGTCCTTCACAGTTAAATTAGTTTCCTTTATTTTTCAACAGTCTTGTTTTGTTTATTTCATGTGTCAACATTTTCCTTTCCGATTTACAATTATATCAATTTGCAGCGACCATCTTGTCGGCGAAGGAACGCGGTAAGAGAGCAAAATCTACCCGGGCACAGGAGAACCAATTACTAGTTCAGTAGCATCTGCTTAGTATTTACTCCTTATCCGAATGCCCGAGGGGCTATTTAACTTTCCTACATTTTAAGAAGGTGTCCCCTTAATATGTTATCTAAGTTGATTTCCCAAAACGTGCCGTTTCTGTCTGAACAGTGCTTCCAGCTCAATTCTACAGTACTGTAATATATTAATAAAATCTAATTATTTGCTAAATAATTTATTAGGAATGTTTTACAGAGCGTTCAGATAAATACATTTTAAAGTCTGGTATGATATGAAAGTGCCGGATAGTTCTTATATCGTTTTGCACAAAGGTGTTCTGCAAGCTGAGACTCTCGTGAGGAAATCGTCATTGCAGGAGTCAGCTTGTGGTCATACCCCTGAAATATCAAACAGTCGTTTAAGCAGTTCAGCGGAAGACAATATGTGTAGGAAGGGCAAAGAAAGAACTGCAATATGAGTGAAAATGAGAAAACGTTGTTGCCATCGATAAATCCCCAATCATGGTGTTTTCCTATACATCAGTATGTTACCCTTTTGCAACATGTATTTCTAGTAGAGAGCAGAAGCCCAGGCGGCTGAAATGGCTTAGCTCGTAAATTCAAAGGTAAACCTACCAATGTCTTGAAATACTAAGTACTATGATAAGCAGATTAAACGCCCTCGTTCTAACGTCAACGACAGAGCGACCTCTAATTTCAGAACCGAAATTTAACCAAGGAAAAATACAAGAAACTGCCATTCACTTCCACCCAGGAACACCAGCATGGGCTGCTTAATATTACAGATACACATCGGATGACCCAGGGGAAGCTTAAAAACCGTCGTAATACGGCTGGGAGACACGCTCCTGAAACGTCTGTCATGTTTAATACCGCATTATCAAAATTACCACAAAGAAAACGAAACGGCAGCGCCGCTACGCCGCCAAGTACCTTTAAAAATGACACACGCTGCTGTTTCCTTTTACCACCCCAGCGCGAAGAGCCATAGGGCCTCTCGGCAGGAACAGCCGGAGGGGAGGCAGGGTGGGCGGGGATCACAACGGCGGCTGCTGATTGGCTGTCGGAATGAACAGCCGAGTCGCCATTGGCTCAAACGCTTGACTGTAACAGACCAGCCTGGAATTCCAATGGGCGGTTATGGGGGGAGGGTAGGAGATGGTCGGTTGGGTATGACGAGTGAATGGCTTTCAAGCCCATAACATCGTTCCCCAAACCGGTTGGATAGTGGGGCCATCACACCGTGCGCCTTTCAACTCAGAGGAAACCTCACTCAACGATTGTAAAAATAAACTCAGTACAACTGGCTGCAAAAAACACAGCCCCATCACTCGAATCGTTACTTCTTCCACCTGAAATTTTGTAACCCTCACAACAACATCAACCCTTCTTTTACTTTTCAATTTTCCGGGAGGTGAAACGCCCAGCATCTAACCCGGAAAAAAAGGTTGGTTCGTAAGTGAAGCAGGTGTCAAAAACTCCTCTAGTCGTAGTTTTCGCTGACAAGTATGGTCTTCTGTGCAGGTGTGTGAAGTGGGGATATTTGCATTGGCGTGCTTTCCCACTGTACAAATAAAGGCTAAGAACCAGCAGGTTTTGTATTATCGGCTCTGGGATTTTAATGTTTTGTTAAACATATGTTAGTCTAAACAAACTGTCAACAACTCTCCCCACAACACAAACACACAACCTGTTTTTGAATGCCCTGCTGGCTGAACAAGACAAAAAGCCGGGCTCTTCACAGAGATGAAAAAGGACCGACCGTGCTTTCATTCAGCCGTCAAGACTCTTAAATTGCCGTCTTTTGTATTTTCGTCCAACCTCCTCCTCCTTGCACACGAAGACTCCTCCCTTTGATGTTTTATATAGATATAAACGCGAGTAAATCTGTCTATGCGATAGGATGCCGGGGCTGTTCGGTAGATGGGTTTTGAAAAAGCAGAAGCGACGCTATCACGTTTATGCGGATGTTTAATGTCCAAGGTAAAAAAGTGTATCTTTATTTTACAGTTGCACTGTTTTGGCGATTTAGTCTTGTGTTTTCTTTTCCGCTGTTTGGTCTTTTTTTGTGGTTGTTAGTACGTGTTACTACAGGGTCGTGTGACGATGACCCGTACAAGGATAGCTAAACCGTCTGTTTGTAATTTAGTGATTTTGTTTACCTTACCTGAGTGGAGGTGGACGGCTTGGAGGCTTTCTCAGTTTCTGAAAAGAGGTCGCGCGTTGTTGTTATCGGTGCTGTTTTTGTTGAAATGTAGTTTACCTTGCAGTCAGAAATGTGTTTTTGTATTTGGGTTTAATATGTATTGGAAATGATCTAATCAGACTAGATATGATCTTATTAAACTGGTCGTTTTAAGGACCAAAGAGTGTAAATAAACTGTATGTTTGCAAGTGGTTTACGGCGTTGTGGTCTGCTCATAAAGCGCATTAGGAGATTCTCCCAATTCAAAAAGCATTGTTAACTTCTACAAATGTCTATTGAGCGTATTTAAATGTCATTAGTTTAGAATAAAGATCGCTTACAAAATGCAAAACTCGTTTGTTCCTGTGTTTACGATATTCGATAATACTTGATCTTAAACACATTTGTCCGCTTGTGTTAAGCCATTTATAACTTTTAAATACCTATTTTTTTCAGGGAAATGAAAGAATGAAAATGGGTTTATGATTCAGCAGTGGGTGGGAGAACTTTTTGATTATAATCATTACAACATAACAAACCTTTTAAATGGAGGTTACAGGGAACATCTATTGTTTTTAAATGTATTCTTTGAAATTATTAAACCATGCAATTAGATGAACAAACTTGCTCTGAATTAAGAAAAAAAAACATGATTCATCTGAGTAGGTGACGGGTTTTATTATAATAAAATTATGTGATTTGCAAAAATAGATGATTACGAGGGTTTTGGTCTTTTAAATTCTGGAAATTGTGCATTTTTATTTTTTGTTATTATTACATTTATAAGGCATGCAATTTCCTACATGGCAACTCATTTTTTCTCCTTAATTTCAGACAGTTGATTTAATGAACATAATATGGCAACTGTGTAAATAGACCCACAGCTGTCAGCTGATGGTAGAAGCTCCAGATAAGTTTGTTTTTAAATCTGAAAAGATTTTCCTCCTCTGCAGTCGACATTCACTTACCTGTTGAAACGCCAGAGATAGTTTACTCCTTAACATGTGGGAGTGTGATGAGTTAGTCAAGAGAGTGTTTTTTTTCTTCAAGTATTTGTGGAAGATGCACAACGCAGAGGGTTTTTTTTTTGTAATAAAGGTGGTAGGCCTATTGTTTGGGAGAATCTCAAAGCAACGTGATATTGAATGCAATACAATGCCAACATTCCATAACTTTGGTGATTTTTATTTTCTTTGTGCATCTCTAATTATTTATTCAGCCCCCCTCACATTCGTTTTTAAATACTGGGGGAAGAAAGCCTTAGTTTTCAGCTGAGAGTTTCCACCCTTGTCGTCAAGATTGTCGGATAGTTCAAGTAATCAAGAGAGTAAGAGTTTGAGAATGAAGACAAAACCTAAATTACATTTCCTGAAGTCTGGATTGAAATATGGCAGATTGAAATTCTGGACTTTGGGTGCTATCTGCGTGGAGTTTGCATGTTCTCTCGCATTCACTTGGGTTTACTCCGGTTGCTCTGGATTCCTCTCACAGTCCAAAGACTTGTAGGTTAATTGGCTTTCGGGAAAAACATTGCCCTGGTGTGAGTGTATGTCTGGAGTCCTGTCCAGGGTGGATCCTGTCTTGCTCCCATTAGCAGGAGAGGCTTCGACGGCCTTACCTCCCAGTATGGAATAAACCAGTTAGGAGATGGATGGACTGAAAAAGCTATTGATTCTTGATATGATGTGAATCCAACAGCACTTCATCTTCATACGGTCAGACGGAAAAATTCTGTTTGCATAAATTACATAGATAATTATTGGTGATGATTCACAAACTGCTAAGCTTTTTTTTTAATGATTTATTTTTATGCCATTACAGTGCATAATGATGTTACAGTTTTACCTTTTCAGAGAAATCCTACAGTATCAGTAGGCCTAAATTACATTTCTGTTTGAATAGGTATACTCCCCAGTTTCAGGAAAATGACTTTTATAGCAGGTGCACTGACATGCATTTTTTATTAAATAGGGATGACATGGTAAATGTATTAAAGAGATTAGCATTTATCATCCGCAGGGGGTCTGCCATGTAAGAGTGTGTGGCCACTGCTGGAAGCAATAGAAACTGTGCGTCTGTGACACAAGCTTTGCACCCGTTTGCACATGTTTCTAATGACAAGATAAAGCACGTTTTGTTGCATTCCTCTCTTGGAGCTTGGACAAGCATGTGCCTGTTTATTAGTCTCTGAGTCCTAAATGACTGAAAATAGGACTCTAGTCTGGTAAGTAGGATTTCTACAGTATAACTGTCACATTCCCACAAGGAAGTGGGTTACACAAGTACCATGAGTATGTCAACCTGCTGGACTGCAGTCTTGTCAGGATGTGGCCACAGGAAACGCAGAAAGTCCCAGGTTCAATGTAGCGCCGTGCAGTCAGGTTGCCATCAATCATTACAAGTGGGGTTCTGTAGCTGCTGCACACCCCTGGCCAGCCAGTGGCAATTTAACTTCCCATCTGGTGTTTTGGAGGTGTAGTGACTCTTGGTTTTCCAGATTGAGGCTTATCATTGACAGACTCTGCTCAACTATAACGTCTTGCCAGGTTACAATTTGCTGGCTGTGAACAACTTAGATGGCGAGGAGCAGTGTGTGGCTTGGCCGAGCTTCCACCTAATGGCACAAAGGTGTTCTCTTGATAAGGGGGCATATTGATTCCTTTCTGTGGTTTCCTTTCTTGTTGTTCACCTTGCTTAACATGCAGTAGGTAAAGTCACCTCTTCATCTGTGCCCACTCAACATTCTCACTAATGAGGTAACTTAGTGCTTATTGCAGAAGTCAAAGTCATTGGAATGTATAATTTGACTGAATGTATGCCGTGAATGTATCATGACCAGACATGAATAATCAATTAACCATCAATCCAGAGGAGGCCTACAGAAATATTCCATCCCCACCTAGGCAGATGATGAAGTCTATACAGTCCGCAATCTCATCAAAGCCTTTCAAAGAAACCAGAATAACACTATGCTGAAAAAAAGAAGAAAGAGAACACAACGTTTCGGCCGTGGAGCCTTCTTCAGGTGTCACCTGAATAAGGCTCCACGGCCGAAACGTTGTGTTCTCTTTCTTCTTTTTTTCAGCATGGAATAAACCTATTACTTGTTCCTTTGCAGCCTACGCATGCTGACGCAGCTACCCACCAGAATAACACTATATATTAAACAGAACTCATATAATGCAAAACAACATTTTTATATCACCACCACTGATCCACCCATTTTCCAATCACCTCATCCAGTCTGGGTTGTAGGTACAAGTAGGTACAAGGCAGGGTACACCCTGGACAGGATACCAGTTTTTATAATCGTGATCAGAAAATCTGCCTGAATTTAAAGTAACTTAATAAAGGATTTCCAATTTCAGGTTTTGTTTATTGTTAAAATAGCAGAACTGACAGCTTTAAGAGCTTTAGTATAATCAGGGGTAAACTTATTTTATTTGGTTCAGTTAAAAGTCTCATAAGAGCTCCTGTTAGTAGTAAATAAACTTTAGATTTTAAGTAGAGGTTCTTCTGTGGGCAAAATTTGATTTGTGGCAACATGCACACTTATTAGAAATCCAGCTCCCCACTACTTGAGTTTCTTTAACGTGAGTTTCTAAGCTACAGTGGGGTGGGGGTTTACAAATCTAACTGTTCACAATCAACTGCTAGATCTCAGTTTCTATGTTTGCTGTGTGTGCCAAGTCTTGTGTTTTAAATCTGAGAATTACAGCATGAAACATTTGTTTAGTAATGGTCAGTAAATAAGTAACTTTCACAGAGAAGTGAAAAAGATTTGACCTGGTGCAATACAGTTAATTATGAGGTTTTGAGAGCTGCTAGAAAAGGGATGGGAGAATCTGTCAATTGTCTGTTAATTGTTTTATGGCATCATTAACATGAGCAGAAATAACCCTTGTCCTGTACTGCAAGTTTTTTTTTCTCCTGCTTTAGTTTGCAGGAGATACTGATAGCGGTTGTAGATGTGCACCTCCGAACATGCTGAGCTGCAGTAGCTGTAGACAGAGGTGCAGCAGAAGCAATCCAAGCATGCATTGTGCTTGTTATGCCCTCATTTTGCCATGTTTTTTAAACAAATTCAATTTTTCAAAATGCAACAGTCAAGCACAGCAAACGCACACACGCACAAAAGATTGGGAGCCTGCAGACAAAGAGAAGGAAAAGTTCAGCAAGCTTTCATGGTGGAACAGGCAACTGTGCGTGATGTAGACATTTTTGCATGAGCACGCTGGAATCAGGCTTTACTTCATTCCAGAAGAGAAACTTCTGTGTATAAATACAACAGGGAATGTTTGATTTACATTGTAAATTGCACTCGATAACATCTACTATGCAAATAACTACAGCGCGGTAGGCAACCCTCATCCTCCAAAGCTACATAGTGTTACTGGTTTTTGTCCTGTGTTGAATCTTAATGTCTTAAATAAAAACCAAGTAAGTGAATATGAATTTTTAAATCACATCCGTTTCCCAATTCTTAATCTGGTGCTCACTAAAAGGTGCTCCTACAACCTGTAGGAACCTGGACTGGGGTACTACAGTTGTCAGTCCCTGAACCAGACAAATACAAGCAGTTTTAGAGGTTGCCAAGCAGCTGCCTAGTAGTTAAGTGTAATAATAATAATTAATAATAATTCCTTACACTTTTATAGGACTTTTCTGGACACTGCATTCAAACCGCTTTACAGGTAATGTGGTCTCCCCCCTCCACCACCAATGTGCAGCCCCATCTGAATGATGATGATGATGATGATGATAATAATAAACGTTATTTTATATAGCGCCTTTAAAGGTGGCTTCTCAAAGCGCTTTACAGGATGACAATAACAATAAATAAGAAGACTACAATAATAAATAAGAAGAATTCACAAGATAAGACACAATTACAATTACAACAGTACAACAATAACAATAGAGGAGACCGTGGAAGGTGGTACTAAGAAGAGCAGAGGGGTTTTGAGTCTGGATTTGAAGGAGTTTAGAGAAGGTGACTCTCTGATATCCTTGGGCAAAGAGTTCCAGAGCTTGGGGGCATAGCAGGAGAAG